ATCCACAGCGAGGATGGTAGCGTCATCACGGATGTGGTGATGAGTAGTCCGCGAGGGTGGCAGAGCCATTTGACCATTGCACATTGCATCAGCACGGGTTGCATGTCGATTTGCCTGGTGCCGCGACGCACACTGCATTGCCTTGACCTCGTTGACAGGCTACATGTTGGTTTCAGTAGTTGCCATGGACAGGGAAAAGGCTTGCTCGCTTGTGTCCATAGCTCTGACGAGCACTTGGTTTGCGGCTTTGCTTCGCTGAGAAGCTTGATTTTGATGTCCACACTGGCTGACCTGTCCGTTGCTGGAAGCACTGCGCTAGAGAGGGCGACATGCAGTAGAGTCTCTGATAGCGATGACAATGGTATCGGCGACATGGAAACTGCTGCTGCAGCAGAAAACCTTGAGGACGACATACATCACGACTGTAAGATTGTGTCCCAAGCCGTGATAGCCAAAAGCATCAAAGACTCTTTTCCGACAATACATGGTATCGTAGCCCGTGGCTAAAAGACCAAATTGAGCATGGCTGCGGTACGGAGCGGCGCGGGTCCAGCCTCAGCCTCATCGGTAGGTGGTGGCTGCGGCAGCGGTAGCAGGGGGTCAGCCTCGCCTTATGGACTGCGAAAGAGGGAAGCCATTCGACGCGAACAACGAGCGAACTTGTTTATCTGCGCCCGGGTCTCAGCGCAGTGCTGCGCCGTGTGATGATAGGCTCGCGACCAGTAGCGCTTTACCCAGCCGGTTGTATAGGCGAAACTGGAGCAGATCAGGGTATGTGTGAAAGGAAGAGAGCCGACAAGACTCTCTTCTTAAGACTGTCCTGAATAGAATGGACTTGAAAAGGTTGAGTTGACATGGCTCTCCTGCCGTGTACCACGATGATGTGGGCATACTTGGGAGGAAGAGGATGAGAGTGGCACAGAGAGAGGGAGGGAGGAGGGAGAAATACAACCCTTCCCAAGGGGGTGGTGAGTAAAACAGGGCAACAACACACGGTGGCCATGATATAAAGTACTCGTAGTCCACTACACCCTCCCTCGACTTGCCGTACCGAAAGTGATGAGACCTTGGGCCCTGGGCTGGAGGATGGAAGAATGACGGATGTCAGAATCCACGATAGCGTTGGATTTGTTTGGCTTGCTTGTTCGTGTCTGTGCCTGGGGCTGGACCCTCCTCCCTTGATGGCTTTGTTTTGGGACTTCAGGGTCCAATCCCTGGCGGACAGACAAGTCGGGTCCCAAAGGGAGTTGCGGCCTTTGCCCACGTCGATCGTCTTGAGTGGTCGGGGAATGCGAGCTGAGGCTGCTAGGGCCCGATGAGAGCCCAAAAGAGTGGGTGATAGGCAGGGGTATCGCCCAGGCTTCAAGCCACTATGCCTGAACCGACCGGATCATCCAAGGGTGCCCGACGTGGCACCTGCATTGCCTGCTCACCCGGCGGCGACGGTCCGGATCTCTCCTTTGTTGGCACCGTTCGCTAACTTTGGGTCAAATCCTGGAAGGGAGGGCGAGACTGGAAAAGAAAGATCCAGCCGTCTTTTGCCATTTGGCGTGTCGTGACTCGGCCCCTTTCTTTTTGTGGCTGTTAGGGCAGCTGGGAGGGCCAGACCACCAGGCTGACTTCATCCGAATCAGTGAGTCAACCGGTGGGCTGAGGGCCAATAGACATAACAGACAAGTCCCCTCTCTTCCATGTTGTGGGTGAAGGGCTCCAGAGTCTCTAGGTAGGTAGAAATAGAAGGGAGGGCGAAAGAGAACGAGGGGAAAAGGGAGAGACCAATCTTTCCGAGAGAACTTTGGGGGGGCCTGGCTGAGGTATATACTCGGTAGAGTAGTATGGGGAGAAGAAGAGCGCAGGTCAGAACTGGGGCAAACAGCGCTCCGTTTGTAGTGGAAGACAGATATGTACCGAGTAGAGAGGGTAGATCGAATGGATCCCTTGGCCAGCTGGTGCCATATTGAGGTAAGTTGGCTGCAGCCGAACGGATAGAGTCCTCTCTCTCCATCCTCCCCGTCGTGCACCGGCTTCTTTTTTCATGTCAGCAGGACCATGTCCACGCCCGGGGTTGGGGCTGGCAAATGGGCTGGATCATTTTGCAGATATTTTAACCAGTGAGGCTAAATTGTGTGTGCTTTACTGGTCAGCATGGGACCCGATCCAAGATGGAAAGCCACAGGCTCCGCGGCCGTGAATTGCGCGTGACCAGAATTTCTCGCAGAGACAGAGGGGGTGAGTGGCTGGCAGCCCTAGTAGTGGAGGAGGGACAAGGCCGAGAACAAGGGCGGGTGATGGATCTGTGTTCCCCTTCTCTTTTACTTGTGTTTGTGTTTCCCTCTCTTTCTGTGTGTCTGTGTGCGTGTGTGAGAGAGAATGTGTGTATGTCTTCTTCTCTTCCCCTTCTTCATTCCTCTCCTCTTCTTACCCCCTGCCTGCTGATGGATTTGTGTGCGGGTATTTGAATCGTGGACTGGACTGATTGGAGTACTGTGAAGTACTCGTAGGCTGGAGTGGATAAGTCAATCTGTAGACCAGTCAGCTGCTCTTGGGCCTCCAAGTTTTGTGTTCTGGAACCAGAGTCAAGCAAAGACTTCAGATCCGCCTTGTACCTGTCGATCCACAGGCCCTGCATTTCAACTGCCGAGCCTAAAGCCTCGCCGTGTCTCTGCATGCACCCATGTACCCTTTGGCGGTGTCATTGGTGACAAGGTACCGAGTATGTACCTCATATTTGGTGAGTCCCGAAGTACCTAGGTGTGCGAGGTTCTGTGTTGGTACACAAGGTACGAGGTACTTGAGAACAAGTCGAGTGCGTGGTTCTTGGACATCTCGCACTGCGCTCCGTCCTAGCCCGATTCTCCGCCAGTCTGCAATTCCCCTTCGTCGCACGCGTGACCAAGCACCGCAGATTGCTTTACGGCCACTACTGACCAACAACCAGTCATAGCCATTTCTTTCTGCTTCGAGCTTCACGAACTCGGGATGGAAATTTGCTCTGCCTCCTCCACACTATTTCCACGGCTCCATTTCTGTTTCTGACATCCCCGCCTCCCTCACCGACCCTTTGACTGTCCTTCGTCACCCGATGATACCCACGGCTTGGCTTGCTACTCGTCCGAGTCTCCGCTAGGTGGTTTGATTTGATTCTCTTTCCTCGTTGTGTGAAGACTTTCCTCTAGGCTGTGTGGGTTGTTGGTCCTTCCTCTCTATTTCCTACACGAGCACTTCCTGTAGTATACCGCCATGTCTCTGCCGTTTATCCGGGAGGATGACCGGAATTTCCCAGCTTCCCCAGGCATCGCATCGAGATCGGGTTGCCTCGAAATCTCGTGATTAGTCCATTTCCCAGTCCCGATCCTCGTGGTTATGTGGGGGCATATTTCCTCCAGCTTCTGTCCGAGCACGGGTAGATCACTCCAAACGGCTTGGGGGATGGCAGGCTACACAGCAGGTCCCCGTCTTCACCAGGAATCTCTCCGGCCGAGTCAGCTGGTATGAGTTTGGGGACCACAGATTGGACCCTGTTGTTTGTGCGCCATGGTTGTTCTGCATTGGACTCCGCAAATCATTTCCGAGATCTTTTCGGTCGATACATAGCCGAGGTGCATTTGTTGGCCTTACCACTATTGAGTCCTGCAGTTGGGGAAGTCCCAGACTTGAAGAGTCGCACGGCCAACAGCTCAATACTAGACATGAGGAGGATGGCAGCTGTTGAAGATGTCGGCGTCACATGAGATGATACAGGGTCAACTCATCTCCTGTGGTACAGAAATGGGGACGTGTTTCATGAGAGATGATTCCGTGGTTGCAAAGACACCTTGTGTCATATCTCGAACCTTAGTAAGCCGATGAGCTTGAGCAGGAAGGAAGTTCATACGCGCATGGCTGGTACCTGGGCGGTGTTGGAGGTCATAGAGGTGCTCGATTGTAGGAGACAGCATGTTTTCGGATATCCTCGTCTTCGTTGCCACATGTCCCTACGGCAATGTGGACCTCCTAGGACCTATTCGCTGTCCCAGAAGATGACCATTCCAGAGGATAGCAGCATGTCTGCGGTGCACAGCGAGACAGGTGCTAGCATGGAGAAATGCCCACTGCAACATTATAGGCCCACAGCATCAAATCCCTCCTCCTCTTCTCCCACCTCTCCAGTGTTTCCGGACTCCAGAGGCACACAGCACATCTACTGTACCGATCGGGTGTAATTTTCTGATTGATGATGATCTTTGAAGCCAAATGGTACGAAGTGTCAAAACAGACTACAGATGTCCAATACCTAGCTCAACTTCACCAGACATATATTCTTTGACCATTCGTCTCGCCTCCGACGCATCTGCCGGTCCTTTGACGCTGCATTTCCGAGGGGGTGTATCTTGAAATCCTTCGACCGGCAAGCGGGTTGAGGAGGTAACTCAGACTCGGCGCACAGAAAGGGTTTGTCCCGTGCAACCAAAGATTGAAGGCCTCTCTCCGAATCGGGGTCGTTCGGCTCCACGCGCTTGAGTGAGGATGAGACGAAGACAACGTCTGCTCCTCACATCAAAAGAAGGCCCCCCAAAGTTCCGTCAATGATGTGGATTCTCGAGCATGAATGGTCAACCGTCCTCTTCTCTTGGTGGGATCATATGAGAATTCCATAACGGTATCATCGTACCTCCAGAAACTCTCGTCACGACATTAATTACCTCTGTCCCGAAAGCATAACAAGTTTGTCGTCATTACTCGAACATGAGAGCACAGGCGTTGTAGGAATCTGAGAGAGGCCAGCCAGCGTTGTTTTACTCAAAGGTAGCAGCTGGTTGTTGATCAGTTGAAAGCGGCAAACGCCACTTTTGCTCCTCCGTAGTTGCCAAGGACCACTTTACGCGAATGACCCGCATCTTCGTGTTTCTGCGCGACGCGTCTGGATTTCACAATCCGCTAGAGGTGCCTCTGCCCCCCCTTTCTGACCACTTTGATGTGAACAACCTACACTTACACCGCCATAATTGCCCATTGTCGCCATGTCGTCGACACCGTCCTCACGCCGCCGGGGGCATTCCTCTCGCAATTCTCAGTCCTCCATCCCAACTCAACAATCCCAATCCACCCCTAGGAGTTCGAGACGAGCGCCAAATGGCGCATCCGCAGTTGCGTCCTCGTCGCCCTTTTCGTTCCATTCGTCCCCTGCTCGAGCAACTCCCCCGCCTCCGGCGCAACTGGAAAGTGATGGCATGCTCATCAGCTCTCCTCCCCGACACTCGTCCGAGGTGGGTGACCGCGAGGCAACACCACGCGCATCAAACCGGTTGGTAGGGGGTTCGTCAATCCTGCACTCTATAGTCATGTGCAGTGCTAATATCCTATAGATTCGTCCCCAGTCAGATACGACCCCAGCTCAAGCCCAGGGCGAAGTTCTCAGCACCCTCGATCCGACATTGGCAGTAGCAGCAGTGCCCTTTTTGTGCGTCAGGACCATCAGCCGAGAATATCTTCCCGGAGAGGTGACATCCACTCCGATGCATTCGCGCCCTCATCAGCCCCTCGTCGTCGAATCTATATAGGCGAGGATGGCATGCCTGTTCAGGACGGCAATGATCCGACATCAGAGGCTACGTTTTCAAACCTCAATCCTGACACGTCCGAAGCCGATGCAATGGGGGGTGACTCGACCAGAGTTATCTGGGGCACCAACATATCTGTCGTAGATTCCATGGCCTCATTCAAGAATTTCCTCTACAACTATGCTAAGAAATATCGCATGTGGGCCGACGGCGCCACCGAGGAGGAAACACGCGCTCTCGGGGCGGTTGCTGACGAAAAGGAATACCTGACAATGCTTCAGAATATGAGAAGAATGGGTATTCACCCGCTTAATCTAGACGCCCGCAATCTCAAAGCGTATCCTGCGACCTTGAAATTGTGGCACCAGCTTCAGGCGTATCCGCAGGAAATCATTCCGTTGATGGATCAAGCTGTCAAAGATGTCATGGTGGAATTGGCCCAGAAGGAGATGCAAGAGTTGCGCCGGGTTCACACCAATGGTCCGGCTTTGCGGGCAGCGAATGGGAGCTCAATGCCTCCCATGCCGTCTTCTGATCTGGGACGGGGGACACCGGGGACTGGACTGAACGCCGACGAAATTCCCGACCTGGTTGAAGAAGCAGAGATGCAACCTTGGAAGGTTATGCCGTTTGGCCTGGACAAGACGATCAACATGCGGGAGCTTGACCCAGCCGATATTGACAAGCTGATTGCGGTCAAAGGACTCGTCATCCGAACAACCCCGGTCATTCCCGACATGAAAGAGGCATTCTTCAAATGCACTGTCTGCCAGCATACGTTGTACGTATCGATTGATCGTGGAAAGATCGCAGAACCCATCGAATGCCCTCGGCCAGCTTGCAAATCCAAGGACAGTATGGAGATTATCCACAATCGGTGTATATTTGCGGACAAGCAAGTGATCAAATTACAAGAAACGCCGGACTCGGTTCCAGACGGACAAACGCCTCACAGCGTGTCTCTTTGCGTGTACGATGATCTGGTTGATGTTTGCAAGGCCGGTGACCGAATTGAGGTTACTGGCATTTTCCGGAGCAACCCAGTCCGTGTCAATCCCCGCCAACGTACAGTCAAGGCACTCTTCAAGACTTATGTGGATGTCCTACACGTGCAGAAGGTCGACAAACGCAAATTGGGGATTGACGTGTCGACGATCGAGCAGGAGTTGTCAGAACAGGTTTCTGGCGAGGTTGAGCAGACTCGAAAAGTCACCGCCGAGGAGGAAGCCAAGATTAAAGAAACCGCTGCTCGCGAAGACATCTATGAGCTCCTGTCGAGGAGTCTAGCCCCAAGTATCCACGAGCTGGACGACGTCAAGAAAGGTATTTTGCTGCAACTATTTGGTGGCACGAACAAGATATTTGCAAAAGGTGGCAGCCCCAGATACAGAGGCGACATTAACGTCTTGCTGTGTGGTGATCCATCCACCGCCAAGTCCCAGCTTCTGCAATATGTCCACAAGATTGCGCCGCGAGGAGTCTATACCTCTGGTAAGGGTTCCTCGGCAGTCGGATTGACAGCATACGTGACCCGAGACCCAGAGTCCAAACAGCTTGTGCTCGAGTCCGGAGCTTTGGTTCTTTCCGACGGCGGTGTCTGCTGCATTGATGAATTCGACAAGATGAACGAGTCCACTCGCTCGGTGTTGCATGAAGTCATGGAACAGCAGACCGTGTCCATTGCGAAAGCGGGCATCATCACCACCTTGAATGCAAGGACCAGTATCCTCGCCTCGGCCAACCCCATTGGGAGCAAGTACAACCCCAATCTGCCCGTACCTCAGAATATTGATCTTCCGCCGACGCTGCTGTCGAGGTTTGACCTCGTGTATCTGGTGCTGGATCGGATTGATGAAGTGAATGATCGCAGACTTGCAAAGCACTTGGTCGGCATGTACCTAGAAGACACGCCTGATAATGCGTCGAGGGAGGAAATATTGGTAAGTCCAACTCGTCTGCACAAGGGTTCCGTCTGGAGCAGACAAGCTAACAGCCATTTTAGCCCATCGAATTTCTTACCTCTTACATCTCGTACGCCCGCAACAACATCCACCCAAGCATTACTCCCCCTGCTGCCAATGCATTGACAAACGCTTATGTTGCCATGCGCAATCTCGGGTCAAACATCCAATCGTCGGAGAAACGCATCACGGCCACCACTCGTCAGCTGGAGTCGATGATCCGTCTGTCTGAAGCGCATGCTAAGATGAGACTCTCGCCTATAGTGGAGGAGACAGACGTGGAAGAAGCCGTGAGATTGATCAAGTCAGCGATCAAGGCCAGCGCCACGGACGCCAGGACGGGCCTGATCGATATGGGATTGTTGAGCGAGGGCGGCGGTGTCAGCGAACGACGCAGGAGAGAGGATCTCAAGCGAGCAGTGCTGGAAGTGTTGGACATGGACAGCACTATCCGCAGTGGCGGCGCCATGAGATACACGGACCTGTATCGCAAGGTCGCCGAAGGAAGTAGCGTTGAGGTCGAAGGAACCGAATTCAACGAGGTCATTAGAGCGGTGGAAGTCGAAGGGAAAATCACAGTGACGGGCGAGGGAGCTCGGAGATCCGTCCGGCGGATCACAGGTGTCTGATTTGATATATACACATCGCGCAAGTCAGGAGTCGAAGGCAGCCTTGATGCAAGGCCTGGTACTTACTTGCTCATGGGTTATTTGATGGATTGGAACGAAGGATGAAAGGACGCAAGGACATTAGGACGAATTTGGCAACAATAGATGTTTATGACGACAAACGAGTGACTTGCTTTGCCCTTCCTCTCCCTCCTTCTTGTCACTTGTCTTTTCAGGTATTCCTCGCTAGTAATACTCTCCTTGCGGCCGCAGTGTTTGTGTTTGTATTTGGGAGACATGGGATGGGGTATATCTATCCGTACCTCCTCACCTAGTTAGCTGCTACCTATCTCCCCTATCTATCTCTACCGAGTAAAAGGACCCAGGTATACTCGGTACAGGAGTACTGTACTCGGTACGTACTAGGTATATACTAGGTATATACCGCACCTGATATGGAGCAGCAGTGCCGAGTGGGGACATATAGGTACCATATACTCCGTACTCTGTGCCGTACCATGAAGCCATCGAGCATGTACGATGTAAGTGTGTGATTGGCCAATAGACGTATGCCAAGAAATATGCGTCTTGGCGGACATATCTACGCACATACAAGTACGAGGTACGGACCAAGTGGACTCCAACAGAACTACCACATTACCTACCTACGTAGGTATCTATCAGGTCCATTGCGAGAGTGATCCGTACGAGGCATGCAGTATCATAGTACTCGGTAGATTATGCGTAGTTGTAGTTGATTTTTATCTACTTATGTGAGCGCCGTGCGACAGGCACCGCAGCCATGCAAGAAAGCAAATTGGTATCATGCCGGCCCAATATCCCCCCCCTAAATCCTGATATCCTGTTCGCGGAATAACATCTCTTGACCCTTTTTTGATGCGTAGCAAGCAGAAGCGTACGTGTCCAGCCCAGCAGAGTCCTCCTAAGTACGCCGCACCTGACCACTGCCATATAATCCGGCATCGTTGATGGACCAAGACACCGACGCCATGCTTTTGCTGTTGCACTTCAAAGAGTTTCCAGTCGCAATATCCAGTGATGCCCCCTGTCCCAGTAAGAGAATAACAGGTCTCCGATGATCCCTGTCATATGGCAATCCCAAATCCCTTTCAACAAAAAGCTCAATCATCATGTGAAATTGTACACCCTCACCTCTCCGTCCTCGCCACCACTACACATTCTCGAATCACTCAGCCCAATGCATGTCACTGGTCCTGCGTGTCCTGTGAACGTCCGCTCACACTTCCCCGTTCGAGGATCCCACACCTTCACCATCCTGTCTTCTGCCCCAGACACAATCCTCAGAGTATCTGCCGCCACAGCCCAGACACCCTCGACGTGTCCGAAGAATTTGCGGATACAGCGACCCGAGTGGACATCCCATAGACGGATGGTGGAATCCAACGCCGAAGTCAGCATGTAATGGGGTGGGTGGGGACGATCAGGCTGAGAGGTGAAGAGGTTGTTGATACCAATGTCCCTGAATGAGACAATGGGAAACCCGCCATTCTCGTCCATGACTGTGGTCGAACTGTCGGGCGACCCAGGATCCGACACCTGCTCTTCGTCGTCTTCTTGTACGTCGGTACCGGGTTCAAATTCGGCCGGGAGGGGGAGAACCTGCTGAACCTGACCCACGTGCCCTTCAAAAGTGTGGATGCATTTCTTCGTGTCCAGGTCCCATAGTTTCACCGTGCAGTCATCGGACGCGGTGAAAATGGTGCGGGATGCCGAATCGATTTGGACCGAGTTGACCCAATCTGTGTGGCCCCGAAGGGTGAAGACTGACCGGTCCTGGAAATTCCACACCCGGGCTGTGTGGTCGACAGAGCCCGAAACCAAGATGTTGGAGTCAAAGTGAAGCGCAATCACTCCTTCGGTGTGGCCATTGTATGTCGAGATACATTCGCCTGTCCGCCAGTTCCAGACCTTCAGTGTCTTGTCCAGGCTGCCACTGATGAGCTTGTTGTCATCGAACTGCAGACAACGGATGCCCATGGTATGACCAGTCAGTGTCCTGAGCTCTTTGCCGGTGTCCAGATCCCAGATTTTGATCGTAGCATCATATGACCCCGTTGCGAGGATGTTGTCGTAAAATTGGAGGGCCATCACCCCATTCGTGTGGCCCTTGAGAATCTTGATACTGCATCGGCCGTACTTCCAATTGGTGCCCACCTTGAATCTGTCCTTGTACACATCTTTCCAAGGTCTGGTTTTCCGAAAGTATTCGCTATCACTCGTCCCAAGTGGCGGACGGCGGGCAGCCACAGGCGAGAGTCGTCCGTCTGACGAGGAGTCGTGGTGGCTGTCGGTGTCTGATATCTCAACACTCTGCGACGAAGTAGGTACGTTGGCGTCAAAGGAAAGGTTGCTTGCCGCACGCAACTCAATCTGCCTCTTGGTGGCACGCAACATCTTCCTCTCCAACAGGGGTAAACCCCATCCACACTTGGTACACTTTCGATCAATGTGCTGCTCGCACATACGATGCCAGACTACATCGTCATCCGCCAGTTGTCTCCACTTCCTCGATACCTGTGCAGCCTTGCAAAGAGATGTTGTGTCGAGAAAAGAGAGGATGCGAAAGGCGACCTCGGATGGTAGAGCAGAAAGGAAGTCGATCCGAATGAGTTCTCGCACATTGGCTGACAGGAAAGAGAGCTGTGGGAAGCAGCACTGGGCAAGAATACCCTGGAGCATGAGGTTTCGATGTTTGGAGGGCGCGGCAGAGAACAAGGACCACATCTGCACGATCCCCTGTCGATCTTCCTGTGACAGTGTGTCCAATTCTTTCTGCAGTTTGTCCATCGATGGCTCGTCTGCTTGACGCCGGCACAACATGTCAGGTCGATGTCGATAGCAAAACTTGGAATTGGGGTCTTTCATAGGGTCGTAGTGCTGAGTCGCAGGTCTGCCAACCTTGCCCAAGGGCGCATATTGCGAAGGGATGTGCTTTGCCAGAAATTGGGCGACATTCTGGTCAGCATGTTTGGCGGTCGAGGCAATCGTGATGCTCTTGTCTTTTGTGGCGGCATGTCTTTCGTCGTCTTCAGATGGGTTCATTCGAAGTCTCTTGCGGGCCGGTTCCTCCCATTCTGAGTCCGCCAGACCCTGCCTCCGGTGCTGGTCGAGTAGATCAAACGGCATGACGAGGTTTTTTTTAGAGAAATAGCCAAAGGAATTTCACATCTCGTCTGGCAGAGAGTCTCAGATCTCTCTGCTCGTGCGACACGAGGAAAGGAATTTGCAGGTGACTACTCCGAGATCCGACTGGTGTGGGGGATGCCAGCGAGTAAAGTAGACTGCGCTCATGGGAGAAATGACAAAGTAGGGGGGAGGCGCACAGCGAGGGGAGTCGTAAGCAAGAGGATTGCTCGTCAGAAGGGTCAGAATGGTGCAAGATGGCGAAATGCGGTGCTTGGGTTTCGCAAAGCTTCCGAACCTGAAGAGGATGAGAGAATCTGGAGACAGGCGAATATCATCACCGACACCCGGGTTTTTTCGAGAACCGACAAGCGGCCGCAGGCGGTAGTAGTGATGGATCGAAACGAGCGGCGGAAAGGCTGTTAGCGGGGTCTGAGATGGTCAAGTGCGTCGAGTTTGGTGCTCATTCGGAGGCATTTGGGCGCCCAGATTGGCGTGCGCAAGGGCCTAATGACCTAAAGTCCCGGGGGAGGCGGTAGTGACCGGAGGGCTGGAGCCCAGGCTCGCCCTTGGGTCGCCTAGAGCCAATTGAGCCACTGAGGACACTTTCTTTTGCAGGCCAAGTCCCAGTCCGGGCTGCACTCACAATATTTGCCTGCGATGGCGTTATCGCACGCCATTCCCACCATCGAAATCATCATCGCTTGAGTCACCGATTTCATCCACGAGTCCTTGTTCCTGCAGCGCCCATCGGGCTCAGCTGAGAGTTTCAATTTCCAAGCTGGTCAGTCTCACATCTCGGAACCTTCCTTGTGCACAACGGCAAGCCTTCATCCGGGCAGGAGAAGAAGAAGCCACTCCGAGTAATACTAGAGGCCAAGGCATGGCCGTGCATGGCTTACAAGATACAGACAAGCACGGACTCCAGGTTCCGTATTCATTACCCCACAGTAACCAGGGGTTCATTTTGCCTGGGGTGTGAGTTAGTCTCTTTTCCAGGATATACGGCACAGATGGCGCAGCACAACAATTTCGTCGTTGAATGTATCCAACAACTCTGACCAGTTGTAATTGTCGACCTTGTCCTCACCGCTCCTCACACACAGACAGGCGGACAGACGGACAGAGAGAGCGAGCAAACTGCTCATATTTTTGTGAAGCCAAAAGATGAAATAAGCAATGTCCTCACTTGACCCTGTCATGGCGCAATCGCCTCACCGTACAGCCTCAGTTCGATCCTCTCCTTCGCAGTCTGCGCATGCCTCCAGTCCTCCGCTGGCATCTGTTGAGACTCTCGTGTCATACCTAGTGGCCGCTAAGCGGTCCCTCGGCAGTATCCATCTCGTCCACCGAGCCACCACCATCCTCACTGAAGCACGCGCCTCGATCGAAGCTACCACTGCCCTCCTCGCGAAAGCCACATACCTTCGTCGTTCCTTGGCATCTCAATTGAAGATTCTACGTGGTGTCCAGCTGGAACTAGAGACCGCTGCCCAAGGCATTCAGCATGAATTTCAGGCCGTGATCAAAGAGTTGGACGAGACCGGTGCAAGGCTGATACAATCCATAGATCTCTTAAAGCAGACGAGAATCGAAAATGCCTTTAAACCCTCGACCGAGGGCGAGTTGGATGAGGGCCAAGGTAAGGAGACCTTGCACGATTTTGTGGATGACAACGGTGTCGAAACAATCAAACAAGCCATGGAGATTGCCATAGACAATGTACAACATGCCCAAAATGAGATGGGGCAGTCTATACAAACATTGGAGGATGACCTCCAATCCATTAACGAAGTCCTCAATGGGCGAGGAGACCTTTCTAGCACAGACAGTGACCTACAGCAGCCGACCACAATTGCCGGCACTCTCACAACATTAGAGAACCACGCCCGAATAATGGCAGAGGAGCTAGAAAGTCTGGTCAAGCACTTTGATCTCTGCGTTACGGCCATCAAACACACTGAAGGAGGCGGCGAAGCGTTATTCCAGACCATGAATACCGGCGAAGGAGTTGACCTTCCGGACACGGTTGGTCTAGGCATGGACGACCTTCGCGCACCAGCACAACCCATGAACGAAGAAGAACGCCTAGAGATGCTACAGGTGCTCGAGAACGATGCTCAGGAGGTTGACGAGGTAGTCATGGAACTCCAAGATCGCAGTGCCGAAATGGAAGCCCACCTGGACAGGATCCATCAATGGTGCGAACGGCAGGAAAATGCCTACGCAGATGTGGCTACGGCATTCAAGCTCCTCGAAAAGATCTCGGGGCGGTTATCTGGGTATGTGGCCGAGATAGCGCGGCAAGCTCTGAAATGGAATGAAGAAAAGGCCAAGATTGAAGACGGCATCGGCGGGATGGAGGAGTTGTGCGAGTACTACGCCAACTTCCTCCACGCTTATGACGGCCTTATAGTCGAGGTCGCCCGACGTAGGACCGTCAAGAAACAGATGGAGAGAGTGGTGGCGGAGGCGCATGCTCAATTGGAGCAAATGTACGACTCGGATCAGCAGTTGAGGCTCGAGTTCAAGAACGACCTGGGCGAATATTTGCCGAGTGACATCTGGAGTGGCGTCAACACGCTGCCGCCCAGATATTCCATCTCAAGGATCGACGAGGAAGAGGCTGGCAGTGTACCTGAGCTTCCGAGACGGACGGTGGAAGAGGCTTTGAGAAGGCTCAAGTCTGGCAGAGGTGGAGGGATCGCACGATGACTACACAGGTTGTCTAGATTCTGGAGACGTTTCTTGGACACCACGGTAAGTAAGAACTTGTATCTCCTCAACCCCAGATTCCACAGCACAATACAACATGACGACACCGGAAAACACAACACTTGATATGAATCGCGATGGACTGGGACGAGCGTGGCACGATGGTTGTACTTGGTTCACCTCCTCAACCTCTCACTTCCTCGCCCAGCCGGATTATGATATTCAAAGAGAGCACTGAACGCTTGCTTGATTCGGTGTCTTCCGTCACCCTTTATACTGGAGGAATCGGGGAGCTGACTTGTGTGCAAAGGTCTAGGTAGCATCGACACCACTTGGTCGACATTCTCGGTCACGCTCTCCAGAAGCTGGCGTACCCTTTTGCAAGCACCCGCTATCATGTATGGCATCGAGAAGAGTGCGCTCCAACAGGCCGAGTTGTAAGCACGTCAGCACAGATGCTCCCTCCTTGGAGAGGACATTGTGCCTTGCTCATCTGATGTTATCAAGATGCTCGTTCAGGACATTCTGTACCTGGGCAGTATTGTACCACCAGGACTCGCCCTGCTCTGCCATTCCATGTTCCCTCCTTTCCTGCTCCATCTCGCCCTTGCCGGCACAATGATATTGCCAGAAGTATAGGACGCTAGCCGTCCCCCCCAATACGAGAAGCAAGCCTCTTCATGGTCTCCTGATAGTGGGATGGTCCACTGTTAGACTTGTTTCTACCTACCTGGAGCTGATCTAAGGGAGAAGAGAGGGGGCACCCGTGGATTGATTTCTTCGAGGAGCTTGGCTGTATCAAAACAGGTATGCTAACGGGCTATATGATTGGAGAGAAAAGGAGCAGGCTTCGCTACATGCAGTGTGGGCCAAAATATCTTGGATTGAGTGCTATGGACATACGAAGAAGTATGTATGTCGACGATGAGGACAACCAAAACTTTGTCAATGCTTACCCCGGCGCGCCGAGTCCTTGACCAGCTTCTTCTTGGTGGCCTTGGGGATCTTCTGGCTCCGCTTCTCGCGCTTCTCCTCCTTGACCTTTTGTTTGTGTTGCCGTTTGGCATCCTTGTCCTGGAACCGCTTGCCGCGCGGGCGACCTGGCGAGGATCTCGACGAGGCCGAATCTGACGCGTCTTCGGAGCCCTCGCCGTTGGATGCGGCCGAGGTGTCCGAAGCGTCGGAGCGGAGAGCGGCGCCGCCTTCTTCGTCGAGATCTTCTTCTTGTGCATGTTGTTTTCCGTCATTTCTCTCGAGATCGTCTTGGTCTTGACCTTCGGTCGAAGAAGAAAGGTGGTTCTTGTCGACGCTCTGGGAGGGGATGAAAGTCGACTCTACCGCTGGTGCGTCTTCGCTTCGCAGTGGCGCCAGCAGATTCTTGTACACTAGTGCATCTCGTCCCTGCGTCTGCAGCGTCTCCGCATCCTTCTCTGCGTCGTACACCTCGTCCAGCGTTTGCGGTATGTACTGCTTGCGGAAGACCTCGTTTTCCACCTCGTCCTCTTCCTTGTCGTCTTCAGACCGCTCCGCCATCAATTTGTCAAGGTCTTTCCGTTCCTCCTCGATCTCGAGCCCCTGGCCGCTGGCAGCGGGGGCTTTTGTGATGTAATCGTACGTCTTCCGCTCCGCCAGGACGTTGACGCCCTTGCGGCGGAAGAAGTCGGTGACGTTCTTGATGTCCATACGCAAAAAGTCGAGACTGCGTGGGTGGTCGCCCTCGACGCTCTGGCTCACGTCGATAATGTACGGCTTGTTCTCGTAGTACAGGATGTTGTACTCGCTCAAGTCGGCGTGGACGAGTTTGCAGATCTGTAGCATGATGCGCATGTATGCCACGACGTCGATGTAGATGGCGCGCCACCTGGCGCCGTCGTCTTCGTCCTCAAACTCCACATCCTTCAGACGAGGGGCCGCTTTGCCCTTTTTCCCGTTCCCGATGAAGTTCATTCCCAGGACGTGCCGATGAAGATAAAGCGGTTCGGGGCAAGGGATGCCCGCGGCATGGATCCTCTTGAGGTTTCGCATTTCCTTCTCCGCCCACATCTTCACCATGGCCCGGTTGTCCCGAGTCCTGTATCCCTTGCGGAAACGGAACTCACCTGTCACATACTTTTCGCGGTCCTTGAATACCAAAATGGCCGTTTTGTACACCTTGATGGCGACGTGGGTGTCTTCCTGCGAGCCGTCTTCGGACTCGGCCACGGCGTGGTAGACGTTTGCTTCCTTTCCGGTGGAAATGGTGCCGTGGATCTCGGAGACGATGCCCTTCTGGATCATAGAGAAGAGGATCATCCGCGTTTTGGGATCGAGGACTTGTTCGGCCGTTGCACGCTCGCTTTTGTCCTTGTCCTTGTTGCGACGGCCATCCTCGTCCGGGGCCACGTCAGAAAACACGAGATCCTTCATGTCGCGGTATAGATTGCTGACAGAACCTTGAGATGGCTTTTGCTGGGGGTTTGCTTTGGGATACTGCCAAGCGGGGATCTTGGGGTCTGAAGCGGCTTCATTGAGGCGCCGTCGTCTGTTATATGACTTTGTCAGGTCGGCCGGATTAGACGTGGCAAGGTCCTCAGGGTCGAGGACCTGGTCGCGGTCCACTTCTTCGTCGTAGAGGTCCTCCAGCTCATCCTCGTCCTCCTCGCCGTCTGCATCTTCCACTTCGTCGTCGTCATCTTCCTGAATAAATTGGCCTAGGGCTATTCTTCTCCGGGGAGGTGCTGTATCGGCATTTACATAGCCATGATTTGGTACGTATGTGTGCGAGGGAGCGATTCCATCCGCAATTCCTTTGGAAGTGTCGGTTGACATTGCGGCAGGGTATTCATCAGACAGTGGCGGGAGGCGAGACACAGTGTTTGTCAGGGAAAGAGTAAAATATGCAAGTCACTTGTTGCCACACAGAAAATGAAAGTGGCACTTGAAATGCGTCATTTGAACTGCATTTTTATGCCAAGAATACTTGACCGTAGTGATTGATATCAATACGGCAGATCATTACTGCAACTGCGGCAACATCATTTCCCTTCGAGTCTCTACTCATCCATTGTCCACTGCCACTCCATCTGTGTTACTTGGACACTATATTCTTTGCCTGCGACATTCTCACGCCCGGGGAAAAGAGGCTCTTCAGGCACCACCAAATTCCTGCTCTTCTTTGGCCGGAGGAATGTACCAGTCCGAGTCAACCACCAGCTTGACCCGGTGTAGATCCTTGGCCATGATTTTGTCCTTGTCTGCTAAGTACACCTCGACCTTTCTGGAGCAGTCAATATACCTGCCAGACATGAAATCCAGTTGTCCACTGGACAGCAGGACCACATAGCCCGCTGGCATCTGCGGCGTGTCCCAGGTAACATCCTTGAAGAAATTGACGGCGATATTGGCTGACTTGTCCTCTCCAGGTAGGCTTTTGGACACATAGCTGCCCTCCTTGATGTTTCCCTCAGATGCCTCCTTGAAGTCAGTGAAGAATCGAGTCGGAATGGCACCCGGGTGGATGGCGAACGTCCTGATGCCGTGGTCTTTGTTCTCGTGATGGAGAATTTCCGCCAGACGTACCAGGCCCAGTTTACCCAGGGCATAGCTGCCCATGCCGTTGCTCACATGAGCGCCAGCACTTGAAGTGAAGATGATTCTTCCACTCTTCTCTCGCCGCATGATCGGAAGTGCTGCTCGAGCAAAGTTGAAGCCTCCTTGCAGGGACACTGCCAGGGTATCCCACCACACAGTGGGATCTGACTCCCAGGTCGCCAGCCATTGTGGTGGACGGCCTGCATTCGCGAAGACCACGTCAATGTGCCCAAATTCGCGGTCGATATCGTTGATGAATTGCTGCACTTTGGCATAGTCTTTGACGTCGAAAGCTGCGGTCTTGGTTAAAAGCTGTGGGTTGATCTTTTTACATATGCTGGCTGTCTCATCGACCTCGCGCAGCTCCAGTGCCATCAAGCTTAGCGACTTGGCTGCAGTATGAGCAAAGAACTCAGCAGTGGCTCTTCCGATGCCGCGGCCAGCACCAGCAATCACCACGTGCTTGTCTTTGAATGCAGCGGCCAGTTGGCGATTCTGTCTCGGGTCGGTCGCAGGTTGGCAATCATGTTGGTCTCCAAGAAATCTTTCGACCATAGGTTCACTTGGTTCGCCCATGGTGACTGAAGGTGTATGGCTACGACGTCTGTCTACTACTGGCTACAATCAGAAGACAACAAGTGCTGGGGAGAGGACATTATCATCTGGCCACACCAGATGTCCCCCACATGTTGCCAGGACTGCTGCTAACCTAAGTGGAGTAGGTACATTTGCCGTTTCCCATCTGATCGGCAAAAAACCTTGCACGCCCTCGTCAATCGTAGGTCAAAGATGGGTCAAGATGGGTCAGGGAATGGGAGCGACTGTGGGGAAGATGTTTGTGGGGTTCTTGGAGACATAAGAAGGTGGGTTCACGGGTAAGGACCATACAACACATTGTCCAGACAATCGTCCCAGCTCTGTTTGGAGTTTCTTTGCCCTCGGTTCGAATACTTCACAATCCCAAGATGGGTTCAATTGGGCTCTCAAAAGCCGAGCATCATCGGGTCATTATCGTTGGTGCTGGCCCGGTCGGGCTAACGACCGCAACCAATTTAGCAAGGCTTGGGATCCCTGTCTTGGTCCTCGAGAGGAATCACCAGGTCGATCAATCTCCCCGGGCGGCATCGTATCAACCATGTGCGCAGGCCGAACTGCTCGAGACAGGTACCCTAGACGACGTCAGAAAGGAGTCTGTCATCAATGATGTGGTATCATTCTGGATCAAAGGCAAAAAGGTGGCGCATGTGGAGAAGCGAGAAGGAGGCAGCCTCTTCCCTTCTGGCATCAATTGTCCTCAGCCGAGACTGGCCGCCATACTCCTGCGCCATCTCACCACCAAATATAACTCGGAAGTGCGGTTCAATCAGAAAGTCATTGAGGTCTCTCAAGACGAGAAACAAAGTCTGGTTTCTTTGACCGCCGTGGATCCAACTACCAACCAAGAAACTCTATATACCTGCGACTGGCTGATAGGGGCGGATGGGGCAGGCTCGAGCGTGCGCAAACTGTCCCATATCCCCTTTGAAGGGTTCTCCTGGCCGAAAGAAGATTTCGTGGCTACGAATGTGCGATTTGATTTCTTTAAACATGGATTTGACACCGCAAACCTGATCTTGGATCCGGTACATTGGGCTGTCGTCACAATCCTCGACGACACAGGACTATGGCGCGTGGCATTTGGGGTCAGAGCGGGCTTGACCAACGAGGAGATACGAGCCGAGCTTGACGAGCACTATAAGCACATCTTCCCAGTGTGGCCCGTCGAGTATGAGCTGGTACAGTTGAACAAGTACAAGCCGCATCAGAGATGTGCACAGACTTTCAGACTGGGCCGGATATTGCTGGCCGGTGATGCTGCGCATGTGAGTAGTTCGACTCCGACTGTTTGTTACCCAAACGTTCTACTAACACACATTCTAGAGCAATAACCCCATTGGTGGCCTAGGCTTGACGACGGGTCTCTTGGATGCTGGACCTCTGGGCCGTGCGCTCGGCGCTGTCATCAACGGCACAGCGCCCGAGTCGCTCCTCGATACGTGGGCCAAAGCTCGCCGAGATAAATGGCTGAACTTCACCAACGAGTTTTCCATCGAGAACAAACGCATGTGCCAATTGGGGGGATACAGCGACGATCCTCTCGGGATCTGGGAGATTGACGACGTGGCCAAGGAGCACAAGATGGAGCAGTGGTTAGCCATGGCTACGCCGGAGAAGAAGGAAGCCGACGCGAGGATGTACAAGGCTCTCGAGGATCCACAGGCGCAGCTGGTCAGTCGGATGAAGCAGTGGGAGATTACCATGGATCCCATGTGGATGGCGCAGTACGAGGATCCGGAGCTGGTCAAGTACAGAGTTTCGCTGAGGCCTGCGGTGCTGTCGACGCCCGAGGCTGCGACATGAAGGAGAGCTGGACAGAACCGTGGGCTTTGCACAGAATTTATCCCAGGCCGTGTATATAGACTGAAGGGAGACCAAGGGGAGCGATGACTGGACGAGGCGGTCTTTCTTGGCCTGACCGAAGAGAGTTGGATGAGCTCCATTTCTTACAGACCACATGAAGATACCTCCCAACGGCCAGCCAAAAGCACGCCTCTTAATATTAGTTGTTGGGTACATTTCATTTTTGTTTTTGCCCAATCCGATCCGATAGCCAGCCAGCCGGCCAGCACTCCTGACTGGGGCTTAGGAACTCCTCCGTGATTGAAATCAGTGACAATCCATGCGAGCTTGGACCCATCAAAGCCATGCATGCGTGCATGTGGCTACACCTTTGCGGCAACAGGGACACCAACGCCAGCGACACCGGCCGCCGCGGCGGCTGCGGCGGTGGCAGCAGCAGCGGGGGAAAGTTCGGCTGTTTGTGACGACAACGACAGCGACGACGACGCGGCAGCAGGAGCAGCAGTAGCAGTAGCAGTTGTCGGTGTAGTTGTACTTGTCGCCATCGCAGCCTTGTTCTTGTCGCTCGGATCGTCGTACGGCGTGGCGTCCATGATCTTCCACATCTGGGCCGCGTGCAGCGCGTCGTCGGGCATCTTGCGCGGGATCGACGTGCTTTTGTGGCCGTCGCTGATGAACATGACACTCTTGCCCTGTATTATTGCCAGGTCCAGGCCCGCCCGGCCCCCTTCCAGCGAAGGGGGAGGGAGGTGGACGGCGACGTTAGTCGTGCTGAGCTGGAGTGCATGGTGGATCATGTATCTCATGTAGGGTGTATATGGTGCGTGTAGGGGAAAGGAAACGGGTAAGGAATGTGTCAGGACTGTAAAACTCACCAGACCCAATGTCAATTCGATAGATGAATCGACCATTGTCGGCGTATACTCCTTCAACTTGACCGCCGGCAAGGAAGTGTCCGCTGTCGCCGTCTTGTTGGCGTCTGCGTCCGTCCCCTTCCTCCTCTTCCTGTTCTTCTGATCCCCTCGAATCGCCCGCAGAATGTTCTCCGCGACCAGGAACCCTTGCATCGTGGCCGGGCGGCCCATCTTCGGACCGGGCAGGTCGATCACGTCGCCCAGGGCGAATATGTTGCGGGGCGCGTCTCGGATCTGCAGCGTCTTTTCTACCAGGATCGAGCCCGACGGGGACACAGACTTTGGGGAGAAGCTCTTCAGGAGCGCCGAGTTGGCCGCTTGCCCTGTGCATCGGATCTGGTGGACTTTGGTCAGCGAGGAACGTGTCGAACGCAGATTGATGGGGTAGGACGGCGAGAGAGGGTTAGGGTTACGAGAGAATACTTACCACTAGATCACACTGGATGACATTGCCGCTGCGAAGCTTGATCTGCTTGGAATCATCCCCCTCCAACCCCGCGATCACCCGGTCCCCCAGGTACAGCTTGATGCCGAGCTCTTCGAGCGCCTTCTTCGCAATGTCGTGGAGTTCGGCCCCGAAGTTGTTGAGCAGGTTGTCGCGGGAATGCACCAGCGTGACGCTTTTCTGCGGATACTTGCTCTTGATGTCTGAGGCGACTTCGACGCCCGCGGCACCACCGCCCACGATGACAATGTCCTTGGAGGCCACGATGCGCTGCTGCTCCTCCTGGAAGAATCTCACACAGTTCGCCTTGTCGTCGCCGTCCCCGTCCTTGTCGAGCCTCGCCGGATACCGCGATCGCGATCCGGTCGCCACGGCGAGATAGTCGTACGCAATCTCTGTTCCGTCCTGCAGAATGACCTTGCCGGGTTCGATGGCGATGACAGAGCCCTGCTTGAACACGTACGCTCCGACAGGAACGTTGCGTGGGCCCTGGTCCGGATACGGGATGATGGCATTGTGCTCCTGGCCCGCGAGGACCGTGGCGCGAGGGAAATTCCACGTAAAGTGGAAATGGGAATGTTTATCGATCAAGACTACTCTGTACCCCGTGGGAAGGGACTCGGCGAGTCGCTTGGCAAGAAAATACCCAGCGAAGGAGCCGCCTATGATCACGACGTTGCGCGGGTCAGGCACAGATTTGTACCTCAATCGGTGGATATATGTGGATATATAGATACATAATCTCTCAAAAGAGGCAGATAAACCGAAGCCAAGCAGTTTGATATAGAGAAAGGCTTTGGTAAACATCTTGAAGGGAGAGAAAAGATTGGAGACAGAGGACGAGGCAGAGAAGGGAAAGGGGCGGGTGATGATCTTATCAGATAAAAATCAGATTGGAAAACAAACGAGATTCATCGTCATCCCAGCTTTGGCTCCTCGGAATCCGCGGTGTTTCCGTGGAGGTGGGGAGGAGGCGCCGATGTCGGCTGAAACTCGCTTGAATATAGTGTGTCTCGGCCTTTGACAAGGGTATACGAGTCCCCGTATATCCGCCAAGTAGTATGAAGATCGGTTCAGGGGATGTGCTCCGCAAAGTGGCATTGCCCAAGGCTGCCGAGACTATGGCTCGAGAAGTCCCTTGTGCGACGTCACTGGCGGCTTCGCAGCCTTCAGATAGCGGATGCTCTCCCTGGTCTGCTGGAAGTGAACAGTGCCGTACCGGAGCAGCTCGGCAAAAGTACCTGCCTGGTGATCCTTGTCCTCGTTGCCTGGCTCCTCCCAAAGGACACCAGCTGCCGGCGTCTTGGTCAGGTTCTTTCCATGGGTGATTTTCTGCAAGCTCGACTCTGTCAGAAGCCGCCAGACCAGCTTGTACGCCGTCTTGTATTCCTCAGAGTCTGTTGGCGCGTCAAGTGGGGTGGCCAGGGCGTTGAACAGGATCGGTCCGCCAAAGCCGATCGTGGCTTCAGCACCCCAGTCTTCTAGCAGCACGTCGAAGACGAGAACCTTGTTCAGCCAGTACTCGGTCGCGTTGAAGCCATCTCGTGCATTCTCCAGCATGCACAGTCTTTGCCAGGACAAAACCTGGCTGATGTATTCCATTACCGTCTGGGGCTCCACCGCGAAGTCCCATCCGAAATTCGCTTGTTCTGCCGCCTCAAAAGTGTGAGTCAATGCGAAAGCGACCAGGGGATGTTGGATCAAGCCTTCGTGATTTTGGCGGTCCTTCCACAGATGAATGAAGAGGTCGTGCCTACAAGCGTTGTTGTTAGCCCGCGCCCGGCAGATCTTACATGTCACATACCAGCATTTGATGAAAGGGTCGCCCTTCCGACTCGCGACGAAATGGTTGGCAATGGTTGTTCCATACATGATTGGGACACAGACTTCGAAAGGTGAGTTGGGATCGGCTAATTGATTCCAGCATATCCTGTCAAGATCACGTATCAAGATGTTCCCAGTGTCCATGTAGACTCCTCCATGAGAATACAGGCATGCTCCTCGCAGGAAGTCGGAGCTATGAGGCCCAGCATATACCCCGGTCATCGTGCTAGTAACGAATGCTTGCGGGAGGAGATCGGCCGAGATATATTTGAGGGCGTTATTGGGAGAGTCTGGTACGGAGTCGAGGATACGGAGGGTCCACGAGGGCGAACAGAGCCGGACCCAATCGACAACATTACGCTGGCACCATCCAGGCATCGCCCGAAGACCCTTATCCCAGAAGGCCCAGATATTCTTTTCAGACCTGACAGGCTTGTACTCCTCTAACGAAGCCAGGATTTCTTCGTCAGAGCGCTGATCAACATGGTCGACATAGCGCAGCTGGGCCTCAAATTCTGTGGGTATCTCAAATTTCGTCGTAGAGGCCATCATCTGGGGATTGAAAGGTGAAATGGATATTGACTTGAGCAAAAAAAATCACTTCACCTTCCGACGAGTCTGCCGTTCCATTTATACTAGCCTTGGGCTACCTCACAATCCAAGGTCTGAGATTGATTCCCTCTATGCATAAGGCTAGTCGTTGGATGCTACATGATCGAGTCGTGGAGCGCAGCAGCTCTGGGCCTGAATTGGAGGCCTGACGAACAGTTTGGGAATATATCCATTGCTGGCACCCTTCGACATCGTTTCGGGTGGATGCCTGAGTCCGAGCCAATCCGCCGGGTCAATGAGTCTCCGAGCTTTTTCGGTCTGAGTCACCAACAATCCTATCCGAGAATGGCGTCGGAGGTAACAATTCACTCAAGGGTTAGCGTGAAGCGTCACAGATTGGGCGGAGCGGCTGTGTTGATTGATGCCCCCCTGTCGCACCGCAAGGTCACACGGGGAAAAACTAAGGAGAGGGAAGTTGTTCTCCTACTTGTTTGGATGGACAAGGGTACGAGGTGCATGGAGGAGGAAATACAACCTGAACCAGGATATGGACGAGATATCTCGTACAATGTAGTGAGGCAGGTGTGCCGATCACGTGCTCATATAGTGCCAGTTTTAACAGTCAAAGACCGACTAGCCTCTTTAGGATTAGCCTCAATATACCATTGAGGAGTTCGCGAAGCGCGTGCTTGTTCCACCTGGAGCCTCGCGTCGCTTTGATGATCCAACAATCCTTCACGACTCTCAGCTCCACGGCGCTGTTGTGCGCACGCCTCTGAAAAGACACCAACGTCGACGAGAATCTCATCTGCGCATCATGCACATTAAGCAGATCACCATCCAAGGCTTCAAGAGGTAAGGACTACCCAGGTGTTGATGCAGAAACTGTTTTTAATCACTTCTTGCAGCTACAAGAACCAGACAGTTGTCAATCCCTTCTCCCCGAAACTCAACGTCGTTGTCGGTCGCAATGGCTCGGGCAAGAGCAACTTTTTCGCCGCGATTCGATTCGTTCTCAGTGATGCCTATTCACAGATGGGACGCGAAGAGCGACAGGCCCTCATTCACGAAGGGTCCGGCTCCGCTGTCATGTCCGCGTATGTGGAGATAGTGTTCGATAACACAGATGGGCGGTTCCCAACCGGAAACGATGAGCTCATACTGCGCCGTACAATCGGCCTCAAGAAAGATGAATATTCACTCGATCGCAAGAATGCGACGAAACAAGATGTCATGCAGCTCCTTGAAAACGCAGGATTCTCGCGTGCGAACCCCTACTACATCGTTCCTCAAGGTCGCATCACCAGGTTGACCAATATGAAGGACTCCGAGCGACTGGACGTCCTGAAAAGCGTCGCAGGTACACAGCAGTTTGTCGCCAAGAAGGAGGAGTCGCAGAAGATCATGAGTGACACAAGCAACAAACTGGCCGCCATTGATCAGACGTTCGAGCAGATCGAAGACCGTCTCCAAGAACTCGAGGAGGAGCAAGCAGAACTCCGAGATTTCCAGGAGAAGGACCGCGAAAAACGCGCACTTGAATACACCCTCTTCCATCGAGAGCAAGATGAAATCAACAGAGCTTTGGCAGAATTGGAAGATCGAAGAGCGGGCGGGATTGACGGGGTCGACGGGAACCAGGAACTCTACGCACAAAACGAGGACGAACTAGCCCGAATCTCCCAACAAATTCAACAGCTCAACCATCAAATCCAGGCTGCGCGGCTTGAGAAAAGACAGTACGAAGAGGAAAAGCGAGAAAAAGCGAGGGCGCGAGCCCAAGTCGAGTTGGAAGAGAGGAATCTGGTCCACGGACAAGCGGCGGCTCAACGCACCAAGCAGGAGCGTGACAAAGAGCTGAAACAAGTTCGCGCACAGATCCAGGAGATCGAGCAAGAACTGAGCACCATTATCCCGCAATTCCAGGCAGAGAAGGCAAAGGAACAAGCCGTCAAAACTCGGTTAGAGGAAGCAACCGCCACGCAACAGCGGCTCTATGCGAAGCAAGGGAGAACTGCTCGATTCAAGTCAAAGGCAGATCGGGATAGCTGGCTACAAACACAGATTGACGAAACATTCCAGTCTCTCTCCCGCTTCAAAGCGACTCGCATGCAAACCGCCGAGGGCATCGCAGACGATGAAAAGCAAATTGCCAGTCTCGAGAAGGAGATCGAAAGCCTTCAGCGGCGAGTGGGTGCACCGGACCATTCCATTGACCAAGAGATTCAAGCGGCCAACGAGAAGAAGGACGCGCTGATAGATGAGCGGAGAGCACTGTGGCGCAAGGAGGCGCAGCTTGACTCTGAATACGCAGGGGCTTTGGATGACCTGAGAAAAGCTGAACGCAACCTGTCACACATGATGGATGGCAACACCAGCCGGGGTTTAGACGCTGTTAGGCGCATCAAGGAGCAATACCGCCTGGAAGGTTGCTATGGTCCGCTTGCAGAGCTGATTGATGTCCCTCAACATCACACAGCCGTTGAAGTCACCGCAGGGGGTTCACTCTTCCATTATGTGGTGGACAACGACGACACAGCGAGCAAGGTCATGGAGATCTTGAGCAGGGAGCGCGCTGGGCGACTCACCTTCATGCCGTTGAATCGACTCAAGCCTAAAACAGCAAACTTCCCCAACGCGCAAGATGCGAGACCACTTATGTCACTCATCAATTACGACAAGAAGTTTGAGAAAGCTGTCCAACAGGTTTTTGGCAAAGCCATTATTGCACAGAACCTAAGCGTCGCAGCACAATATGCTAGAACTCACGGTTTGACCGCTGTAACCCCCGAGGGTGACCGGTCTGACAAGAAAGGCGCATTGACTGGTGGTTACCATGATGTCCGCTCTTCGAGACTCAAAGCCACGAAGGCCGTGATGGCAGCGCGTGAGAGATTCGAGGCGGTCAAGGCTGAGGGCATCGATAACAAGAAGAAGATTGAAAAGATTGACCAGACCATCACAAAGGCCATGAGCGAGGTTCAAAAACTCGAGCAAAGAAAGAACCAATCTCAAGGTAGCCAGATCTTACTCAGACAAGAGATCAAAAGCAAGACGGACATGCTACAGCGCAAAAAAGAGGATCTCGAAGCAAAACAGAAGCAAGAGGCGTCGATAGCGGCAAACGTTAAGATCCTGACGGACCAACAGTCTGCCTACCAAGCTGAGTTGGGCTCAGACTTTAAGAAAGCACTGAGTGCAGCCGAAGAGAAGCAACTAGAGAGTCTTACAATCACTATACAAAAGTTGAGGCGCGAATACAACGATCTGTCTGCGTCTAGAGCAGAGACTGAAACCAGGAAGGCTGACTTGGAAGCTCGGTTGAACTCGAGCCTGAAACCTCAGCTCGAGGCGTTACAGACCGACGAAGTGGACGAAGAGGCCGGCAGCTCTTCCCAGATACGCGCCAAGGGGGCCGAGTTGGCCCGTTTGACCAAAGAGCTCAGCTCTGTACAGACTTATCTGGATGAGCTCGAGGAGAAACTGGAGCAATCGGCGACTCAAGTCGGCGAGCTCGAGGCTGAAGCGGCCGAGATCAGGCGCAAACAAGAAGGATTGGCCAAGGCGATCGAACGTCACCAACGCCGTCTGGAGAAATCGGTCCAGAAGAAGGCTGCTCTCTTGGCCTCGAAGCAGGATACTGTGGAGAACATCCGCGAACTCGGTGCCATCCCTGAAGACTTGCGGAAGAAGTATCAGAATACTGACTCGAACGTTATTGTGAAGAAGCTCCAAAAAGCCAAAGAAGCCCTGAAGAAATACAATTCTGTCAACAAACATGCTTTTGAACACTACCGAAAATCGATGAAGCAGCGGGAAGAGCTCACTGCCAGACGAAAGGAGCTTCAGGCAGGAAGATCGTCCATAGAGAACCTGATCAAAGTTCTCGACCAGAGGAAGGACGAAGCCATCGAGCGGACCTTCAAGCAGGTTAGCAAGGCGTTTGCCGAAGTTTTTCAGAAGCTCGTCCCTGCTGGTCGAGGCCGATTGGTCATTCAGCGGAAAACCGACAAGCGACAAGCTGAAGACTCGGATGAAGACTCGGATGCTGAACGCGGGAACAAGCGCGGTGTTGAGAACTATACCGGCGTGGGTATTAGTGTTAGCTTCAACAGCAAACATGACGATCAGCAGCGGATCCAGCAGTTGAGCGGTGGTCAGAAGAGTAAGCATGTTCCCGTCTCTGGAGACGCCTCTTTACTAATCGCGTGATGTCTAGGTCTTTGCAGTCTTGCCCTCATCTTCGCCATCCAAGCCACTGACCCGGCACCGTTCTACATCTTCGACGAGATTGACGCGAACCTCGACGCACAATATCGGACCGCGGTGGCCGATCACCTTTTGTACCTTGCAAACAGGGCGGATGAGGAACCCGCAAACGGCGACGAGAGACCGCTTGGGGGGCAGTTCATCTGTACAACATTCCGACCCGAAATGCTGAGGGTGGCGGACAAGTGTTTCGGCGTGCGCTTTGGTAATAATGTGAGCACCATTAGGGAGGAGACGAAGGAAAATGCGCTGGATTTCATTGAGAGCCAGACTCAGTGATTGGGAGGACGATACTAGTATCTTGGGATTCAGGGATAGACGACGATGATGAATGACGCGCGAGGCCTTACGATATCGTTTGAGGCTGGTGATTGGGTGTAATGGTACGAGGATTGCAGGTGCAGTTCAGGCACACAGAGCACTGGGATCTCGGAGAGGAGAGGGATTACGATATCATGTGTTTTGTTGACCGCCGTGTGAGAGTGTTGCCTGCGCCTTTTGTTCTTTGTTCTCGTGTGTTTGGCCAGCGCGTAAAGTACCGAGTACAACGCGTCCGTGTCAACAACGCCAAGCCATTGACGTGCCTGTGGATCCTGAGCCAGTTTTTGGCTGCAACAAACCTTGCAAATTTCCATCCATTTTCCCTTTCTTCCCGCCTGGCGGCAGCCAGCGACGGACCCCTGCCTTTTGCTCTTCCTCAAGTCTTTGTCTTTAATATCAAACACGATACCAGTCCAAGGCCTTTATCGGACTCGTCCACGCCCTTAGACCCGGGCGGACGTCACACCTCGATTCGCTGAGAGACATCTCAAGTCGGACTCGACGAATAGTTTCACTACAACACTCTCCCGCTGTATTTCTTACGCACACTTGGTCAGGATGAAGTACGTTCTGGTGAGCGGTGGCGTGATCAGTGGGATCGGCAAGGGGATAATCGCGTCGTCCACGGGTCTTCTGCTCAAGACCGTCGGTCTGAAGGTGACGGCGATCAAAATCGACCCATACCTGAATGTGGATGCAGGAACTATGGCCCCAACCGAGTATGCAGACTTTGGTTATGCCTTCAGATGGCCGTCTAACTATTGTGTAGGCATGGGGAGTGTTTTGTCCTGGACGATGGCGGCGAGGTCGACCTCGATCTCGGAAACTACGAGCGATACCTGAACGTGACCTTGACCTTTGAGAATAGCATCACAACTGGAAAAGTGTATCAGCAGGTTATTGAGCGTGAGAGGAGAGGTGACTACCTTGGTAAGACCGTCCAGGTGGTCCCTCACATTACAAATGCAATTCAGGACTGGATTGAAAGAGTGGCAAGAATCCCCGTGGATGATACAAAGGAACAGCCGGATGTGTGCATCATCGAGCTAGGTGGGACGGTAGGTGATATTGAAAGTGCGCCCTTTATTGAGGCCATGCGGCAATTGCGAAGAAGAGCAGGTCGTGACAATTTCATACACATTCACGTTTCGCTGGTGCCGGTCATTGGCAGTGAGCAAAAGACGAAGCCTACACAGCAAGCAATTCGGGATGCTCGCTCAGCTGGTCTGGCACCTGACTTGGTAATCCAGACTCCTCCTGAACCTTCTCCTGGCTAGAGACTGACGACGACCAGATTGCATGCCGTTGCCAGGACCAGCTTGTCGAGGCCACAACCAACAAGATTGCCATGTTCTGTCAAGTTGAGCCATCACAAGTCCTGGCCGTCCATGACGTCGAGTCGACATATCATGTGCCACAGCTACTCAAAGAACAGGGTCTGCCTGACCAGCTCCGCGAGCTCTTCCGTCTCGACGTTTACAAGATTGCCCCTTCGTTGGTCATAAAGGGCCAGCAGATATGGCAGGAATGGCAGCGCTTGACAACGTCACAAGATCGCTTCTTGGAATCGGAGAAAGTCAATATTGCCTTGGTCGGCAAATACACAAACCTCCACGACTCTTATCTCTCGGTCATCAAGGCTCTGGAACACAGTGCCATGGCCTGCCGGCGCAAACTCAACCTTGTTTGGGTTGACGCAAGCGATCTCGAAAAATCCACTTTGGATTCAAACCCAGAGAAATACCACAAGGCATGGCATGAACTATGTACAGCCGACGGGGTCCTTGTCCCCGGTGGATTTGGACATCGCGGGACTGAAGGGATGATTGCAGCTGCCAACTGGGCTCGAACCAAGCCCAAACCATATCTCGGAATATGCCTAGGTATGCAGGTCGCTGTGGTTGAGTATGCTCGCAACGTGTGCGGTCTGAAGTCGGCTAGCTCGGTCGAACTAGATGCACAAACGCCGGACCCCGTGGTCATCTTCATGCCGGAAATCGACAAGACGACCATGGGCGGCAACATGCGACTGGGTCTGCGCCCGACAATCTTTCAGGAGAATACACAGTGGTCGCGACTGCGGAAACTCTACAACAACGAACCTAGCATCCATGAGCGACATCGTCATCGCTACGAAGTGAACCCCGAATACATCACCCGCCTATCCGATGCCGGCTTGTCATTTGTTGGCAAAGACGACAAGGGTGAGCGCATGGAAGTCATGGAATTGAAAGAACATCCCTTCTTTGTAGGTGTACAGTTCCATCCTGAGTATCTCAGTCGTGTACTCCGGCCCAGTCCGCCTTATTTGGGCTTTGTGGCCGCGAGTGCGGGAATGCTGGAGCAGGCGTTTTCTGCGGTGGCGGCACGAGACGAATTGCGCAATGTCAATGGCGCCAACAACCATTTACCGCACGAAAATGGCGTTAATGGCGCCTTGACCAACGGGATGAGCCAGGTGTCGCTTTCGTCCTCTACGGGATTCTGACGGTCAGAGGATGATGGTACCAAGGTTTCAATTTGATATTGGATGCCAGCACCCCGAGGAGGTCTCAGCGGAGGGCAACGCATGGAATATTGGAGTGTCCATCACACACCATAGTCCATCCTTGTCCATCACGATTTCATTTGTTATGAGGAACACACACACACATCTTTATCGCATGCTTGGAACTGCTCCTGGTACGAAGGACTTGAGGGAACTCTTTATGGACACGCACGAAATCTATAGAATATGAATGAGCCATTTTCCCGGGGTCTCATTTTTGGATATCAGGGACCCGTGGCGTCAGGAACTGGTGTATTCTTTCTATATCGGTTGTCAGGGCCTATATAAATTTTGGGGGGGCGCGCCCTCCGTGCCGCTTTTTATATAAATGCATCATGACGATGAATCTTGAGTGTTGTCTCCAGATATGGTATGGACGGATCTGGCCTCTTTTTTCTTCTTTTCATGAATATCCTTTGTTTCATGTGAATACGTTGTCAGGGATCTGCTGTGTGAATGGCGGACTGGCTGGCATGGATTTAGTCAGAAGTTGGGACGCTGTATACTCATTACATAGCGATCCAGCTCGGTGATCGGTGATCGGCGATTGTGACTTGAATAATTCGTCTCTCACGACTCAGTGAGCTGGTAGCTCATACGTCGCAGGTCTACGACGAACCTGCTCCGCTGCCACTTGGGTGCCCAGGCGCTGTCGAATCAGCAGAGCCGGAATCGAACGGCTTGCCGCCCACTCTGTCTCGGTGGGCGAGTGCAGTCTTGCCCTCTACGTGGACCAGCTCTGCCTCGCGGACGAAGACGGCACCCTGCTCGAGATCGTCCTCTTCTCTCCCTAGAGAACCATGCGTGGGCCTTTGAGCGCGCCGTGCAATGTCGTCGTTATCGTCATCGTCATCATCATCGCCAGCTGCAACCCTGAGGCGCGCCCTCTCCCGGTCAACCCACCTCCTCCAAGGCCGGTAGCACAGCACGCTGATGCCGCCGACGACGACGAAGCTGCCGCAGATGGCGCCGCCGATGACCTCGTACAGATCGCCGGCCTTGGCGACGCCGTCCCAGAAGGCGCCTTTGGGGGAGGCGACATTGAGGATCAGCGAGAGCAGCTGCAGCATGCCGATGATGATGGCGCATAGCACGGTCAGTGTGGTCAGCACGATCGAATAGTACAGGAAGGTGAGGGGATTCTTCACGCGTGCCGTTGTTGTTGCTGTCGTGGTTGTAGCAGGGTCATCTTGTTGGTAAGGCTGTTCTGATGTCGCTGGCCGCGTGTGACCTGATTGTTCCACGTCTGTGAGAATCAGCGGGTCGTCCGGCGTCGTGAGGATTTGCTCTGGAACTCCGTGCCGAGTGACCTCTTCCCCTGAGCGGTCCTTCTTGCTCGTCTCGTCCAGGCCCATGCCCATCGGGGCAACGTACAGACTCATCATCAGCGCGCCGTCTATCGTGTCGACGAGGCACATGCCCGCCGTGAACAGGACGGGAAAGATGAGGATCAGCCAGATGCTAGTGCCTTTTGCCCCCTGGATGCTGCTGATGCCCAGGAGGGCGATCTCGGAGCTCGTGTCAAAGCCCATGCCAAAGAGGACGCCCAGAGGATACATCTTCCACGGTCGGTCGATGAGCTTGAACATCTTCTTCAGCACTCGGAAGAGACAGCCGCCGCCCTCGATCTTCCAGGCCTCTGCGGCCTCCTGCTCCGGCCGCAGGCGGATGACCTTCCTGATCTGCACGACCAGCTTGTACAGAATGTAGGCGTTCATGATGCCCAGGAGGATCAAGAACGCCGCCGAGACAGAAGTGCCGATGATGCCACCGACGGTGCCGAAGCTGTCGAAGCGTCCGGCGATGCCTGCCGCCGTGGCTGCGACGACGATCGAGGTTATGACGACGATGGTGCTGTGGCCCAGGCTGAAGAAGGTCCCTACCGTCACTGGTCTCTGGCCCGTAGCTATGAGCCGGCGGGTCATCAGGTCGATGGCAGAAATGTGGTCGGCGTCCAGCGCATGTCGGAGACCTAGCGTGTAAGCCAAGGCGGCCGTGGAGAGAAGATGGGTGTGTGTAGACAGGATCAGGCCGCATATTGCCCAGACCACGAGGTTGACCACGATGAGCAACGTGACAATCAAGATGACCGGGAGGGGTAGTTTTCGAAGATATGGTATGCTGGCATGAAGGGCAGAGAGGCGGCCATGTATGCGCAAGCGCTGTCTTTGAAGCCGTGATTTCCACGAGCTCTTTGGAGGAGGTGTTGTCGCGGAACAATCCTGCTCTTCTCTTCTTGAACCTGAAGATGCCATGGCTTCATCCACTTTTTGGCTCCCGACAAGAAAAACCCTTCCTGTGTCACTCCAGGTTTTCCTTTTCTCTCTCCTCCTGTTTCTCCTTCTACACCCTACCTACCTCGACAGGAGCTGCAGCGACAGCAACTGCAGAACTGACAAGTTTTGGTAGGCGTTTGTCACGAGGTTGGACGAACGGACGGAGGGAGGATGCTCGGCCAAGAAGACCAATCTCTGGAGCGAGGACCAGCAGTGGTGATATCAGACATTATAGCGGAACAAGCCATACGGGATGGTGGGGGTCGATTGGGAGAAAACGTCCATTTGCGCGTCCCTAGCAGAGCAGTTAGTAATGCTGTATCATGGCTGGAGGGGATCATGCTCTGCAAAATCGAAAATGGTGTCACCAGGCGTGGTGGTGATTGGGAGGAGAGAAGTTTGTGAAGGGGGAGTGATTGGTGCGGGGTGGTCCTTTGATAAGATCTGTGAGATAGGCTGATAGGATAGCCCATCAGGTGCTAGGCGATCCACCCCGTAGAGCCGTGCTGGGTTCTGCCCTACGATTATTATTATTTTACCCCTCGCCTCGTCTCGCCTCCAAATGTGCGCCCTGTGGCTTGCTCCTCCCCCGAGAGAAGCCGGAGCCTCGCTGGATCAAGTATACAAGACATGCTCTTTTGGGCAGTTGTCCAAATTCCTATACCGATGGCATAGTCTGCGATGGAATCTGTGTATCTCGCTAATGTATTTCTGGCTTGTGGCAGGGCATAATAGACAGACAAGGCTGAATGGCATCAGGCTGACAGCCTCGTCGTCCCTTAGTCAGCGAGGCTGAGGCCAAGAACACAATGCTTCCCCCCTCCTCAGCCCTCGGCAACCTGACCCATTATATTATATATTATATGTAATTATATTCCAGTGGCCGAGCTTCTCTTCCTCTTCCTCTTCTTCTCCCCCTCTCCGCCTTGTTTTTAACGTCACCCTCACTCGCCCCAACAGTGAAATTCCAGCTACATTCCAAGATGCCGTGGCCACCTCTTCAAGAACGTCTGTTCAATCTCATCGAACCTGGATTCTTATTATATGCCAGTGCCCTGTGTAGGTTCCCTCTCCTCTATTCATCCCACTGCCCAAACATCACCGTTTCTGACCAAGAACGCGGTAGCCTTCATCACGACTGCCTTTCAGTTCTATATTCTCCAGTTCAACCTGCCCTCGTCTTCCAATCTCAAGAAAGTGCGCGACGACGCTTTCTCAAAGTTCTGGACAAAAGCTACTGGTAAGTCGCGCAACCAGCCGTCACCATCTGCGAAGGAATCGGCAAGGGGGAAAATAGGGCCATGGTGTTGACGCAGTCTTCAGCACCCGCCGACCCGCCTCTCCCTCCTAAGGGCTCTGCCCTCCTAGTTCCACCCCTGTTGTCCCGTGCTCATGGGGTGGTTCTGGACATTGGGCCCGGATCAGGGTCTTACGTGTCGTTGTTCTCCGACAACCCCAATATTAGCGCCATATACGGTGCTGAGCCAACGACCGGTCTTCACGCCCCCCTGCAGCTTCGGATTAACGAAGCCAAACTTACTGGCAAATACCATATCCTCGGCAGTACTGCTGATAAGGCAGAGTTGCTGGCCGCTCTAGCCAAGGAAGGTGTCAAACCATCCCCCAATGGCATCTTCGACACCATCGTATGTGTCAGAGTCCTTTGCTCGGTACCCAACCTAGAACAAACTGCCAACGAACTGTATTCCCTCTTGCGACCGGGTGGAGAATTGATGATCGTCGAGCACTTCCGTAATCCGTGGACCAAAAACGGCAGCATTCTGGGCCGCCTGATGCAACTCGTCTACCACCTGCTCGGCTGGCAATTTTTCCTGGCTGGCTGCAATATGGACCGCGACACGCCTGCCGTGTTGAGGAAAGCGGCTCCTTGGGAAGCCGTCGAGTTGAAGACGAACTTTGAATGGAGTGCATTGCCCTATGTCGCGGGGACATTGACGAAAAAACGTTAGCCGGGTACGCAGAAACCTCATGGGCGGCGAAGGAGGCCAAATGTGAAGCACGAAACCAAGAATTGAGTCCCATCAACTGGGCTCTCAAAGAAATGCGACGAGCTGAGTGTATTCAGGCCTGCTGTCCCCCCTGGACTGCGTGCGGCCAGAAACCCTCCATCCTTTCGAGAACTCTCGCTCAATAACGGGGAGATGAGGGCTGCGAGATGATACCGTGATGCTGATGTTGGTGCTGAGTCTGAGATCTGGTTGCCCGCCAACGGCTGATTGTTGGCGTCGCGTGTTTCAGTGCCGGGTAAGTGCATATATGTACATATTGGTGGAGAGTTTTCTGTCATGCTGTTCTTTCAACAAGCCGAACCTGCTGTCAGCTCTCTCTTTTGCAAGGTTTGTTGCCATGCACGAATCATTTTGTAACTCTATCGGCCCTTTTTTTTTCGCTCTTTCTTTCCAGTGACATTGAACGCAGCTGGGGGGAGGCAGAGTGCGTCCATGCTGAAGGTAGCACTGCAACATCGCCCGACACAAAGAAAGGTTTGATGTGAAAGCAATTTTTGATGTGGGTGTTTTCCATGTTCTTGTTTGCTCGCTCATTTTCGCTGCCTAGTCAAGTGAAGAAAAGCAACGGTTGGGATGATTTACTTCTCCTGAGACAGTTGAAACTCTCCCTTTTACAACATTTGACATTCCATCATCTCCAAAATGGACCGCGAGATCAGCTCCGAAGGCCCTAGGTCTTCGAACCACAGTCAAACCAGCGAAAATGACAGCCTCGACGAGGAGACAGTCAGACACCTGGCCCTGTTTGCCCCCGAACACGACACCGAGGATGAATGCGACGAACTTTCTCACACCCTTCTTCGCGAGCTGGGGGCGATGCCCCTGTTCTCCAGCCGAGTGAAGCAATCGCTGAACGCATGGACAGAGGACCAAGACCCAGTGCTGCCAGCATACGGGCTCTTGGGACTACGAACGCGTGCCGTCGATGGGTCCGACTCGGTGACGACGCAACAAGACCTGCCGAAGGAGGACAATCTGATCTACGCCAACATGCAGCATCCGTGGTCGGCCTTCATCTGTGGTCAACAGGGGGCTGGCAAGAGCCATACCATGTCGTGCTTACTGGAGAACGCGCTCATCGGCGACAGCAGCATGGGACCGAACCCGATGCCCATGTCCGGCCTGGTGTTCCACTACGACAAATTCACCTCATCCAGCGCAACCCAGATCTGCGAGGCAGCCTACCTCAGCTCACAGGGCATCCGGGTCCAAGTGCTCGTGTCCCCCTCGAATCTGACCGCCATGACGAACCTCTACCGCAACCTGCCGAACTGGCCGCCGGGGACGCCGAAGCCAGAGGTCATCCCGTTCCTGTTCAGTGAGACACAGCTCAACGTGGCCAACCTGAAAGCGCTGATGGGCGTCGACAACGAAGAGAAGAACCCGCCCTTGTACATGGCCATCGTGAACAAGGTGCTCAAGCAGCTCTCGCTCGCCGACACCACAGCGGGGGTCAAGTATCGCGCGATGAAGCAGGCAGTGACCAACCAAGGGTTGACCCCGTCACAACTGGCCTTTCTCGAAATGCGCTACAGTTTGATCGAATGGTTCTTGCAGGAGACGGCGGCGCCGACGGTCCGAAACCGCGCCGGCAAGATCAGATTCCGGCCGCAAACCATGTTGATTGTCGACCTGAGTTGTCCCTTTATCACCGAGTCGGACGCGTGCACGCTCTTCTCCATCTTTCTGCAAATCTTTTTGGGGCAGCGCGACAAGAGTCCGCTGATCATCGCCCTGGACGAAGCGCACAAGGTAAAGTACTTGTATCTTTGTACTTCGAAGTGAAAAACAAAAAAAACCTGACTGTGAACAGTTCTTGACCGAGACTCCGGCGGCCAAAGCATTCTCTGAGGACCTAGTGCAGATCATCCGCCAACAACGCCACCTGGCGACGCGCGTGGTCATTGCGACGCAGGAACCCACCATCTCGCCCAAGCTGCTCGACCTGTGCAATGTCGCCGTGGTGCACCAATTCCAGTCGCCGGACTGGTACAAGGTTCTCCAGAAGCACCTGGCGGGGTTGGCTCGGTCGAAGAACGCGAGCGACGGGGCCAGCGGCGGTAACAACGACAAGGACGACGGGGTCTTCAAGACCATTGTCCGACTGGGCCAGGGAGAGGCCTTGGTGTTTTGCCCCAAAGCGTGCTTTGACCTTGACGAGGGTGTGGAGAGGGTGGATTTCCGACCTTTGCAGGACGGGTACGCTCGAGTCCAGCTTCGGGGCAGGGTCACGGCGGACGGGGGGAGGAGTATCCTTGCGTCTGATGCGAAGGGGAAGAAGACGAGGAAACACAAGGCGTGAGTCTGGGTGAGTCTGGATCAGTCGGACGATGCGGGAGAGCGACGATTACTCATTTTCGTCGTCAATCCTTGTCTCCCATGTTTGTACGGCCTCGGTCTTCGTTGGGATCTGATCTGTGGAGCTCAGTGTCTGCCAGGGATGCACCGTGTTTTTGGTCGATCGATTCCAGTGTCAGGATACAAGTGGCAGGGGGGAAGGGGTGTTATCATCCGGACCTACCTACCCGCAACCACGATACCCTAGGTATTTGTCCTTGTATGTGGTTTAATAATCAAGTCTACAAATAGTCCAATCCAGGCCCAGGCCATGGAGATAGATACACTTGAGTCCCAAGCCATTGTTCTTTTATTTGTGGAAGGATAGGCCGGGATGAGGATTTGCCGAACACGACATGCATGTGCAGAACACGGGGGAGAATACGCGAAGCATGTACGCAATACGCGATACACGATATTCAACACCGAGTATACCTGTACTTGTGGGACACGAAGAAAACCTTCCTTCCATGCACTGTACTACCTAGTACCATACAAGTGTATGTGTTGGTGACCGGTCTGGGTACCTATGTTGGTATCCATGATCAGACCTCCCACCCATCCAGATCAGTCGAAAGTTCCAACCACCCGCAATCGTTGTTACAGTACGCGGCATTTTCGTTTCCCTACTTCTGAGTAACAAGAGAGTGTGAAAGCAAGCCCTGTGTGAGCCTGATGATCATGGTGTGATGTCTTGTAGTTTTAGTCAGAGCCTCGGCATGGAATCGGGCGGATTTGACGCGAGGCTGCCAAGACAAGACAATCCAAGCCAAGCCAAGCTAAGCCTATTCGGTGGGAGCGAGCGAAGTGGGAGAATAGGGGCTTGGCAATGCTGTGGAAGGAAAAATGAGGGGATTTTTCTACTCACAATGTTCCACTATCAACTCAAACGCCATTGATGCCTGTCCGAGGGAGACACGAATCGTTTCTTCTTATACAGGTACTTGTACGGTATGATGCGATATAACCTCTTCTCTTCCAACGAAAGAAAGAGAGATGAAAACACCACCAGAAGCTCTTGTCAAGGAAGTGGATGGTGGTGGCGTGAGAAACATGCCATCCATACAACATGCCATACCTGGTCCCTCGTCGTACATTGCCAATTGGTTTGTGGAAAAAAATCCCTCCCTCGTGACTTTTACCTTGTGTGTCGTGTCTCTTGATGGGTAAGAAAAAGGTTATTCGTACAGTGATGATTACACACCACACCACGTCCCTGGTACATAAGTTCGTGGGGGGTGCTGCGACTTTGGAGGGGTGGGTGGATTATCAACTTTACAGACACGTTCAAGTACAGACAAACAAAGCAAGCAGAAGAAGATATTCCTTGCGAGAAGAACGAATATATCAGTCACATCAACATAAACACCAACACTGACATCAACACAAATATCAATATCAACACCAATACTACTCCAATCAAATCACTGAAATATCCTCTCAATATCCGAAATCAACGAGAGCCTCCATACTCTCTTTAAACCACCATATCAGAAAATAAAGCAAAACAAGAGCAAGGCACCGACAAAACAACAATGGGCGTCCTTCAACAAACCCTCCCCCTCTCGCTCGTCTACTTCTCCCTCGTCGCCCTCTCGGGCCTCATCCTCGGCTCCATCCGCGTGCCGTACCTGCACCCACTGCTGGGCGCGCGGTACGCCGAACTGGTCGAGATGCCCATCATGCTGATGGTGGTATGGCAGGCCGCGCAGGTGACGGTGTGGAATCTCGAGTCGTCTTCTCCGTCGTCCGCGGACCCCCAGACGCGACCCGCGACGACTGCCAAGAATGGCGGTGGTGGTGGTGTTGACAACAAGAGTCTGACGACCAAGCTCCTCGGTCTCTTGACCTCACCGCCCCCAACGGCGCTGCTCGTCGGCGCCCTCGCGCTCGTGTGGCTCCTCGCCGCCGAACTGGCCGGCAGCGTGGTCGGACACCTCGTCTCCTCTCGCGCCCCGCAGACCGGGTTCTGGTGGTCGTGGGGCGACGGCGTCGACATGTACATTGCCGGGCGGGACGTCGTATCCTCGGCGCCCGTCTATGCCATGGTGCTGCTGGCGTACGCGGTCATGCCGTGGATCGCGTGGCGCGCGCAGGCCCGCGAAGACGCCGACAAGCTGTTGTGGGAGTTTGACGCCGCGCAGACGGGCGAGGAGGACTACTGTTCGCGGTAGGCGGGGGAGGAACCTCAATAATATCAGACTATACGGGGCGGAACTGGACTGGACTGCAATGAATTACCTTGGATCGGATGGGCTTTGAATAGCATCGGATTATTGTTGGATTTGGACAGGTCAAGAATGGATGGGACATTGGACATTGGATTATTGCTGGAATAGCGTCTCCGGTCCGGTCTGGTCCGGTCACATCCACGTGGCGCAGAAAAGATGGAATATTTCGCCAGCAATGTACAAATGGGTTTACGAATCGACCAAACCAGCGGGGACTGCGCATGGATGGAGCGCTTACGCACGGAAATTATCTATACGTAACTACGTGTATTATTATGTCGATTTCACCATCATGTACCAATACCACCCAACCCCGGGAAATGCTCGGAAGAGCATGCACGGTATCAACCTAGGGATGTATTTCTTCCATTTAATCTCATGTCGTCTAATGTACCAACCGACGATGATAGTGACGGTGACTGCATTCCTAGCCACGAGAACCCCTACTTATAGGTTTCTTCGACATTTTCGTCTCGGGACTACCCCTGTCCTCTTCCTCTTCTTCGTCCTCTTCCTCTTCCTTGGACTTATACCTGTCCTGTCCTTGTCCTTTTACAAACTCGTCCCGTCACTCGTACCGCTACCACATTTTAGACTCTAGAATCTAGAATCGACACGCAGACTACACCAGGCGCAAACAAGCAGATGGTCTTCTTTCTTTCTTTCTTTGGGGCCCATGTCGCGAAAAATATTGTGGGATTTGATCCATCACCGGTACTGTACCTGGACCTGGACCTGTACTTGTTCTGCTCTCGATATGGGTACCGACTTTTGTAAATCCCATCTCATCTCAAAGGGAGGGTTTGAATCGTATGGGATGGCACGGCACGGCACGGCACGGCATGGCATGGTATGGAATTGCATGGTATGGTAGGGCATGGTATGGTAGGCAGAGTCCGCCCGTCTTCCTCTCCCTTACCTGGTAACCGCACCATCTTGCACCCGAAAAAAAGTCAATATCGCGATATGTCGATCCGTCGTTCACTCTCGATAGGGCAGCTCTGAGAAACAATTTGATTCACTTCCTTTTGCTGTAATTTGTCTGTCGACTTGTCGAGAGCGTGTAGGATCCCAAATCACTCCGGTAACCTCAACCTCGACCTCAGTATCAATATCATGTTAATTGCCCGGCCCCTTGACCGCAATCTTCTTCACCCACACTCGAATCTTCTCCTCGACGCGTCTCTGGCCGCCGTGTCGGCCATCCTTCTCCACACGCTCAAAGCTCTCTTCACGCACAAAGTGGCCCCAGTCGCCCAGCGTCTCCAGGTACTGCTCCATCGACTCCTCCTCGAGCCGCCGATATCCCTCGTCCTGCCAACCAGGCAAAAAGGTATTGTGCCACTCCAGGTACACCGCCTTGGCGTGGCGGTTGGCCAGGATCGGCGTCGTGAAGTGTTCAATCTCATCTTGTGGAATGAAGATCGTCACGGGCGCTGCGGCGGCGGCCTGGGCTGTGTCCTTTGCAGACTCGCTGAACAGGTCGTCAAGCTCGTCGGAGGCGCGGCCACGGTCGGCCTCGGTCTCGGTTTCTCCATCGCGGCGGTCGACGGGAGTAATGGTCTTCTCCCAATACACCGCAAACGTCGCGGCTTGTTTCACGGCTCTTTGTCGTTTGGCCGCGCGAAAGGCCTTCTGGGCCAAATCCACCAGGTCCCGCTCGATCCAGACTTTCGCCTGGATGGTCAAGTCGTCCCCCAGAGCGATATGCTGCTCCATCAACTCGTACTTCAGCTCCGTTTTCATGCTCACCCGACTGACTTCGGTCCCAGTCGCCGACGCCGCGTACCGATGAACACCGGTGACGATCTCACGGACCTTGTCCTGCGCCTTTGCCGCGTCGTACGTCTTCAGAAAGTAATAGTGATCGGCGTCCTTGTAGATCTCGACCCCCCTGAACACACCCCAGACGGTGTACCTGAAAACTTGGTCATTCTCGTCTCGGTCTCCGTCGGAAGCGTCCTCAGACTCCACCTCGGTCTCGCTGTCCGATTCTCCTGCGGTGGCGCGATCGATAATTGTCGGGTCTGTCGATGCCTCGAGTTGCTGCTCTCTCCTCAGTTGCATCTGCCGTAAGAGCTCTGGGTCGAAACCCTGGCTCTGCATGGCCTGGCTCCTTTCCATCCGCATTTGTCCAAGGAGTTCAGGGTCGCGTTGCTGTTGACTGGGAGTTGGGTCATGAGGCGCTGAGTCTCTTTGACGCCCATCTTCCAAATGGTTGATTTCTGCAGTATCGTGTTCCTCTTCTATGAATGACTCCCGATATTGACTCTGATCCATGGCTGATCCCTGTGACGCCGATTGCGCATTCTGCCCAGCTCCAAACACAAAGTCGGCGCCGTCATCTTCTTCGCTTTCCTCGTCGTCGTCATGGCGATATTGGGTGGCGCGCTCAAGCTCTGCTTCGATCTCGGCAACTTGACTCTGAAGTTCGGCGACCTCGTCTTGGTCGGCCGTTTCAAAAAGCCTCAGCTGAGCTTTCAACTTGTTGATGATTTCTGCTTGACTGTCCGACTGTGCTTGTCGACCATCGACTGCTCTCGCCTTACTCGTCGGCCGCTTGTCCCGGGCAGCTCGTGTCTCGTCTTCCACAAATCGGACTTGTTTCTTTCCAGACTTCTCTTCCGTTCGCACGCTCGGCCGCTCTTTTTTCCTGTGCTCTCTCGGCCTGATGTTGTGCCGCCGGCTTTTGCGCTCACTCCTTAGCCCTCCCCAATGGTCAATCTCCTTCTGGACCTTTGGTGTTTCGTCGTTGATGAAATCAATATGCTTCTGACTGAACGTCCGCCGCATTTCCGTCATGACTGCAACGTCACTGGGCTCTTCTGAGCTCTCTGCCGCCTTCTGCACCCGCCTTCGGATGTTGTCGCGAATGTCCTGGACCCGCGTCCGTCGCATTTTGCCAGGCTTCCCCTGCTCGATCACGAGCGAGATGAACCTCCCAATGTCATACAGCTCGTTTGTTTCCGTTTGCATGGTTCTCTCGGTGATTTCGCGATCCGAGAAGCACCGTAACTGTGCAAAAGTCCAAACCACGCCTCCAAGCGCATCCAGGTCTCGCTTTCTCTCCTTTGCAATCTCGTGCTGGACAATCACATCTTTTTCTTCTTCGGAGAATTGGTCGAAGTTTTTGGGAAGTGTCAAGCCTCGATTTCGACCGGGACCAAGGGGAGACGGCGGTTCGGTGTTTTCGCCAGTTGGCTGGGATTCTGGCGCGCTGGGATCAAGAGGTACTAGATCGCGTTTTCGTGGAAGTGTCTGGGGTTGGGAAAGGGCTCGATCGAGGGGCCTGAGGGTACTCTCACTGTCACTGCCGCCGACTCTTTTAGCTGCTAGCGTCTCAAGTCCAGAAAGCGGCCGAGCCGACGGCTTGAGGTTGCGTTTTTCTTCGTTGATAGCTCCTCTCTGCGCTGTATCTGTGCCATGACTTGATAGCGGCCGCGGATATATGCTGTAAGTTTCATTCTCTGCGCTAGATCCGATTTGCGATTGCTGCACTGTGTTGCACTCCAAATATCGAGCTGTCTCATCCTGTGTAGCACTGATTTGTGGCTGTTGCGCGATGTTGCACTTCAAGTGTCGAGGGGCGTGGTGCTCTGGCGTAGCACTGAATTGCTGTTCTCTATTGCACTCTGGATGTATTGTGGAATCATCAGGTCTCTCAGGAAGAGGATTCCGCCGACGAGCTCTACAGTTCCCGTCATCTGCGATGAACTGTCTGCTTGGGGGAGGGGTGCTCACGCTTCCCTTCGCCGCAAGCCCAGGACGAACGGCTCTTTTAGCCTCACGTTCATGATCATCGCCCAAGGGTATGGCCTGTGATTTGTCGCGACCGATCTGAGCGTCCCGGTCACCACTTAAAGTCTGGTTTTGTATCCGATCAGGAGGATTGCTTGCGGTTAACACGTCTGTCCTCTGGTCTGTCCTATCATTGATTAGTCTTCATCGTGATAAGGATTGCTTGCTTCTGACCTACTTCGATTTGTTGACCCTCTCCGTCGACTCTGAGTTTTTACTGTGCTGAGCAATGTCCCGGGGTTCGTCGGTGTGGCCGTTGTCATCGGAGAAAAGGCCGATAATTGAATCGTTGTCGTGGTCGACATCCGTATCAGATATTGTCCTACTGTACTCCGAATCCGAGCCTCTTTCAGAGTTTGTAAGAAGTCCACGCCGCCGCAAGGCTTTCTCTCGTAGTTGTCGACTCCGCTCTGCTCCTTCTTCTTGATATCTGTGCATGTATTCGCGGGCTAGATCCAGGAACTTCTGTTCTTCATCTAGCTCGATATTGGATGGTTCCTCTTTTATTTCCTTCTGTTTAGGTTTCGTTTGGTGGCGTCTCGATAGTAGTTCATTAAGGCGCGTTTGTTGTTCTTCTGGCGTGCCCCCCTCGCCAGAGTTGGCTGGACTAATTATCTTCGACCAGTACCCTTCATCCTCGTCCTCCGAGTCTTGGTAGAGACACGAGCCAGGGTGGGGGTCTGGACGTAACCAATCTTCCTCGTCGAGCGGAAAGCCATTGGGGAATGGATTGAAAAATCCAAATTCTGCTTGGCGATATGTCGATGCCTGGGGTTCTGGCGCATTGGCTTCGTTTTCGCCGAATGTGTCGCATTTCTGATCGGCAATTTCGACGGCGCGCTTTGTCGGGAGGAGACGCCGTTTATTCTTTTGCGCTGGCGACACAGATAGAGAGCGTTTAGCTCTGGCTGGTGGAGAATCCAAGACCACTGGGAGATTTGAACCAGTCTTTTGATGACTTAATGGTGAATCTTCCTGATATATGGCCAAGGCTTCATCAATTTCCGCCAGCGAAGGCTTTATGTCCAGATCAGAATATTCTGGATCAATTTGTGAGTTGAAGGATGTTGGTTGAGGGTAACCCGATCTCTCCGTGTCAATCGACTCGTAGATCTCGTCCGAACCATCAACGATCCGCCAGCCATCCACCTGAAACGCTTGTGCTTTTACAGCCTCCCGGCTCTCCACTGGAGGGAGCCACCTTGGTCGTGATGGGGCTTTGGGTGACAGGTCGGAAGCGACATGGTCTTGGCTGTGGCCGATGGAAGCAGCGGCCGTTTCATTTGCCTCTCGGCTTGAGCGGAGTGTGGATGCGTGCGGTTTGAGGGGTTTAATCGTGATTTTCCCAAGTTGATCAGAGAATATAGGGAGATTGGTATCGATTGTTGAGTTGTTCGCACCCATTTTGTGAGCTGTTGGATAGAGATAAGCTGTGACAAAATCCAAGATCCATGAACACTCCCAGAAGTGAAGAAAGAGTGGCTGGATGATCAAAACTGCGTAGAAAGTGACTGGTGAGGGGTCGAGTCGATAGCGTGGTCGACGTGAGTGCTGATGGCTCTGTTGCTTATGATGAGCTTTTGAGTTGGATAGTGGTACCAGATGTTTGGACTCGGGTGCAGCAGGATTCGTAAAGGGTAGCTCAAGGGACAATAGCTCCACAATGAGAGGACAGGTCTGAATGAAGAGGCCAAGCAAGTGACACGCAAAAAGGGTTTCAGTGCGTCCGAAAAGAGAGGGACACGGGCAAGAGATTGGTGAATGAACGTGGAGAAGACGTGCGGGACGTGAAAGGTCTGAGAGGTGGGCGAGGGAAGATTAACTGTGCGGCGAGGCAGATCTAAGCAGAGTAGATGCTGTCATACCATGAACTGAAAAAGAGAAGACAAGAAACGGTCAAAGGAACGGTCACCGGGCTGTCACTGACGCTGTAGTGAGATGTACCCCCACGACTAGAGAGAACCCATTAAAGGAGAGTGGACAAGAAGCGCCGCTGCCAAGCCCATCGTATGACGAGACATACAAAGTCCATCCATCACTGGAGAGGGACCGATGACCGTGTGAATATGCATGTTGGACTTGTCTTCCCGAAGACCATTGTGCCGACTTTTCAGGAGCGAACGGTCCTGCTGTTGTCCTTGTTCAGGGAGGGTGATTCAAAGAAGCGTGTTTCACGTGTCGCTGGCTGGACTGTGTGGCAGCCAAACAACAAAAGTGTGAGGCCATCATGGAACGACGCGGTTTGGGTGCGTTATTGAGATGTGCTGATCATCTGCCGGCCGCCTGCGTAGACATGCTGAGGTCACCGACGCGACCTTCGCCGGGGGTATATTGTCGCCGAAGGAAGTGGGCGCGGGCGGGCATTGTGATATCAACAAGTTAGTAGCTCTCTGACTCTGTCAATGTAAAGTCCTGGATGCCTGAGGAGATGGATTGAAGTTGGGATTGAAATGCCAAGCCATTCAACTAGCGCGAGGCTGAGGTTCAAGGGGGACGAGGCTGAATGCGTCACAATCAGTTCAACAGATGCGACAGCTCGGCTCTCAGAAACAGGCAAGATATTATTTTGCCCTTGTAGGGTTTGGAGGCCAAGACGAGACCATTCACAGATGCATCCCAAAACATGCCGCGACGAAACCTAAACAACAACTTATTTGTGAAACCCCAATTGCCCCTTCACGCTTCATACACGATGTCCGACCCCACGCATCGATTGCAGGTGAATAGGTTTGTAGGGTCCTTGGCCCTCTTGATCCTCAACAAGCGCTCGTAGTTGGACCCCCAAAAGACTCTTTCCCAGTCAGGCTCGAAGCTGTCTGTAGGTTAACTAACCAGTGAAGACTTCTGCAGTGGACGTCAAACTCACGGGTTGGCTTCGTTCGCATACGTCCCTCCATCCGGTCCAGCAATCTTGGCCCATCGCTTGCTCATTTCAACCAATTGAAGCCTCTTCTGATGCTTCTCAGCTTCAGGTGCTTCATCGTCCCAGTTCGTGCCGAAGCTCATAACCGCCCGGCCTTCCCGCCACGAAGGGTGAACTGACGTATTGTCCCGCGTGGTGGAGTTGACATGCCCAACTGGAAACTGTGTCAGCAGGCATCATCGAGGAAACAGGAGGGACAAACCAAAGTTGAACGATGGATAGTGGTCCGGACCAAACTCTAACATCATGTCGATAATCTCACCGGCTTTGTTGAACGCCATGTCCGGAGTAAGAAGCCGAGATGAATCCATGACATTCAGAGCGATGTTTGGATCCTGAAGAAAGGCATTGCAGTAGTCGATCCAGCGGGGAAAAGTGAAGTTGAACGTGGCGAAGCTGGTGCCGTTGATGAGTCCTAGCTGCTGAAAGGCCAAAGCACCTTGGGTCAGTTCTGCATCGGTACCTCCAGGTCGGATAAAGAGGCCAGAAAAACCATTGCTGAGGTACCCGTATCCAGTATAGCCGGCCTCTGTCATGTTCACCAACGCACCTAGAGACCCTTGCAGGAGTGGACGAAGGCTTGAATTCGTAGTGGCATTGATCTGTATAGCCGCCACCTGAATATGCGTGGGTTCTGGGTGAGTTCGATATGTCACTGAGGTTATGACCTGCTTTCAATCAGCCATAAGCGCAATATCCATTCTGCAATGTGGACGAACACCCCATGCGCTTCCTCCGCCGCCGCGCACGGCCCAGAAATAATCTGGGTCGGTATACTGATTGATAGTGACATGTTCTCCCTGCGCATTGACCAGTTTGATTTCCAGTACATCTGACACCATTTTGTTAGTGACGGTCGTGTCCACCTGATATTGGCATTACTTACTGTCGACGCCGAGACCGTAAAGATTCGACCAGGCCGAGTGACCGCCTCCCGTCAACCAGCCGCCGGCTGCCCCAACTGTTCTGGCATGGCCACCGACGACGATCACATGCTGTTCGGCAGCAGCTCGATACACATCTGAGCTCGTTAGTCCGTCAAAAGTACTAGCCAGCAACTGGACAGGTAAATACCCAGCCACTGCTCTCCCGCTTGTAGTGTGACAGCCGGCACACCTTGACTTTCTGCAGGTGCGCCCTCGACAACATAGCTCTCTGTCCATTGTCTCCCTTTCAGATTATGAGTCCAAATGGCAAAAGCGCCCCGTCCGCTTGATCGACCGAGGCTATGCAGGACCTTAGACATTGATCATGTCATTGTTAAGAATGAGACTTACTGATCATGGCCGGTGTTCTTTACCACAAGGTAGAGGTGTCTTTTGTTGGCGAACTTGACTGCGGCTTCAATGTCTGCCACCGATTGTACTGCTACCGAATAGTGTGGAACTATTGTCAAGGTCAGCACCAGCTCTCAGAGCTTGGAGTATGGAATAGGGCCGCGGATACCCAAGCCTGGCTGGCAGGGCGCAGTCTTTGACGAATTGATGAAGCACTGTTGGCTTCCCAACTCCCACACAATCGCAGTATATGCCCCAGACTGATTGGTTCTCCAAAAACTATTGTCCCATTCCTGTCTTGTCTGCATGCACTTTTCGTTGTCGAATTGTTCCTCGTGGCAAACAGCTGCTGAAGGGAAGGTCCGGACAAGGCGGCCCGAGATACTGTTGTTGAAGGCTTGCCATTCCTGTTCATCGGGCCAGCAAGGGTCTCCGTATCTGCAGAGAGGACGGTGTGTAGGCGGACAGGCCCAACAGACATGTGCGAGGAGAAGAAATAGTGTGATGAATTTGAACATGGTGACAAGCATTATCATATCCCCTGGTCCAGGATCCGGAGCCAGAGTTTGATCATATGTCTATTGAATTGAAATTGGAAGCGTGAATGGAGGTAAATATATAAACCTCGTATACACTCCAGCATACCTCTTTTTGGAACATCTTCTCGACCTACCATTGGTTCACCACCTTAGCTGGGAATGCGAATACGAGGGATAGAATGTACTTTCTTGAACTCAAGAAAGGAGTGATCCGAATACCCGCGGCAGGTTGCTCAGTCTCGTGTCAGATGGTTGCTTATAGGCAGCAGGATTTGTTTGCTGTTCACGCTGCTTCCAGCCTAGAGTGATGCAGCCCTGTGCTGCTCATCCTGGCTCGATGCTCACCCCTGCGGACCGCTCTTACATTCGTCCTTGTCTTGACTATCACTATTTACGTAGAATTCAACCTTGTCGTACTTCGAGTCAGCCTCGCGGCCAAGAAGAATATGATGTAGATTCGGCCATGGCACCAAGACCACGGAATACGAATACGATGAGATGGGGGAAGTTCCGGAATCGTTGATGGAAGAGGTCAGAGAATGCAAGAACCCGCTTGGACGAATGAGGATGTATTTGCAGATTGGCCAACGGATATCAGTAGAAGATTGGACCAATGTAGAGAAGAAAAGAGAAGAGAAAGAAGACAAGGAGGACGTCGTCGAGCCAAATGCCAAGAGTTGCCAAAATAGGTTTAGCTTGTTCCATTAAACCATCAACGCGCCACGACGCGTTTCACCTTCGCCCGCCGCTTCAAGAAGTGAGTGGACAACTGCGCAAGTCATCCAAGTTGTACTCGTATACATCCTCGGTATATCGCAATCATTACCTGATCTTGCTCCCAATGTCAAGGCTTTGAATCTATGGCGCCCACCCAGTTTGAACCGCAGCCTCTCACAACACCCCTCAACGACCAAGCCCTCAGGTCCCTCTCCGAGCTGCAACAACATCGAGACCGCGAAAAGAAAGCACGAGAACACCTGAAAAAGGCCGCAGAGTACCTGACCGACATTACGGGAGAACTCAACGACCGAGCATACCTCCGCAGGGTTAGGCACTCCAAAGAGAAAGCTCGCCGTAGAGCTGCCAAAGGCGCCGAAGACGGTGCAGAAGAGAACGAAGACCCCGCAGTGGCCGAGGCAGATGCAAGACACGACGACTTCCAACGCAAGGTCGAGGCTCTAACTAAGAGGATGGACTTGAGCATCCGTGGTGTCATCGACGACATGGCCTGCCTGGCCGAGTATCCTGCAACTCTAAAGGCAGTGGTCGAGAAGGCACAGGAGACCATGGAGCAGCAGCGCAGTGGCTTCCACGTACAAAATCCGCCGAGAAGAACCAGGCAGAGTAGGAGGGTGGTCGATGCTGACGAGACTGGAGACGTGGATCAGGACGACGAAGCGGAGGCGAATGAGGAGGAGGGTGACACAGAGGCTGGATCATCGTCCCACCAGACAACGATGCTGCCGACTATCCACCCAGCCGACACACCACATGTCCATCTATCCACAGCACTGACCCAACAAGTGCGGACGTGGACATCCAAGACGCTGACAGAGAGATACGCGCACAACAACGACTACAGGGGCTGGTACCGAGTTCTCTACGACGCCAAAAACCCTGGAGAATCCGCACCTCCTATGCCTGACGAAAGCCTGTGGTTCGCCGCTGAAGAGGGACGGATGAGTTTCTCGTCCAGTCAACGTCGTCGCCACCGTCCCCTGCGAGAAGGCTCCCAAGCCGCGGCCACTAGCATGACAGAAAATGGCTCCAGGTCCGGGTCCGACGACGAAGTCGAGATTGCCGCCGAAAAGACCCGGCTCAAATGCCCCATCACACTGCTCCCCTACGTCGACCCGGTCACATCCAAGAACTGCAACCACAGCTACGAGCGAACCGCCATCCTGTCGATGCTGAGCACCTCGAGCAGCCACGCGCCCTGGACGCCGACCCAACTGCAGGAGCTGAGCCAGCTGAGTGACAGACAGCGGGCCCGGCGCGAACGCGAGATACGCGTCAAGCAGGTCAAGTGTCCCGAGTGTAACGTGCTGCTCGTGGAGGAAGACCTGATGGAGAACCCGGCGCTGAAGCGCCGCGTCGCGAGACTCCTCGCCCAGGAGAGGCGGGACAACATCGCCACGAGCGACGTGGACGGCGATAGTAGCGGCGATGACGACGATGACAACGACAACGATAACCGCCATCGCCATCATAACGACATGGACGTTAGAGGCACGCAGCGACGGCCCGTCGGTCTCGGCTCGAGCAGTCCGGTGCCTCCACGCTCGATCGCGCGCAAGACCACCGAGCCGATCAAAGGGGAGCGACTGTCGGGCGTGAGCGTGATCCCGCAGACGCAGCTGGGGGAGGATGATGATGATGGCGGCGGCAGTAGAACGCCCAAGAACAGCCAATCTCCGGCACCTGCCCGGGCCCCGACCAGGCCGGCTCATCGAGGCCGCGGGAGGGGGCGGAACAGGCAAATCATGGACGTGGACGATGATGATGAGTAGTAGTGAGGAGTGACGAGTGGTGAATCCGTCCGCTACATGTACGGTCTGCTTCAAGACAATCGGATTAGAATCAAGGCATAACAGATAAAACACACATTACGAACAAAATCCTGCTTCCAGACCAAACGATTCGCGCTGGCGAGTTTTACAATCAACGTCTACGACAGCTAAGCACCCAAGTACCAGATACCCAAGTACAATGCAAAATATTACGTTGCCTACTGGATACGTGTTAACTCGCACGTAGTAATACTCTATACCCAACCGTGAGGCACGGGAGACAGGAACACGGGACACGGGACACGGGACAAGTTCAATATGCCAGACCAATAAATGAATTTTTCTATCAGACACGAGGCCGAGGGAGGGAGGGAGAGAGGGTATCATCTATTTGACCCCTGGTCACTCATCCTCTGAATCGTAGTAATCGTCATCGGGGAGCAGGCTCCGGTATCGTCGACTGGCGAGGTCCTCTTCCAGCCCTCCTTCGCTCTCGGGATCAATGTAGCCTGTCGGTAAATGTCAGCCGAAATCCTCTTGTCCAAACGCATTGTGGGAGAGACTTACCGTCACCGCCGAAGAAACTCAACGCCACGGGTAAAAACACCAGCGCGTGGCTGCTCGCGAGAATCACAAGCGCCAGCCAAATGCGAAAGTAATACACCTCAAAGATCTTACTCCTGGTGAATGCCAGCACAACCACGCCCACAAACTTTGTGATGGTGATGCCGCTGAAGACGCTCCCGCCCACATTCACCAATGCTGTCCACGCCCGAATGTCCCTGGCTCGGAACTTGTGCCTTGCTCGCTCCATGATCGACTTGCTGGGGAACATGAACGCCCGGGCAATGTGTGCACAAAACTCGACACCAATGCCCACGGAAATAACCAAGTTCACAAGCGACACGGCATTGAGGGAGACACCAGCCACCGCCATGACACCGATGATATCCACCACGATCATGACGACCGTCCCCGCCACAATGATTCCCGTCAGTAGCGAGCCCAGCAACAATGAAGAAATGACAAAAATGATCGCAACAGCCACACAGAGAAGTGTCGCAGTCAGGCGAACAATGCTGCTATACTGATCGAAGAAAATATAGTGTTTGCTGTAAGGGAACACGTCGATATTGTGGCGTGCGGAAATATCATCTGATATCCGCCTGGCTGCGGCATAGGAATTGATAAAATCGGCTTGGCCTTGCAGAGGTGTGTGGAATGTTCGGAAATGACTTGCCGGGATGTCGACATGATCCTTGTCGATGACCACGGCGTTCGAGTAAGCGGCCTGTCCTCCGTTGGGACATTCCTCATCGGTTGGAGCGTGAACCCACTTCTTAGCATAATAGACAAACTCATCCCCTTCAGGCATGCCTGAGAGGGTGACATTCCAGTCATCTTCGCCGAAGCAGGTGTCGCCGTTTTCATCCTTGCAACAATCCGAAATTGGGTTGAGCCAGTAGAAAAAGTCATCGATCCAGCTGGCGGTGGCAGAGTTGATATAGCTGACATTCGGACGCTTCGACTCTTGCTCTAGAATATACGCCAGCGAATACTCGTCGCAAGTGGTGAATCTGCCGCAGAGTTCCTGCTGGTGCTCCCTCGCCGTCACGTTGAGATGTCGGGTGACAAAATATACCGGTGGTCCAGATCCAAAATAGTCATAAAGGTCGTTGAAATACTGGATCATGTAGGAATCCTCAGGGAGGGCGATGCGCTGATCGAGTCCAAGTTGCACTCTCGGTATGAGTGCAACCCCGGCGGCGAAGAGGGTTACAAAAAAGGTAACAACCAACGTCTTGACCTTTTTGTCCAACAGACCTGGTGCATAGACTTTGCGGATGAACCGTTGCAGCCAGCCTTCCTCGTCACTGCCAAAGAAATGGCCACCAGGCATGCCCGTTGAATTGGCTCCCCGAACTGTGACACAAGGAAAACAGTCTGACCGGAGACTCTCGACTCTTCTTTGATTAAGCGCTAAGACAGAAACAAACATGGTGACCTGCAACAGCGCATTGATGAATACAGCACCTGCGGCGTATGCCGCGAAGTTCTTGACTGCGGGCATTCCCACAAATGCCCCCATCGCGAAGGCAATCGTCTCGGTGGAAGCCGACAGGAGAATGCTGGGTCCCATTCTGCCCAGGGCTTTTGCAACACGCACATCAATCTCTTCGTCTGGGTGGCTGACATTGACACGTTCGAACTCGTGGACAATCAAGAAGATGTTGTCCACGCCAACAGCGAGAACCAAGAATGGAATGACTTCGGCAATGATAAGCGTGACTTTAACCCCTGCCGCAGAAAAGAGGCCGACCGATCCAGAGACTGACATCAGTACGATCAGGATGCCGGCAACACCCAGAGTGAATTTAGATTGAACAAACGCATTGGCGGGGTTACTAAGAAGCGACCTCAGGGACAGCGTTGTCGAGCCCAGAGAAAGGGAGGCGTAAATGAACATGACAACATAGCTGATGGCGACAATTTTGGCATCGGTGTTGGTCGACTTGTTGAGCTCCTCCTCGAGACTGATCTCGGTGTTGAAGGAGAGGCGCAGGCCGCGTGCTTTGGCTGATTCTTGGTAAATGAGCAAGTCATGCTTGAGAGCTCGCTCCCATTCCTCAGCCCTAGCCTCCGCCTCGGTACCGGGCTGATCATTATTGACCACCCATGTCGTGATCAGTGCCTTTGCTTCGGCGACATCGTCAATACTTGCGTAACCACCAAGAACTCGTCCCGGCTGGAGAGGGTCCATGAATTCGGGGAGGCACATCTGGTCACCGGGATGGGCTGCACAATGCTCGATTTGTGCTTTCCAGTCATCCATCAAGCCAGCGCCGAACCATCCGCTCACAGATTGGACCACACAGGCAGAACCCGTGGGCTTGAAACACACGTCGTCCAGTTGGATCCCCTGCTCAGGGGACATCATGCGTGAAATGCGCTGTTCAACGTCGAACCACCAGTCGAGCGTGTCGTAGCTCAAGACGGTGCTGTCTGGGGACGAATCATTGACGAGAAAAGCTTGCTCTGTCCTGTAGAATGGGCCGAAGTTCTCGTCGAAGAAGGCTTTCTCTTGCGCTGCATCCGAGCTCGGGCTGACCCACAAACGGACTGGATCCCTCTCGACCTCGAATCTGAGCCATCCAAGACTGAGCAGTCCAATCACGACAATGTTTGTCCCAATGGTCAAGGCTGGGTAGCGGGCGCAGAATCCGCCCAGTGCATGGAACGCCTGGTCCAAGATCTGATTGAGGTAATAGTTTCTCTGTGGCCGGTCAAGAATGCCCGCATTGTTGACCAGCTCGCCCTCGTCCTCGTCGTCGCTCGGAGCGGAATCCTGCAGCAGCTGAAGCCTCTCGCTCTTCCACTTCTTATGTCGTTGATACGCCACATGTCCGGAAATAGCCACAACAAGGAGTAGCAGGCCGATCGAGTAGATGATGATGACGGCGAAAGAGAGACACGGAAGCTTTCCGACATGACAGTAATTAACTGAACTGACCGGCTCTAGAGTTGGGCAAACCTCTGGGCAGTCGACGCAGCTGCAGCGAAACTTGGGATCGGTGTCGTTGCAGGCATAGACACGAGGGTCAGAGGCCTCCATACCCTGGTTGTTTCCAGCCCGGGGCTCCTCGGGGAAGTTGATCTGGAACGGGCTGCCCAGTAACTTCTTGTCACCCAGGAACTTGAGAAACTCGGTATAGTTGGTTGCGCCACCTCCGATGAAACTCATAGCCTTGCCACCACTCGCGCCATTCTTGACCTCCTTACAGCTGTCATAGAAGCCACTCTGGTAGTCTTTTGACCATATATTATCCAGCTCGGTGACCACATCCTTGCCATTAGAAGCTTTGCCGATATCGGTGACGTTGACGAACAACGATTGATCAGGAGAGCAGGTAAAGGTGCAGAATATGTTGAAGAAATTCTCCTTGCACGCAGGACACGACGCGATGATTCGTTCAGCCAGTTTCAGGTTCTTTTGCAGGGCATCCACTTGCTCCTCGTTGCAACAGACGTCGGTGTCTTGCCATTTCGCCCCGCATAGATTGACCAGCTTTTCGCGCACCACGTCCGAGGGCGACTCGGCCTTTCCATTGTCCGGACAGGGTAGATCAGAGCCGAAGAAGCCCTGTTTTCCACAGTGGCCACGGATGGCGCATCGACCGGCTTCGTGAAGGGGCGTCGGAGCAGAGCAGAGTGCAAGCGGGATAGAGGCGGAGGCAGCAAGCGCTGCTAGGGCGGGAGAAAAGAGGCGCATCGGGTTTGCTTGCTCTAGGAGGATTGAGGGAGAGAATCGAGGACTCGAAGGGTGTTTGTCGATTGAAATTGTGGCTGGGAGTCGCCGGCTATGTCATCCTGTAGAGGGGGTCGAGCGTGGAAGCTTGGACAAAGGTACGAGGACGACTCAGATGGACCTCAGATGTGATTTAGGCCAAAGCAGACAGAAGGATCACCGAAAGACCGGAGAGGATGTAGAGCACCAGTGCAGGTACCTAGTAAATCTGTAGAGAAGATACAAGTCGTTTTGTTTTGCAAGAGGCCAAAGCAGGTAAAGGGCATCCGCATCCTGACACACAGACTGAATGACTGACACCCACTCACTTTTCTCGCAGGCTGCGATGACGAGCCAATTCCGCTCCTCCCACGTCACCACTTTTTGGTCTCTCACAATCCACCACGGACCCGACTCGCCGAGTGCAAGTATAAGCACTACGAGGTACGAGAATATCTGCAACAAGTAATTACCTCGGATTCCTTACACCCTCGGTGTGTCCTTTCTAGCCAGCGAATTGCATTGCCTTACTTCCCACCCTGTGCTACTCACCCTGCGCACCTTGTTAACCATGAGCCACCCAGAGGCCGGCATTGACTCCCGACGCCTAGAACCCGTTGAGCCATCAGGGACGATCCTCTAAAGCTTGCCAGGCATAGCCTCAGGTACCAGGAACAGTGCTTTGTACGAGTAGCTGCAGGACATTTGGGATGTGGCCCACACGGCCATACACAATAGAAAGAATAGAGCGCAACAAACACAATGGATTGGCACTGGGTATCTGTGCAAACACCAGCTCCTCTTCGAACTCACTCCTCTCGCACACTCCGCAACTCCTCAATTTCCTGTTCTCTTTTTGGGTTTCTAGCAAGGCTAAAATACATATGTTAGAAGGGAAAAGAAGCGCTCAAAATCCCCGGAAGCCCCCCTATCCTTCCCAGGTATCAAGTGCCAACCGGAGCCTCAGCCCTCAAAGAATTGATCGGTTCAAACTCCAGCTCAAGCAGTTCCCTCAACATCACATCCTTTGGCGCCTAGCCCATAATGCACATTTGTTCTTTCCCTGTCGCTGGAAAAAGGGCTCCATGGTGCAGAATCTCTTTCACATGCCGGAAAGAAAAATGTCACCGGCTGCTCTGCGAAGTCACAATTCCTTTTCAGCTCTCACCTGCAGTAGCGGCTGGCTTGACGTCGCTGGGCTTCGAATCTGCGGGCTTGCCGTCGGACGCTCCATCTGTAGTCTTCTGGTAAGTGCCTCGTCCACCACCTCGACCGCCACGGCCACCTCGATCATCTCCCCTGCCGCGCCCACGTCCGCGGAATCCACCTCGCCCTCGGCCGCCTTCGCTGTCACTTGCCCCTCCGCTCTGATATCCTCCACGCGTGGGAGTATTGGCCGACCCAGCCGCGCCCCGATTACTGGGTTGCCATGTCCCAACACCGCCCTGGCTGTGATTGTCGCGTTGATGAAGACCTGGCACTCGATCCGTGCGCTCTTCAAACCACGTAAACTTTGGTACCTTGCCGGAAGAGTTCTTGTGGTTTTGCGCCTCGCCTTGCACTCTGGTCAAAGCGGCCTCGGCAATCTCGTGAGTCTCGAACTGCACCTTCCAGTTGGGGAATTTGCCCATTCGGCTAATGGCTCTGATCTTTTCGCGGTCCTCATCACCAAAACAGTCTCGGATATGTTGTTCACTGTCGGCCTGAGACACATAAAGGGCAGTTGGTGGTCTGCGCTCGGAAGGAGGTGTTGCAGCTTTGGCTTTGGCGGCCTCGCCTTCACCGGTCTTCTCTCCACTCGTACCGTTGGTGGCTGCGATTGTAGTTGTTGGAACCCCAGAGGATGAGGGTTGGGGGGTCAATGGCTTGGCCTGGGACACAGGCGGTGCCGGAGACCCTACTACAGGGGGAGTTCCTGTTTTGGCGGTAGGAGTTGGTGTGGGTTGGGGGGTTTGACCGGGTCTGGTCTGTTGCTGATGAGGTGGCGCTTGTTGCTGTAGAGGCTTTTGTTGTTGTGGGAAAGGCTGTGTCGGCGCAGAGAAGGCAGGAGTGCGGTTCTGATTCGGACCGGTCGAGGCAGGGACAGGAGGCATGGAACCCGAGGCCACAGACGCTGGACCTGTCGGCGGTTGTTGAGGAGCCGTTGGAGGCCCTGTGGGTTTTCCTCGATGAGCAAAGTTGAAGCCTTGCGCCCGCATCTCTGTCCCAATACGACCTCCTTCGATTTCCAAGACGAGATACCCGAATGCGGCGTCCGCGAGATTGAAGTTCCACATGTTCTTGAAGGCACTTTCGTCCACCTGGCCTGCCCCAGGTCCGCCTCCCACAGGTCCGCCAAAAGGATTGCCCCCATTCGCAGTGCTGGGCATCTTCTCTACAATTTCCAAGGCACTGTGGAGAAGCGCTTTGTGATTGGTATTGTTCTCGATCGCCTGCTCCACGTCCATCTTGACCGTTTCCCACACGTCCTGGAAGGATGCTTTGGACGCTGCCAACTTTCCGCGATAATGATCCAGAGATGGGTTAACGGAGAATTCGTTGTACGAGCTGCCATATCGGAAATGTAGACCCGCCGAAATGGAAAAATCGGCCTTGAGAGTGACAGAGAGTTGGTTCAGAATGCCGTCTCTGGCAGGGGACGCGTGTGTCAGAAAGATGCGCGTTTCTGAGGGATCGTACACGCGATTTGCGGTGTCGATTAGAGCGCCAATTTGAAGCAGCGTCGTCCACATGGTCCCTTGTCCGCCTGCAATGTAGGTCTTGCCTTCTCCATTGTCAAATAGCTTGTGAATAACGACCGCGCCACCGAGTCCGAGGAGTCTCAATTTTACACCGCCAATATCAAGTAATCTTGAATTAACTTCGTCGATAATGTGCAGGTTGTCCACCTTATACTCGCCTGACCGAAAACGTTCCAGCACTCTCACATCTTCACAAGCTCCCCATACCGTATAGACTGGTACGTCCAGGGTGATTTGCTTGTTGAGTAGAAGTGGTAATTCTGAAAGGGGTAGTTGGTCGGGTGTGAACATTTGCTTGATCGGCCGCTGAGGTTGAGGCTGGGCGATTTGGCGCTTCACATTTTCGCTAAGGAGGGGAGAATATTGCGCGACATGTTTCAGTGTCCTAAATTGTGGTGTAAGCCATCGTGTACCAAATCCCAGGACTTGGAGTATATCCTACTTTTCGGCTATTCTCTCCAGCGAGGTGTTGTCATAGAACCCGAAGTCACCGGTGTGTAAAATGTAATCGGCCTTCGCGGTCTTTGCCAGTTCATTCAGAGATCTGAGGTTTCCTAGAGTTCCTGGAGTCAGGCCTGTTTTAAGGCTGTATGAAACACCGCAAACTGACCTCTGACATCTGCAATACAAAGAACTCGAATGGGCCCGGACTGAATGATGCGGCCGTTGTTTGGCAACAGCGCCTGAGCCCCAGGAGTCGGCCCTGTGGTCGTACCGTTCGGCAGGTATCCTGGATTCGGGAACTGAGGACGTGGCTGTTGACGGAGGTGAATCAGTGGAAGGGCTATGGGGGTCATGGTTCGGGGCGCCATGGTCGCGCAAGAAGAGAGGGAAAGAAGGACGTGAAGTTCTTCTTTTGATCGGAGAAATGAGGAGGACTTACTGAAGCCATGAGTGAATGGCGAGCTAGAGGCTGCGCGACACAGTTGTGATTTCCACGTAAGGCCGCAGGCGAGTGAAGCGTGCGGCGAGTTGAGAGGTTTGGGGAACGGGGGTCAGAATTAGTATTAGAAATTTGTCTCTAAGAGGTTTGACGAGATCAGGCGCGTTCAACTCAGAGACGCTGAGGGAGAAGATGACAAGAACAATGGTCGAAAGGCGATGGAGAAGATACAAAGACTCGACTGTTCAGACACTTCAGGTCGTCGGGACAAATTCATGGACGAAACCCCAGGAAAGCAAAATACAAGCGGCAAGAGCTGCTCTTGCCTGTCTTGGCCTAGCCTCTTGGCGCTCTGACCCCTTTACTTTGTGTATCAGATTCAACGCTACCAGACTACGAAGCATTTCAGGAAGCCAAGGACACCAGCCTTTGTATCAGAGCTAGGTGACATTTTGTTGTTGTTTCTGCTGCTACATCTTCCGCGTGGCTGGTGCGGAAGGCCTTGTGAATGAAGGGTCCCCGCCAACATCACAATAAGTTGACGGGCAGACGTTGTTACATGTAAATGCGTCAAACCTTTGCCTCAACAACCTCAACTCCAGATCGCATCATCTCCTAGATAGCTTCAAACAACACATGCAAGCCAGGTATACCCCAGAGTCGTCCATTTTTTGATGATAAAATATACCCTCCTCATGCAGCCCGTCCGTAATAAAGGCCGACCATCATCCCTGAGCACATCTCGAACGTCTCCGTCAAGGGTCTTGACTTTGTGTCTAGACAGCGCCCAAGATCTCGTCGACATCCTTCTTGTAGACAACGGCGCCACCTTCGGAGCACTTGGCCTTTGATCGAAGCTCACTACACAGGTTATCAATATCAATTTCGCCATTTCGGAATTTCTCCATTGACTGCAGTCGATCCCTGTGATTGAAGTCAGCACCTGTGGCTTAATTCTAGGTGGGAGGGTCACAAACCAAATCTTGTTGCAGGTCATAGGTTTCTCATTATCGGGAACAACTTCCTCGTTGCCATTCTTGGCTTCTTCAACTTGTTTTAGGAGGTCCAACTTTGACGCGGGGTCTGGCGCCACGTCGTTATAGTTATGAAGAGGGCTGCCTAGATCCGGGAGCGGATAGGCATCATTGAAGAATGCCCCAAAGTCTTGCGACAGGATATTGTCCTGCGTCTCGCGATAATCGCCGAATAATATAGGGTCAAAGGTATTGTTGTTCTGTTGAGCGAGCCAGTTGATACCGTTGACATCGAAGCCAGGGTCATTAACATAGCCTAACGGATCCTCGTTAGACATTTTCAAAATTGGCGGTATCGGATCCTCCGCACAGCCACAGGCCAGCTGGAGTTGATCGCGGAGATAGTCCTTACCACCAAAAGGAACTTGATGTTCTTCGCTGATAGGGTTGAGATTGTACTCAGTAAGCTTGTTTGCAGGAGAGTTCAAGCTTGGTTCCGGAGAAGTGCCAATTGATGATATAGCATTCTGCGACTCGGTACATGAACTGGGGGAGTCGGAGTTGGAAGTACTGGAGTTTGAATACTGCCCGGGCAAGTTACTCAAGACTCCATTGTCAAGACTGCCGCGATTGCTCTGACTCGCGCCGTTGAAGGCAGAGACAGCGGATTTGGGGAAGTAACCTCCCAGACTAGCGTGGCGACTGGCTTCCAGGATGGATGGACTAAACAATCCAGACAAGCTGTCAACACTTCCATTCTGCTCATGTTGTTGGCTCTGAGGCTGGGGAGAGGCGGTAAAGGTGTTGCCGATGGGCGACTGGCTCATGGACCCGTATCTTGTCGCTTGGTTCTGCGAAGCTGACGTGGAACGACGACTGGCAGGATTTTGAGCGCCAGGCGTGGTACTTGGGGTTGGAACCGACGGAGACCTGCCATTGCTGGAAGCTTGTTGCCTCTGCGAGTTGGAACTGCCAAACAACCTTGTCGCAGGCATCGGAGGAAGGTCACCGAATTTGGGAAATTCAAATTGGAAGTCGTTGCCACTGGTGCTGCGATTTTGGCTAGTTGTAACCGGTTGTGATCTATTCAGACCATTACTGCTGATCCAAGAGAGTCGCTTGCGGTATTCTTTCAACTCGACTTGCAAGCGCTCCACCTGGGCGCGAAGAAGGCCGTTTTCATGGTTGGCCGACTCCGAGGCTTTTTCTAGATCCTCCACTTTAGTTTCTAGGTCCTTGAGATGCTTTTCTTTGCGCTCCCTGAAGGCTCGTTGCGCGGCGCGGTTCTGGGCCTTGCGTTTTGAGGTAGGCTCCGAAGTCAATGGCTTCCTTCCGGGCTTTTTGGCAGTCTTGTCTTCGCCTTCTCTTCTCTTACCGCCGCCTTCATCGTCGTCCTCTTTTCCGTCGACACTCTTGCGCTTATCGTGGAGGTCGGTGGACGCCGGCTCTCCGGGTATCTCGCCGATCATGCGACTATTCTCGTCAAAGTCAAATGATTCATCGCCAAAGTCGGCGTCAGGATCGAAGTCCAGGAATGGGCTGTCATCACTGAACTCGAGGTTTCCGGAGCCTGGAGCACTGGACATGTTTGGAGTGAAGTTGAAATTCTGTGGAGTGTTCTTTTGAGTATTCGACGTCGATTGATTTGGTGAAGTATCGGTTTTCAGGGCCGCCAGGAGAATCTCTTGTTGTTCCGAAGACAGGTAAAGACCTTCTATAGACTGTCGCGACATGAATTTGGTGGAAATCGATGATTGCTTGGGAGCACGATTTGTCCCGGTCCGCGAACACCAGATCAAGGTCGTGGGACAAGAAGGGCAGAAAGTTCAATTGCAGAATGCACGAGACAGTGCCCCCCTCTACTGCGTCGATAGGCAGTATCAAGAGGCGGCTTTGAGGTCGCAGGTTGGATACGAAAGGTGTGGAGGAAGGAGTAGAATGAACGAAGGGATGAAAGTAGAGTGGGATGAAGGGAGGGTCAAGTTTGGGGGGCACGAATAATAGGCGGGGCGATCACCGCACAAGGGCGAGCGGCTCCCAAAGAAAAGTATGGGCGATTCTAACTCGTCAGAAAACCCTCAATGATGGCAGCGGCGGATATTGGTATGAGAAGGCTCTGAGGACCTGGAAACGGACAAATGAGATGGAAGGGATGTGGAAAAGAAAGGGAATTGAGAGTTGCGATGAGATCAATCGGAGTGGAGGGTGGTAGAAGAGAGGAGTTTGTGTGGATGGTACGAGTTAAGGGCGCAGACCCTGAAGTGTCAGTTCGATAATGAGCAAAGAACCTCGCCAAGGGTAAGGACACCGCCTATGGGGGTACCGCCTTCAATGCCCCGTTAGTGATGCTCTTTACCCGGAAGCCCCCAAACCGCTAAATGATTCCTGCTAACTCCCTCTGGACGGAGTAGACTGCCTAACTAGAGCCCTGTCCTGTTCAGGGGGAGGGGTCCTGCATGCCTGGACCTTGCCTAGGGATCACCTAGGGACTGCCTACAAAGTACAGGTATATCAAGTGCCGCCATTGACTTGCGGTTTCCGGGTACATATTCCCGTCTTGGATTATTGCCTCTTTGCCTCTTCACAATAGCCTTGTGGTCCATGCCATCTTCTTTCCAATCTCTTGGTCGTGGATGGAGGAAAACCACTCGTTCAGCGAGCCAAGGTAAGATGTGGCGAATACTGGTCGGGAGATGCCAGCAGGAGTAGGCAAAGCAGACTGCGTGTGAGTGGCCCTCCAAGTTGATTTCTAAGCGGCAGTGAGTCGCGACCGATCCATGCCCATCCACGACGGTCCATCTCAATACCGATTCAACCCTGTCGGCGAATCAGCGGTGCTGGCTGTCTACGGCCACTCTACCATAAACAGCCTCCCAGCCCGTCATCCTGCCTTTCCACCAATTGTCGCCAGGGTTCCGAGCGCAAATTTACTTTTGTCCTGATACGAGCTCAATGGGTCCGGCGTGGTACCTTTTGGCTGTACGCAGCAGAGTCACACTTTGCTGTGCCTGTTTTTAAGTTCTCACTCCTGTCACCAGCTGTCCCTCTTCAAACCGACGTCATCTATCCCTGTCTATCCGTAATGTCCGCATGGTGTTACTTGAGGCTGTGGTAGGGCAGACAAGCTCTCGCGTGGGGTGACTTGTCGACTTGACGTTTTTCGGGTTCTCGACAAGTTTGACGATCACAACGTAGAAGAGCCGCGGCAGTGACTAAAAAAAGGGCAAAATTCTTGAGGGTCGGAAGGTGATGGAGCCACAGCTAAGAAAGAGGTTCGAGAAGCACCACCGAATGTTAGGTATCGGTAGGTTCAGTATTTCCGGCTGCGGAGGCGAAAAGCCTTGGCGAGCCGCAGGCCAACTGCCCTCATCTCTTGCACGTAATCCAAAGTGTAGGCAAGGCTTCGTAGGGAAACCATTTGCAACCATTCTCTCATATTGATTGTCTTTCTTTGGTGTACTTGTAAATCGGATCCACACAGATCTCGCATCTCTCTCTTGCCATCGTTCGAACTCGGTCGTCCACAAATCTGCAGTCATGAGCGCTGCCGAAGTCGCGGTCCTTGAGGGCGAAGTAAAGGAATATAAACTGCAACTGGAGACAGTCCAGCTGAGTCTGCAAAGTGACCCGGACAACAGCGAGTTGCAGAGTCTCAAACAAGAACTTGAAGAAGTCATATCCCTCACCGAATCAGCCATTGCAGAGCTAAAGCCTCCATCAGCACCCGCTCCGCCTGCGCAAACTGCCACCCCGCCAGGGAAGGAAAAATGGTCCAAAGAGAATCATCCTGCGTACCAGGCCGGTTATCGGAAGCCTGAGGTCGAGACGGAAGAAACGAGCAACCCCACAGCCTTTTCGGTCAACGACACGGTCTCGGCTAGATGGAAGTCCGGGGATGGAGGATTCTATCCAGCGCGCATCACCTCCATCACAGGTTCCTCTAGTGACCCGGTCTACATCGTAACATTCAAGAACTACGGCAATACAGAAACACTCAAAGCCAAGGACATCAAGCCGCTGACCAATGAAGCCAGGAAGCGCAAGGCTGATGGAATGTCAGGATCATCCACACCAGTGCCTCCGCCCTCGAATCCGAATGTCATCTCGGCCGCAGCCAGCGTCGACCCTGCTCTAGCGCAGCAAGCCCGCCGTGAACCAAGCAAAGTCAGCGACGGGCCCATTCGACCAGCGAAGATACCTCGCAAAGTCAAGGCCAACAAGGAACTCGAGGCGGGCAAATCGAAATGGCAAGATTTTGCGGCCAAGAGCAAGGCTGGAAAAACAACCAAGAAGGAAAGCATGTTCCGCACGGGCGAAAGTGTTAACGCTAGGGGTAGGTCTTGTTTTGTTGCATTAAAGAACGAGAATCCTACTGACTGTTGGCTAGTTGGCTTCACCGGCAGCGGTCACGAGATGCGCAAAGATCCTGCAAGAACGCGACACATCTACCAGCAGGGTGGTCAAGAAGACTGAAGACGATGCTGGGAGGCATTTTGAACCTGTGTTTCCCATCAGTACCTATCTTGCTTGTTTGCTTTGAGCGTTCATGGATTTTTATGAGGCAAACGCTGACGGGACGGCCAATTGCAGATTCAGCCACGACATGCATCGGCGATGTACAGAACGGAGCCGGGCGTAGATCTATAATGAGACAAGTATCTTCCTATCTACATCATGACAGTCTCTGACGTTTCGATTTATCCAGAGTGGTGGGTGAGAGAACGGCTGCAATGTCTGAAGCCACAGCCAACCCAGCCCAAGCGGGGATGGCCTGATCCAGTCAGTTGGTCTCTGGGATCTTGTCAGAGACTGTCCATCTTGCGTAGGTGATTTTGATTGACTACGCGAGCATTCGTGAACCTCACAAATGTCTCGCTGATCTGCTCTCGAGGCATTGTATTGCAGTCAGCCATCATGCGCTGCTGTTCTTACAAACGCCATTGGGAAGCGCCCTTCTCGATGCCGGTTCGGGTTCCAGATCCGACTGTGCTCGCCATATCATTGTGTCCGGTCCGCCTGAATCTGGCACACGCGTTTGTGTATCCGCGTTTTTGTATCAGCCATGCTGTTGTCCTGCGGATTAATCTCGTTTTCTGCGCTTAGAGCCTCGACGGACTGCGTGTGCGCGTACTATTTGTGATCCCCCACCTCCCGAGGTACATGGACTCAGGCAAGCACACGCAAGCAGGTACTTTGTATTCGGGGGAGGACTGCACCTCCTGTCAACTCGACTATCCGAGATGTATCGGTAGATGTTTCTGGGGGATGTTATGCAACCCCGTAGACGGAACCCAATGAAACGAAAACAGCGTCTCCATCGTTTCCCTCCTTTTTCTTTTTTATTTTTTTGTAGGTCGTGGGATCACAATCCGCCCTGAATCCTAAAGCTGCTGACCACCAACACCAGCATATTGATGATCCCCCACAACAGCGGCGTCCAGGTACTCATCCCAAAGTACCCGGCGTTGTAGACGGCGCCGAGGACCAAGCCGACCAAGCTGCCGGCGAGGAGGGCCTCGCTGGCCCCGATGACGATGTAGACGACGGGGACGAGCCAGACCCAGCCCAACGTCTCCGCGATGGGGTTCCGGTTGCCGCCGCCGCCGAGCAGGATGCGGTTCTTGGGGCTCAGGGCCCGTCCGGCCGGTGAGGCGAGGTACTTGCGCCGCTGGTCCGCCGAGGCGAGCTGCATGAGCACGGCCCAGGCGGCGACGCACCCGTGCGCGGCCACCACGGTGAGCAGCGTCCAGTACAGCGTGTACCGGTAGATGTCGGACAGGAAGTACAGGTACTGCGGCTCGCCCGGGTTGGCGTGGACGGGCCAGTACAGGGCTGGGAAGTCGGGGGTCACGTAGGAGAGGGGCACGCCGCTGCCGTAGGTGGTCATTTTTCTCGTCTTCGGGGAGATGCTGGAGGAGAAGTAGTGGTAGTTAAGGAATTGGCGGTGGTGGTTGAGGAGCACGGAGAAGTGATCACAAGGATCTCTCAATACTACCCCCTACGGCGTGAGGAACTCGTCGTGACGGACCGCATGTTTCAAGATGAAGCTGAAGTTGGCATTGGTATTGACACGAAAACGAACCTGCGACAAGTGACGCTTGATGAGAGGGAAACACATTCTACATACATGATTTGGCCTGGTGGTTTCGATCTCCAAGGCGGAATATCCCCTCCGAAGTTTATCCGAGGGCCTCAGAGCATGATTGGTCCACTCTAGTACTTGCCCTTCCCACGCTTCCCCGGGTTTTTGGTCTTACATACTCCACAATCTCAGCGTCACAGACAACAAACACCATACCGAAACAACAGGAGGGGAGAAAGAAATCGAGAATCGAGAGCAAGAGTATTTGATAAGATTAAAGACGGGTGATATACACTCCCAGGAAGCAGATGTACAATCCCGGCTGCTGCTGCTGCTCGAGGTAAGAAAGACCATGCCGTGTTTCCCAATGATTGACAAGTTAGCACTACTTTCAGTCTGGAGGTGAACAATAGCACGGACATGGTCCGCACGATGTGTCAAACAACCGGTGAATTATTTCCCCCATATATACATGCCACGACGTCAATTACCAACCAAGCTGGCCTACCTATACATCTGTAGGGGTCGACCCGATGAAAGGCGAATATTCTGCTGTCAAGGATCGACTCCAATTACTCTTCCAAGTGACATTGTCTAGTTGCCTTACACCAGCCCTCTTCTGAGCGTGCTGGTGCTGGCGTGTCGCAATAGCTGGTCGATCGACAGGAAATTCGGATCTGACCGACGGCTGGGATCGAGGTTGCGGAGGATGCATCTGGCATTCCTACCAGAGGGAGTCGTCCTCAACCGCATACACACGTCGCAGATTTGACCTCCAGGTATACGCCTTTTCGCATCTACGTCCTCGTCCAAAAGCGCCTTGATGGCCTTCACATTCATGTGGCGAGCTGCAAGGTGCAGCGGAGGCAGCGATCCGTCAGCTTCACCCGACACGAGCTCCTTATCGGCTCCTAATCTTATCAACTGGGAGATCCATTCTGGCCGGTTGCTGATGATGGCCTGGTGCAAGACAGTATTGCCTGCATGGTCCGTCAAGTTAATGGCTTGAGGGTTTTTTGCCACCTTGCACAGCGCCTCGAGGACTTGTTTTTGGCCATTTCTGACCGCTTCGTGCAGCGCCGGTTTGAATGTGCTGTCAAAGGGCGGCTGCGGTTTCCATGAGACGAGATTGGAGTGACTTTTGATTATTTCTTGAACGAATACCAGCTTTCCATCCTGGCTTGCCTTGGACAACACGGGAAAACCAGCCCACAGCGATGCCTGATTTTTATTGTCGTGCAGAAATGCGCACAACAGCTCCCGGGATGAAGCTTTTTTCAACGGGTCCATGTCCATAACATATTGGAGCGGATATTTGCCGTCGTGATCGTTTACGTCCCTCTTACATCCACGACCGAGCAAAACTCTGACCAAAGCTGGATCTTCGCCTATGACAGCATGGTGCAGCGGCGTTTGTCCCTTTCTGTTGTCAAGGCAGTCGATATTGGAGTCCCCCGCCAGCAACGCTTCAACACTGGCAACGTCCTTTACCGAAACGGCGCAATGAAGGGCAGTTTGCCCTTCAATATCAAAGTATTCAGTCTTGGCGCCTACGTCGACCAGCTTCTGTATCATCTCCGCATCCCCAGCGAGGGCGGAATTATGGAGTGGTGTGCGACCCTTTCTGTCGGTGGCGTTAATGTCGGCTTTGTGGTTCAGCAAGAGTTCAACCACTTCACATTGTTTCTTTCTCACTTCCAAATCACGGGGTTTCTCCTTCACCGCCAATGACAGAGGAGCATCTCCCTCCTCGTTCCTTGCGTTGATCAGAGCCGGAGCTGTGTCAACGAGGTAACTTGCGACTTTGATGGACCCATTCCGGGCGGCGCAGTGTAGCGGCGTATCATGAGGGTACTCTTTGTTGGTCCCCGCAATCTCTGCGGGCTTTTTATCAACAAGAAAGTCGACAATACCCACTTTATCCCTTGAGATGGCGATGTAAAACAGGGGATTCCCAGCTTGATCCACCACATCGCGATTGGCTCCTCGGTTGAGCAACAACTTGACCGTATTCAGGCGACCGTTATAGACCGCCAGCATCAGAGGAGTGAATCCTTTGACATAACTTCTACCTGCGCCCTGTCTCTGTGTTTCGATATCGGCATTATGCGGTGCATTCAGGAGGTGCTTAACCACCTCGTCCATCCCCCACTTCGCAGCGCTTAGAAGTGCTGTTTCCCCAAGGTCGTTTCGAGCATTGATTTCTGCACCGTTCTCAATGAGGAGCTCCACGATGTCTGATTTTCCCTTTTTGGCAGCATAGCACAGTGGACGATCCTTGGGGTACTTGCGGTCCTTGGGATCCTCGGGCTCCTTGGTAATCTCGGTGTTGGGGTCAGGCGATTCTTGATTGGGATCAAACCCCAGTTCAAGCAGAAGGCGGACCATCTCGAGGGAGTCCCTGTCGTCTTTGATGTCTATGGCCTTCAGCAGCCATAATGCCCGATTGCCTTTTAGAGCCTTGTCCTGTAGGATTCCAAGTCTCTTGAGCGCCTTGCAAACATTGCCACGTCCTTCTTCGCCTCCTCTGTGGCCGGTATGATCTCCATGTGACTGTCTCGAGGGATTCGGGTGGGAGCCAGTGTGGGTGGACTTTGGAGGAGGCTGTGCTGGTGTGCTCTTGGCAGGAGACCTTTTCCCCTCTGTTTGGTCTTTTTCAGGTGCTTGAGCTTTTGGTCGTGTTAGTGTGCTCTGGGCTGGAGACCTTTTCCCCTCTGTTTGCTCTTTTTCAGGCACGTGAGCTTGCGTTTGTGCAGTGGATGATAATTCTTTCGTTGTGGCTTGCTTTATATTCTCGTTGACCATCTGCTTTAGTAGTGTAGCCCGTTTGTTCGTCGTATCGATACTTTCTAGGAATTCTAACGGGCGCGGACCGTCCTGGGCTCTTCTTATCGCTTAGTCCTGGATTCAACACCAGAGAGCATCTTTTTACAAAACAGCACTTACGGGCCTAAGATGCAAACAAGCTTATCCAAATTCTTGTGGTAGATTTCTATCAGGGTGTGGCATTCATCCCAAAGGTCAGGCGGGTCAGGAAATTTCCTGGTGGCGAGAAGATTTAAATTGTAGATGGTGCTGGCTAGGACCTGCGCACATCCCTCTAGGATAGCCCTGAAGCAGCGGTCTTCATGGCTTGCTTCTCGGAATGGGTGGTGTTGGCGATCTGGGCTGAGGAGGAGGCGTTGTAAGTCCCTCAGACTCTTCTCAATGCCCACGAGCGGAGGCCTTATTTGGGATGTGGAAAGGGGAGGGCCGGTGCGAGGTTTGGCGACACGGTCCATAAGACCCTTCGCCTTTTCGCAATCTTGGAAGAGAGGATCCATCCGTCTGACTTCTCGAAGGGCATTTGTTGGCGCCATAGTGGAATATGGGCCTGCAAGCTGGTGCTCGGAAGAGTCTCATCCAACAAACACACAGCAACTTCGCCGGGTGTTATATGCTGTCAAGCACGAACTTGCGCCCGAGTATACCTGGAGTCATCCGCATGCTACGGGGACAATCAGTGACGTGGCAATGCATGCATATGCATACAGATGGACCGAATAGGCTGCTCTAGAAGCAGGTTGATGCGAACTGTGCGGGTCTTCCTTGATATGAATGGGGGGACTCTTCTTAATTAGCTGCATTTCAGTCGGGCGTCGAGCACTCCATGTGCGGTCTAGACAATGGCCGCAATTGCCGGATGCCCGGCAAGGTGTTTGTTTGGGCGCACAGAGCCTCATTGGGACCACCAGGGCTATCATTGGGTGTGTCGGATGTGGTATCGTCATTTGTGTAACATCAGGGAGAGACAGGCTCTGCAGCTAAGATAGGCAACGCGAGATAGAGCCATAGCAGACTCTTCGTCACAGAGGAGGGCGGGGGTCTGGGCCACATGACATATCATCGGAAGATTGAAGTTTGGAGGTGGAAAGTGAAAGATCGAAGGCGGAAGGTGGAAAGAAGGAAGGAGCAAGGGATGATGAGGCTGCCTGCCACGCTGCCCAAGAAACCCGCAGTGGAACCTCGGAGAAACAACCCCCGAAGATTCTCAGCCTTACCGACTCTCCCATGGGTCTCACCTTTGTCGATCCCTTGCTTTCCACTCGAATAACAGCTACATCTTCCCGGCTCTCATGGCAGAGTGTAGCCTCCGTCAATAAGGACATCACTTCCAGTCTGGAAGCTTGAGGCATCACTCGCCAGGTACAAGTAGAGACCCTTGAGTTCCCGGACATGACCCTGGCGACCCAGCACTGCCATGCGATGGCCCTCATTCTCACATAGCGCGGAGGCCCCCATCTTTGTCTGGAAGAATCCAGGACTCACAACGTTGACGCGCGCAAAGTCCCTCCACTCTCTCGCGAGACTCTTGCCGAGATGGGTGACGGCTGCCTTGGTCGCGTTGTACACAGGCTGATCGACAGGTACGTTGACTATGTGGGCCGACATGCTGGACGTGATGATCAGATTCCCTCGACCTTGTTGTTTGAAGACCTCGCCCGCGTACTTGGCACAGAAGAAAACGCCGTCCACGTTCACTGACATCTGCTTTCGATACTCGTCAACTGTCTGCTCAAGAATCGGTTTTGAGATGGCCATCCCGGCGTTGGCGACGAACACATCCAAACGGCCAAAGTCTTTCACCACCTCGTCCACCGCCTGTTGGACCCGCGACGGCTCTGAAACATCGACCTGGTACGCTCTGACCTTGATGCCATGTTGAGACGCCAATTGTTGCCCCTTGGATTTGGCGGCGTCGTTCGTGTTGTACCAGAGTGCGAGATTGGCGCCAGCTTCTGCCATGGCTTCGGCGACCGCAAAACCAATGCCGTCCGACGCACCGGTGATGCACACCAACCGACCTTTCATGGAGAGTTGCTCAAAAACATTGTTGGGTGTGGCCGGGGTGGGCTTGGGGGGCCGAGGAGTCGCGCATTCTTCTATTGTCATGGACATACTGGGCGGGGTTGAGAATTTGGGAATGAGATGAAGCCAGGATTCGAAGATTCCGCACGAGTGAAAGATGGCAAAAGAGACAGGGAGGAGATGGCCAGAGGCGTCGGTAGATGTGGGCTTCGCTGACCAGGATTAGTGGTTGTTTCTCGGGGCAATGCCGTCCGAATTTGGATCGACAGGGTCACTTCGGATATTGCTTTGGACGACTCGAGTGCTTTAGTATCGATTGTTCGGCAGACCAGAGAAGAGTGATGAGCAGTGAGTGTCCTTGTTCGTCTCGTCCATCTTGTGGTTGATCTGTTCCTCCTGGCTGGCAGAAGCTCTATAGACAGAGACAGTATCTGCCTAGAGACCAAGGAACTATACTGTTTGTCAATCAGTGTATGGTATACATAAGCGGCAAACTCCTGCTAAGATGGATATGGCTACCTCGAGCTGCCTGGATACCCATGTAGCATTGAGTGCCAGGTGTACGAGCGAGTACACAACCCCTCGTACCTTGGCAGCTTGGTTAACAATTACCCGATTGGGGTGCATGGGGCCGTATGCACGAGTCATGTACCCCGCACAAGGCTACGAATTCCACACGAGGCTGGTGACGTAATATCTTTACCTCCTGGCTGGTGCCTGGTCCTGGGGTGCCAGGCCACACTATAAGCAGCTTTCTATATTTTATCCCTCTCGACTGCTCTAATCCCTAAACCCCAGCGGACAATACGAGTAGTCGAGTCCTGTGTGCACAACATGGCCGCCCAAACACAACCTGAAATCATCCTCTACGACCTGGCCTGCACCAAGAACGTCTGCTTCTCGCCCGCTGTCTGGCGCGTCCGCCTGATGCTCAACTACAAACGAATCCCGTACCAGACCATCTTTGTCGAGTTTCCGGACATTGAGCCGACGCTGAAAGGGCTGTGAGTGTTCGACCCCTTGTACAATTTTCTCCTTGCCATTCCCAGCTCCATACTTTAGATACCATGTCCCTCTTCCACCACGAGCTAGAGAGGTAGGCATTCTCCCTCACTTGATGACAACCCTGCTATTAGAGGCATCGCCCCCTCGAGCGGAACCAGTTCGTCATCCCAGATCAAGTACACCGTGCCGGCGATCCACCACGTCTCGAGCAACACGTCCATGATGGAGTCGGGCGCGATCGCCCAGTTCCTCGAATCAACGTACCCGGACCCGCCGGTGCCGTTGACATCGGAGCTCGGCCGGGAGATCGAGACCCAAGCACGCGCCGTGGCTGGGAAGGTGTTCCGCGCGTCGATATTACCGCGCGAAGTGCACATCCTGTCGCCCCGCGGGCAGGAGTACTTTCGGCGCACGCGCGAGGCTCCGCTAGGCGACCACCGCCGGCTCGAGGACCTACTTGATGAGGCCAAAGAGGACGAGAGCTGGGCCGCTGTGGACGACGGCATGCGCGCCGTGGGCGAGCTGATGCGCACGAACCGCGCTGACGGGCCCTTTGTGCTGGGTGCCCGTCCCAGCTACACCGACTTCTTCATCGCTGGGTCGCTCCAGAACGCGCGGGTGGTGGACGAGGGCGTGTTTCTGCGGAATATGCGCTACCCGGGCTTCAGGGACGTGTATGAGGCGTGTGTGCCGTACATGGAGAAGAATGATTGAGTAGAGATCCCATAGGGCGGTATTGAGCGATGAAATTGCGGCCCGTCAGTTGTATAGACAGATACCTAGATGGTTACGATCAGTTCTCTGCTCAACAAATAAAATTAATAGATAGATTATCAACAAAAATTCCTCCCGTGAACGAGGAACGTATAGATGGAGCCACCTAACCACTACCGAGGACTTGCATAGCCATCCTACCACATGCCACCTTGTACCTACCTACCCACCCACCTACCTACTACTAGATATCCCCATGAACACATCTGTGTATACACATGTCGCCATGCATAAAACATTCATACACCATACATAAAAACCCACCACATTTACATTACTTGAGCCTTCTTTTACTGATCCTTCTCGCTCCTCGCTTACCGACTTCTTTACCTTTTTGGCTTCTAGGAAAAAGGATTCCCGCATTCTGCCTAAAAGTCCCAACCATAATAACCACCGTATGACCCGAAGTATTACCCAAAGTCGCCCCAAAGTTGGGGCCGATGAGGTACTGGGGCTTTCCTTGGGCTCTTGGCCCTGGGTCGTGGGTCCTTGGTTGACACTGATTACTCCGCTACTACCTCGTATAGTCTGGGCAGGCAGGTTGGTAGGGTATCATCCATGCCCGCCAAAGTACGAGGTACAGTACCTGGCGAGCTGGGAAGGAATTATTCTCCCGCCTCCGGAGTTTGCCCTTTTTGGCCAATTGCAAAAGTTGGGACCGCTGCGCTCCAGAGCACATCCACAAACTACAGACGGCTCCTGATGTGATAGGCCTCCAGGGAAATGTACCTCTTTGTAGGAATTTCTTCATATTCCCAAACCGTGCTCTGCGTGGAATCAATGTCTGAAAAGCAAAATGCTTGAAAAAGGCCTTGTCTGCTGCTGATAAGTAAGTCAGGACCAGCGGGAAAAGGAGATACAAAATCTGGTCAAATAGTCGCCGTCACACGACCGACATCATGAAGTTTACAGAAGGGATGTGGCGGACCCGGTCGGGCGTGTCTTTCAACTGGATGGGCAACGTGGAGCGGCTTCACGTCGATGAACACAACGCCGTCGACCTCCTGCTCACAAAGACGCAGAGGAGCCGGGGCGACACCCTCAACGTTGGCACCCTCTCTGCTCGAGTCCGCACTCCGCTCCAGGGTGTCGTCGCCGTGAACTTCTCCCACTGGACCGGCGAGGAGGATCGGGGCCCTCATTTCCCCCTGTTCGAGTCGCCGACGACCCCGGAGATCAACCACTCCAAGGGCCGATCGCTAGACTATACGAGTGGACCGCTGGCCTTGTCCGTCAACACCGCCCCCAACCAGCTGGCATTCACATACTCGTCCAACTCGAAAAGACTCACCGGCCACTCATTGCGGTCCATCGCCGTGGTGTCGTCCTCGGACTCGCCCAGGTACAGGATCGACGAGGGCATGTACGCGCAGCAGGACAACTATATCCTCTTGGAGCTCGACCTCTCGGTCCACGAGAAGATCTACGGCCTCGGGGAGCGGTTCGGCCCGTTTGTGAAGAACGGGCAGACGGTCGACGTCTGGAACGAGGACGGCGGGACCAGTTCCGAGCTGACGTACAAAAACGTCCCCTTCTACCTGTCCAGTCGTGGATACGGCGTCTTCGTCAACAACCCGGGCAAGGTCATGCTGGAGATCCAGTCGGAGCGGACCACGCGGGTCAACATTGCCCTCCAGGGCGAGAGCCTCGAGTACATGGTCATCGCGGGCCCGTCGCCCAAAGACATCTTGGACCGCTACACGGCCCTGACCGGTCGTCCTGGATTGCCGCCGGCGTGGTCCTACGGTCTCTGGCTCACGACCTCTTTCACCACGTCGTACGACGAGCAGACGGTCACGTCGTTCCTCGAGGGGTTCAAGTCGCGGGACATCCCTCTGAGTGTTTTCCATTTTGACTGTTTCTGGATGAAGTCCTGTGGGTATTCTCCGTGGCAGATTGGTCCTTCGATCGCTTCCCTTCCGTTTTGAGTTACATTCTGCAGCTGTAAGCCAACCAACATACTGACAGCCGAGTGAATAGTTCAATGGTGCGACTTCCAATTCGACGACGAAAACTTCCCAGATGCCCAGGGCTACCTGCGCCGCCTGAAGGAGCGCGGCATGAAGGTCTGCGTCTGGATCAACCCGTACATTGCGCAGGCGTCGCCCCTGTTCCTCGAAGGGAAGAAGAAGGGCTACTTCATCATGCGCGCTGGCACGCCGCGGCCGACCGTCTGGCAATGGGACAACTGGCAAGCCGGCATGGCCGTGGTGGACTTCACCAACCCAGCCGCGCGGGAGTGGTACGCCTCGCACCTGCGGAGGTTGATGGACATGGGCGTGGACAGCTTCAAGACCGACTTTGGCGAGCGCATCCCTTTCCTCCCGCACCAGGTCACGTACCACGACGGCAGCGACAGCGTGCGCATGCACAACTTCTACGCCTACCTGTACAACAAGACCGTGTACGAGGCGATGCAGGTCAAGGGCAAGGCGCCGTGTCTCTTTGCGCGATCTGCTACGGCCGGAGGGCAGCAACTCCCCGTCCATTGGGGAGGAGACTGCGAGAGCACGTTTGAAGCCATGGCCGAGACGTTGCGCGGCGGACTCTCCCTCGCGCTCTCGGGCTTTGCCTTTTGGGCTCACGATATTGGTGGCTTTGAAGGGCTGCCCGATCCAGCCCTATACAAGCGCTGGGTCCAATTCGGGCTGTTGGGGAGCCACTCCCGTCTACACGGCAGCTCGAGCTACCGCGTGCCTTGGATCTACGATCCAGAGAAATACCCGGGCGAGGATCAAGCCTGCAGCAAGGTCCTGAAGGAGAGTGCAGAGCGGAAACTGGCGCTGATGCCGTACCTCTTGCGCGCGGCGCTCCAAGGCCATCTCAAGGGCACGCCCGTCATGCGAGCCATGTTCCTCGAGTTTGGAGAAACCGACATGAACGTCTGGCCTCTGGACACCCAGTATATGCTCGGCAGCGAGCTCCTTGTCGCGCCGGTATTTGATAAGGGGGGAGAAGTGACCTTCTACGTCCCGTTCTCTCGGGCAGACGCGGATGCCACCCCTGCCACGGAGTCCAAGTGGCGGAGTTTCTTTGACCACGGCAAAACATATGAGGAAGGCCGGTGGTACACGGAAAAACACAAATTCGATACCTTGCCGCTGCTTATCAGGCCTGGAGCTGTGGTCCCATACAATCCGACCCTGAAGGCGCCGGATGGAGACATCTCCACGGGTCTGCAGGTCCTAGTCAACGGGCCACTAGCAGGTGAAAAAACGGTCGAGCTCGTCGAGGCAGGGGACGTGTCGCGGGTATCAAGGACGTTTACCGTCGATCAGAGTCTTGTAATCAAAGGGATAGAAAGCGTCCAAGTTCTGGATTTGTCAAAGGCATAGATATCGACCAGTTTGATCGGAGACTCGAGGACGTGGTCTTGTGGTTTGAGCGTGTCATTCGTACGATAGACCAAAAATAGAGTAGAGCCAACCTGGAATCAGTAGAGGCGCCGTGGGATACATCGAGTACTCAATATCTGATCCTTGTCAAGCCTCTTTGGTTATCACAGGAGCGGGTGCATTGCAGTTTTGGATCCGAATATGTGACGACAATGAACAAATGTGGGAGGAACGGACCCGCGGTTGACCTCTTCCGAGATGCAGAACGAATGACAAATGTAGACCGAGTATACGTAGGTACATAACTACATATCTTAATAGTATGTGGCCATTACAGAAGGAAAACTGTACAAACCTGCCAAACAGGCCAAACAGGCCAAACGAGTGCCTGCGTGCCCTGCGTGCCTGCGTCTGGGGCAAAGGAACGCGTTTTCTACCCAACGTGGCCGCCCAGACCGCCCATTTGATCAATTTGGTGAACAAGCAACAGTCGAAAAGGTGTCGTGCGAAAGAATCGCCATGGGTTCCTCTCTGAGGACGAGAAGTTGCCCCAAAGGCAGCATCATGAGACCTAACAACCAACTGACAACGCTTTCTCTACTGCTCTTATGAGGCATGCTCTACCTGCGGCCGACTTGACCCACTGACCAATCGTTACTCTACCGACGTCGCCTCAAATATGGCGAGGTTTGGAACCATCTCAACTTCCAACCTGGGCCCGAATCTGACCAAGTCCTAAAATGCGGACGACCAAAGCACCGTGCCAGAACCAGAATAGAACGACATCCTAAACGAAGTTGGTCTTCTCCACTTGGCGATCCTTCAAGTCGCCTTCCATCCTGCCCATGCCACTGTGACAAGATCCTCTCCAACTATGGGGCATATTCTGGGTTATCTTCCGGCGGGAACCTCGGATCTGACTCGTTTTTGCCCCAGACCGAGCCAACAACGTCCCACTCCCACCGAAGTTGTACCGTTACATGAGCGCCCCAGGAATTCCATTTCGAAGAGGATTGGCTGCGACTTTAGCCGACATACAAACGACAGCGGGATATCTCACGAGGGAACGTTGAGTGTCTGGCCCCGGATAATCAATAGGTGCCACCTTTGCCCCAATTTGGGATAACAGCTCTTGGTACCTTGCGTGATATGAGGAGGGCGGACTAGGCGGTTTCCACAGTGAAAAGCCGGGGCCCCATGGTTGCGCCCAAGAAACCCCCCAGAGTACTGGTTCAATCAGCCGAACCCCCGCTCCTCCTACCTTTGGCGACTATGGATTGCTACTATCAAAAGGACAAGCTTTGAGACAATGTAGCATTCTTCATGGCATTCTGTCGCTACCAGTTCTGCTTTTGGAAACTGCCCGGTGGGTTCGGCGATGAGGACACTCTTCGACCAAGTCGCTTGAACAGTAATACGCAGCTACTCTCGAAGCGAACATTGCAAATTACCCGTCAGAGTGGTCTCACGTATGGCTCGTCCGTCAAGAGGTGTCCCGGCTCGATCGAAGGAGCTGTCTGGGCCTACACCAATTGTGAAATTGAACATCCAACGGGTTGGTTACATCTCCACCGTTGTTGGATAATGTCTCTGGACCGTTCCAAGGGATCCTGCTTGCATCCGGAGAATATATAAGGTCTGTGACCCTCCACTCTTGTGTAAATCATTGCCAGTTCTCAAAGAATTCCATCATTCTTATCTCAACTCCCACAGCACAAGGGACGAGTCATTCCCTCTTCACCACCTTGGTAAGAGATGGCCGCCGAACAGAAGGCAGGAGATACAATCCACTTTGAAACATCGGACGATGGACTCGGTTATCTCAAGGACGTGGGTCTCCACGATGCTACCCTTGCCAGTGGTGCCCTCGAGGGCACTGCCCAAGAGCACAGCATGGGTGTCTTTCAAGCTTTGAAGGCGTACAAGCGCGCGGCATTCTGGTCGATTCGTAAGTTGAGCCCCGGACTCCAGACAGAGGTATCTGGCCAGCCAGCGAGTTGGATATCTGGTTCTCCTCAGAGCAAAACTAAGTCCTCGAGCAGTCATCTCCACCACCGTCGTCATGGAGGGCTACGACGTCACGCTGTTAGGCTCGTTCTACGGCTATCCGAGCTTTCGACGCAAGTACGGAGAATTTCTGAACGAGGAGAGCGGCTACCAGATCTCGGCCAACTGGCAGCAACGCTTTAACTGCCTGGGTGCCTTTGCCAACATTATCGGCGCTTTGTTGAACGGTTGGGCCACAGCCAGATGGGGCCACCGCAAGGTACTCATGGTTAACTTGTTCTCGCTGGCTGGGCTCATTTTCATCGTCTTCTTCGCCCCTACCATTGAAGTCATGCTCGTCGGACAGTTCCTCTGCAACATCCCCTGGGGTGTTTTTGCCACGACCGGGCCCTCATACGCGGCTGAGGTCACACCTTTGGCTATTCGAGGGTATCTCACCGCGTACGTCAACCTCTGCTGGTGCATTGGGCAGTTTATCTCCGCTGGTGTCCTCAAAGGCCTCGTCAACAACACGACGCAGTGGAGTTATCGCATAGCTTTTGCGATCCAATGGATTTGGCCGATCCCGCTCTTCCTGGCTGCTTGGTTCGCGCCGGAGTCGCCCTGGTACTTTGTCCGAACGGACCGAATTGAAGCCGCCAGAAAATCGTTGGAAAGGCTGACCCAGCCAGAACACCATGGCGAGATCGATGCCACTATTGCTATGATGGTTCACACGAACAAACTCGAGCTCCAGGAGCGAGCCGGTGTTAATCTCTGGGATGCTTTCCGAGGCACAAACCGCCGGCGGACTGAGATTGCCTGCATGGGCTTCCTCTCCCAGATCACGAACGGCGGCGCACTCTGCTACAGCGGATCCTTCTTTTTCCAACAGACCGGTATCAGCGCCAATGCCGCGTATGCCATCTCGTTGGCCGGGACCGGCATTGCTTTTCTGGGTACCATCATCTCTTGGTTTTACATTTATCGCTGGGGTCGTCGCATCATCTGGCTCACTGGATTTACCTGTCTGGTGGTGATTTTGTGGACCATCGGTTTCCTGGCTCTGCCATCACAGACCAAGAGTCTTGCGTGGGGACAGTCGATCCTGTGTCTTGTCTGGCTGGGGGCGTACTCCATGACCGTGGGGCCCATCATCTACACACTCGTCGCCGAGATTGGCTCAACTCGCCTCCGGACGCAGACGGTGGTCCTGGCGCGCAGCACGTATTATGTTGGGAACATAATCTGCGGTGGACTGCTTCAGCCTGAGCTGATTTCTCCGGGAGCATGGAATGCCAAGGGGAAGACTGTATGTTCCGCGAATTCCCACATCATTTCTTTATTGCTTTTCCATTGCCATGTTCTTGCTGACGTCTGATGACTCAAGGCTTTCTTCTGGGCTGGCCTTGCGACATTGACCTTGCTGTGGGGCTACTTCCGCCTGTTTGAGACCAAAGACAGAACCTTTGGCGAGCTGGATTTCATGGTAAGAGAAACACGCTCCGATTTGGCTGATTGGTACACTGTCGTTGCCGTGCGCTGACCAAGATGGACGGTTACAGTTCCAAAACAATGTCCCAGCCCGCAAATCTGCCAAGTACCAGATCAGAGAGGAGGAGCTCTATGCCGCAGACAGCGAGGAGAAGAAGTCGTCATCCCAAGTGGCCTAAGACGGTGTCTGGTCTGGTTTGTTGCCAGTGACGACGAGGAGAGACGAATGCTGCATATTTGCGGCTATGCAAACGCACGAAAGTTGGTCCTTGATGGAGGAATCTATACCATCTCTATACCATAACTCAATGACATGAGAACGTGTTGACCTGCCCATTCAGTGCTACCTAGCCACACCCTCCGGACAGTCTGACTTTATCTTGTACCAGTCCCACTTTGCAGCCTCACCTAGACACCAAGCCGGGTTTATTCTGACTAGACCTTTCTCTTTTCTCTGTCTTCTATAGTCGAGGTGGCATCTTCTGCCAGAGATGAGGTGAAGTGGTAGAACGCAGGCGAGGCTGTGGAGAGGTCGGCCCGGTACGGTAGAGGATGTAGACCGCTAGTGCAAGGCATGGCGAAGGGACTTTACGGGTGTGGTAGTTAGTGTTTTGAGGATAAGATGGCGTCGAGGTCTGGACCTTTTGATGATCCTTGTCCCCGTCAGAGGTCAATGAGAAGAGCAGGGACATGAGGAAAGTGGGAATTGTGGCGGAAAAGAGATCCGTCGGCCTCGTCGTCTCGCCTCGGGCCATTTCATCATCGGAGCGTCATAACGTTGACGTGGGAAAAGCAGCCCAGCCATTGGAATGGCTTCACGGTGGAGAAAAGGTGAGTTGGTGTGATTGAGGGCGAGTAAAGCAAGGAGTGAGGCACATCACATCAAGATGGGAAATAAATCCCTTTATAAACATCATCACTCACACCTCTCCTCAACTCATTTTCCTCACAACCTCCACCTCAAAACCTCAATGCCGCTCAAGCCTCACTGCATAGCTGTTCAAACATACCTCACGCCCACCTCAGTTCGACTCGGTGCTCACCGAACTCGCCTTCTTCTCTCATCTCTGCATCACCCGCCCATCACGACGGCTCAGCCTCGCCTCCAGACCCTGCAACGTCACTTCTCATCCTCGTCGCCCACCATGGCATCAAACGTGAACTCGCGCAATCAGTCATTCAAGCTCGACAAACTGTTCGACGTCTCTAACAAAGTGGCCCTCGTGACGGGCGGCGGCAGCGGCATCGGGCTGATGATCACGCAGGCGCTGGCGACCAACGGGGCCAAAGTCTACATCTGCGGACGGACCGAGGAGAAGCTCGAGCGGGTGGCCGAGCTGTACGGCCAGGACATCCCCGGCCAGATCATCCCCGTGACGGCGGACGTGTCGCAGAAGGACGACATCAAGAGACTCGTGGGCGAGATCTCGTCCAAGGAGAAGTGCCTGTGCATCCTGGTCAACAACGCGGGCATCTCGCTCAACACGCAGCAGACCGAGGCGTCGTCGGCCGAGGAGATGTCCCAGAACCTGTTCGACGACGCCGACGAGACGTTCGACATGTGGACCGACACGTACCGGACCAACGTGCCGCAGCTGTTCTTCATGACGACGGCCTTCCTGCCGCTCCTGCAGGCCGCGCACGAGCACAACGACAACTTCTCCGGCACCGTCATCAACATCACCTCCATCTCGGGCATCGTCAAGACGGCCCAGCACCACTTCGCCTACAACGCGTCCAAGGCCGCCGCGAACCACCTCTCGGTCATGCTGGCCAACGAGGTCGCCCAGAACGGGCTCAAGGTCCGCATCAACAGCATCGCCCCGGGCGTCTTCCCCAGCGAGATGACCGCCGGCGACAGCGGCGGCGACCAAAAGTCCCACATCCCCCGCGAAAAGTACGAGAGCAAGGTCCCCGCCCGCCGGCCGGGGGAGGACCACGACATGGCCAACGCCATCCTCTTCGCCGCCACCAACCAGTACCTGAACGGCCAGACCGTCGCCGTGGATGGCGGCTATATCCTCAGTGCCGGCAGTGGGCCGTAGACGTTGGTACCATGTGGTGCTCAATGTACTCGCCACGAGAGGTATAATGCAACCGAAAAAGGTCCAATGCAGCCACCAACAAGAGCGTACCCCCCTCGTGCACTGGTCACTTACCTAGCCATTCATAGCATATGTCATTTACATGCCATTTACATGCCATTTACATGCCATTTACACGTTTCGATCGACGCAGGAAATCGGTCAGCAGGCTTGTTGAAATTCAAGAGCTCACCGTTTCCTCATGAACCTGGTTACCGCCCCTACATATCTCACTCACCGACAAGGAGGGATATAAAGCATAAGCTACAACAGACGTGTGGCCAAAACATGATTATTTAACAGATGGATAAGATTCGACAATAAAAGATTATCTATCTCTTATCTATCTATTCTATTGCTTGACTCGATTCTCTCCTGAGCTATAGACCAATGTCTCTTGAATGCTTGGTTTTCGTGTGTAAGTGTCCAACATTGAACTGTATCGTCTCCTCTCATACACTAGCCATGCGTTATTTAAAGACATGAGAACCCAAGAAGGGACAAGATAGATTTGAGCAAAGAAAGTTCGGAATTTGGTATCAGTAGGGCCACTAGACCTTGTCGATGGCATTTTTCTTCTCCTCACCAACCTCATAGTTTGCCCCGTCAGTGCTCAATTTTGTGTCAGTATCTGGCCCATCAGGCGAGCAGGGTTTGCTTTCGTCCTGCTGGCTCGCTGCAGCCTCTTTCGCTGCCTTGGCCGCGGCTTTTTGAGCAGCTGCAACCTTTTTCAGATTCTTCCACTCCATGGCCAAAGCCCCAAGGATGGTCGCCGCCGATGCAGCCACACCGACATAAAAGGCAGTTCTCAGCGCGTCATTGTACGCGACGAGCACGGAGTGCAAGAGCGGTGGCGGCACAATGCCACGAAGATCAGTGGCTCCCACGTGCGTGACCACATCCGCGTTCACACCCGGAATTTTCTCCAGATCGGACGCAAGGGTGTTGTCGAATATGTTGTTGGCCACGCTGACAAAGATGGAACCGCCCAACGTCTGCGCAAAGAACATCATCGATGCACCCGTCGCCACGTCCTTGCGGGCCAGTGCAACTTGTGCAGCTACACTAGGCTGTTGCATGCCCAAACCCAGACCTAGCCCCCAGATTGCCTGATACCCGATCCACTGTGGATGAGGTGTGGTGGTTGTAAAGGTGCTAATGAGCCCTCCGCCAACGGACGTCAAAATGCACGACAGGTACATCCATTGCGTGAAGTATCCAATCTTGCGGGTTGCAAAGCCAGCGAGCATGGAGGAGCAGGTGATGCCCAAAACAGCCGGAAGATTCATGATTCCCGAGTGAACGGCCGAGGCACCCTTGATGGCTTGGAACCAGATAGGCAGAAAGTAAACTGTGGTCATCATTCCTGACCCGCTGAAAAATGCATATAGCACGCCAGCGGCGACGGAGCGGGTTTTGATGATCCGAGGGGGGATGGTAGCGTTCTCCTGAAAGACATGTTGCAGGTAAACGAAAATGCTGAAAAGTATTCCCGAAAGGATCAACAAGACAATGATGCGAGCGTTGGACCACTCGTATGTGATACCTCCCCACTGTAAGGCCAAAAGGAGGCAGACAATAGAAGGAATGAAGACCGCTGTCCCAAGAGGGTCAAGTTTCTGCAGTTGTTCCTTCAAAGGAATTTTGGTTCTTTTGGTGGCGCCCTCTGGAAGCTGAAGTACAAAGAATAGCACCACCATCATAGCACCACCGATGGGAAGGTTGATGTAGAAGCACCACCTCCAAGAGATCTTGTCGGTAAAGACGCCGCCCAGCAAAGGTCCGGCGACCGAAGCGACTGCAAACACGGCGCCAAAGATGCCGCTCCAGGCAGGTCGCTTGTCTAATGGGACGAGGTAGACAATCATTGTGATGGCCCCTGAGAAAATGCCTGCGCTGCCTATCCCGGCAATCGCACGACCGATTATAAGTGCGGTCGAGTTTGGAGCAGTGCCGCAGACTAAAGAGCCCAACTCGAATATCGCGATGCAGGCAATGTATACCGTCTTAGGGTTGTAGAAGGTGTAGATCCGGCCGATGAAGAGTTGGAACGCAGACATTGTGAGGAGATAGGCTGATGCATACCAACCCACGTCTGCCAGGGAGTTGAAATGGTTGGTGATGACGGGAATGGCTGTGGCGATGATCAAACGGTCCTGGCTAGCTTGTCAGTTCTTGAGACGAATGAATGGGAATTTCTGATGCTATTACCAATGCGACCAGGAAAGCGGTACACATCATTGCAGCAACAATGACAATAACCTTCGAGAGGGGAGGGTATTCATCTTGGTTGTCAGCTTCAACGCTGGGAGGAGTGGCTGGTTTAGAAGCCTCTCCACTAGGGTGGTTCTGCGAGTCTGTGGATGGCTCCTTTTGCGCCATATGGTTGAAGGCTGTAAGTGATCTGGATTTCCTGTAATTGTAAATTATGAAAGTTGCAGGCCAGGTACGAATGCTTCAACATGAGAATGGCGAAGAGGACGTTAATATTCGACATGGGTCTCGTGTTCTCCTCCATGACAAACCTACCGTGGGTGGTGTATTTGCGAACAGGCCACAGGCAAATGGACCAGTATACTCTCTCGGACGCGAAAAAGAGACTGAATGAAGCAGCCATACTGAAAGCGGCAATGTAGCAGAACCATCTCTTCTGATCCAAAGCGCCGGTCAACGGGGACTGGAGGAGTGGATGTAAGTCGTGGAGACCGAGATTCGGGCCCGAGGACCGAAGCTGCGTCCGAGTCAGTGCACAAAGATGGACCTGGGGCAAATCAGCTCTCGGATCAAGTTGCTCAGCAAGGACAATGGCTGCATTCTTTGAGGTGATTGTCCGCGAGAGACGTCTGCAGTGGAGTGAGAAGTGAAGTGAAGACGCAGGGTGAGGAAGAGACGCAGGCAGAACAAAGATGGTGAGGCACTAATTCGGTGTCAGACGCAGCCCTTTTTCCCCATTGGCTGGAAGTCTCGCTTCTCTATTTCGCGAGTCTCTGTCTCTGTCCCTGTCCTCCACTTCACCATCACTTTACCTTTGTCACAAGGATTTCTTTCACGTTCACAACGCCAGCTTGAGTGAGATCTTCTCATGCAGAAAATGATACTATGCCCTTTCATGAGCCGAGAATAAGATACTCCAAAAGGGACACGCACTGCCGGGAATGTTTTCCGCCTCAGAGGCACCGTTTGCCCGCCCACGTGAAATGCTTCAGTGACATCAGGATTCAAAATGACGTTGACCTCCATAACAATGAAAATTCATAACTACGAAGCCTCATCTCACCCATTCCTCATTTCCTCGTTCGAACTTCCTAACACCTGACATACAGCCAACTTCTTCTCGCGGAATCATGGAGACAATTAAAAACACAGTCAAAGAGGCTACTGGTGGCAAGGGCCAATTCGAGCAGGGCTTTCTCCCACCGGTCTCTCACCAAGATCCTCCCGGGAAAGAGGGTGATTTGCCCGTTGAGGCTATTCATGATAAACTCCCAACTGCGGACGGCGGGTGGCAGCCATACAAGGCGGCTGGAAAGTTAGAGGGCAAGAAGGCTCTCATCACTGGTGGAGACAGCGGCATTGGACGGGCGATAGCGATTTTGTATGCCATGGAAGGTGCCGACAGTTTCATCGTCTACCTAGCAGAAGAAGAGGAAGATGCTCAAGAGACCAAGCGCCGGGTCGAGAAACTTGGACGGACGTGTCATCTCTTCTCCACCGACCTTAGGCGACCCGAGAATTGTCAAAAGGTGGTAGACGCCGCGCTGCAGGCCATGGGCAGAGTCAACATTTTGGTATGTGGCCCAAGTCCTGACTTCTAGTAGGTGCAGCCTGCTGACCCCAACACACAACACACAGGTCAACAATGCCGCGTACCAGATGATGCAGATGGACATCACAGACATCTCCATTGAGCAATGGCACAAGACATTCGAGACGAACATCCACCCATACTTTTACCTTGCCAAGTTCCTTGTCCCACATATGAAGCGTGGTGATGCCATAATCAACAACGCATCAATCAATGCTTACATCGGGCGACCCGACCTTCTAGACTACACATCTAGCAAAGGAGGCAAGTTCTCCCCTCAATCAGCCTGGGTAGTTAAGACCATTCTAACTGTTGCTTGGCAGCAATCATCTCGTTTACGCGCGGCCTCGCAAACCAGCAAATGAGCAAGGGCATCCGAGTCAACGCTGTTTGTCCCGGTCCAGTATGGACGCCCCTCATCCCGAGTACCATGAACGAAGACGCGCAAAAGCAATTCACCTCGCCCCTGGGCCGCCCTGCACAACCGAGCGAAATTGCCACGTGCTTTGTGTTCCTGGCAAGCTCGGACAGCAGCATGATTAGCGGACAGAGCTTGCACCCGAACGGCGGGGTGATTGTGAACGGTTGACCCGATAGCCTAGCCTAGGTGTGGTTGACAATCATGGAGGTCAACGGTTCAACATTGGGCTAGAATAGCGGTGGCGGGTGAATGACTCTTCGAATGGTCCCTGTGGATAAAAGGAGGCTTCTTTGCTAGCTAAATGCAGACTGGCATTTCCTTGAAATAATACATTTAATGTGCTAGATATAAGCTAGCTGGCCACGTTGTCGCAACTCCAATACCCACCCAACCCTAGCCACACTTCTTGCACAAGTATATCCAAAGTTGAACAACCATCATCGACCTGCTACAGTATGCATAGCATAGCTAATATGCAGGAGAAGATATCATTATGTCTGAAAATACATTATAACCCGGTTGCCCGTACGGGACAGGAAACCCGTAGAGAACAATAACCCTGCATAGAACCGAAACGCCGAAAGTGAGCAATGGGTATCTGAGTATCTAGGTATTCTAGGTATCAAGGTAGGTAGGTAGCCAGACCACAAGCAGAGAAGCCGCGAATTACATCGACGTGAATAATCAGGGGATCCATTCCCCCTCCACGGTGCATCCGAAGTTGAAAGGTACGTCGACAACAAGGACGTACATATATAGTTGAAGATAAGTATCTTGGTGGGAATTGAAAAATGGCCCTCTTCCGCATCCATTCAATCCACCCGGATTGGGAAGAGCTATGGCTCGCGTATCGCCGTGCTCTTCTTTATTGAGCGGTTTGGCTGCAGCTTTCGATTTCTGGCTTCGGGGTGATCAGTCACCGACAAAGGCATCTTGGTTCAGTCGCATGCCGTCAAGACCGTCAAGCTGAACCGCTTCTCAAGCTGCTCAAGCAGCGACAACGCCAGGGCTCTGTCCTGCACCGTAGCGACAGTGTGCCGGTGCGTCGTCTCCGGAGGAAAAGACTCGTCGTAGACGGACGAAGGTGGTGACGGCAACGAGGCCTGTGCCGCGAAGTCTGGACACGGAGAATCGGCCTCGGACAAGGACATGGCCAAGGACATAGAGGACCATGACGAAGAGGTCGAAAGTTGTGCGCGTGACATCCTCCGTGACTTTGCCATGGCGCCAGCGGCGGCAGGACTCAAGTACTCTGGCACGGCCGAGAGAGAGAAAGATTGGCGTTGGGTGGAGGCCGCGGTCCGCAGCACGTACTGGTAGGATTTCCTGACAGAAGATCTTCTTCGGGCGGAGGATCTGCGCGGAAGAGGAGGCACGGAGGTCGTCATGACACCTGTGGTGGTTGTTCCCGCTGCTGCTTCTTCCTCTTCCTTCATTTCGTCCTCCTCTTCGTCTTCATCCTCTTCATCCGGTGAAGCAAGTAGGATGGCCAAGTCTCGAATGCTGATTCCTGCAGTCTTCTCCTGGAGCGGAGGAGCTTCCAGTGCCATCTCCGAGGGTGAAGTGCTGGTCTCCGATAGAACGGGATCGGGGTTCTCGTTCAAGACGGGAGGCGAATGCTCGTCAAGCGTCGTTGAATACACAGAATCGCCATCCTGGACTTCTTTCGTGTCCGGAGATTCCTTCTGAGGCTCTGATGCGCTGTCAGGGATCTCGCTGACCTCGTGATCGTCGGAAGTTTCGCCTGTAGATTTCGCCCGTCTCCAAAACATGAAGATGGAGGCTTGTCGCTTAAGGACGTCGCAGAGCCTCTCGAGAGACGACGTCATCCTGCTAAACCAGTGCGAATTCTCCTTTCCGACGTCCGGTTCCCCCGAGGCGCGCAAGAACTCGGCCATGACGCCCGAGGTCTCGTCGACTGAAGACCTCAAACGTGCTACCGAAGCGGTCTGCTTCTTGACCTCCTTACGCAGCTGGTCCAGGTACTTCCTGTCAGCCTTGGTCTCGCAGTTTTTGCGCTGTTGAGAAAGCTGGGCGAGCAACAGGTTCAACTTTTCTGACATGAATTGCAGTTGCGATTTGAGGGCTTCAAGAGCGCTTTGGCTATCACCCATTCTCTGCACAAGATCGGCCATTCTCCGTTCAAGTAAACCCTTCAGCGACTTAAAGTCTTGCTTGTTGGATCGAATTGTCCAGAGCACTTCCTGGACGTCTTTGCGATAGGTCGACACGCAGTCGCCGTAACTCTCAATCTTCTCGAACATAGTGTCAAGCCTGGGCAAGACGAGCCCAAATCTCTCGCTGAAGGTGCCCCTGTCAGCCAATTTCCGCATATAACTGTTTCGAGGGTGGGCTAACATACCATATTTCGAGGAGAATGAGTCTATCCATGTCGTCCAAAGCAGCTTGGGCTGTTTGCTTCACATGTTCGATTTCCACAGAGAGCTCATCCCAAGTCCAGGCGGCAAGGTCGTCCGTCGCACAGTCGTGGTCAGGGCGCTCAAATAACAGGCCATGTCGACTTTTGAGATATTCTTCGAAGTTTTGCCAGGCTTGCCCGAGCGCTCCCAGATCAGCCTCCCACTCAGCTTTGCGCGGATGGTCGTCGCAATCAAGAATATCTCTGACATAACCTCCCATTAGATGAAGTTTGGGAAGTAGGTAGTGTTGTAGATATTGCAAGTCGACCTTGTGCTTCCGTTTGGCGCCTTTGTGCAATTTCAAATTCTGTAGGAGTGCGTGAATCACTTTTGCGGCATCGCTGATGTCGCCTTCACACTGCCTGGGATTAGTGACAGACATGATGAGAACTGTGCTGGGCATGAAAACAAACAGCTACGGGATTTCTCAAGAACTGCCATCAAAAGCAGTAGAAAGAGGAATATGGGAAATGTTTTCCAGACATATACCCGCTTGTCGCACAGATACCGGTGGGCCTGTCCAAAAGCAACAGATCGACCACCCCCAAGAATCTGGGATTGCTTCAATTATGCAAGGCTGAAGATGATTGTTGTTGGATGTGATTCGGCCATAACTTCCGATTGTTGTGCTCTTGGTGCCAAATGCCCCGAGATTGGGGTTGGAAAAGCACAAGAAGCGGACAAAAGCCTTCGACCGAGCAGAAATATTTGCTCCAACTTCCGAGAACGAGGCTTCACAGATTGAGCGGTCCACACTCAAAGATAAATAGTCCAACCTACCGTGCGGAACTGGATGATGGCATGGAAACAACCCCGCCAGTTGGGCCATGTTCTTGAAGAAGGATCAGCAGGCGAGCCTACTGAAGAACCCCAGCTTTTTGGGCACTTGCTAGCTCAAGCTTAAGGGACTGGACATAGCCAAGTCGAGTCTTCGCTGAAAAGTCGATGGATGGTGTAACTCGGTCGCCTGACTAGAGGGAAACTCCACTGCCTGTAGTTAAGGCAAAGTTCATAGGCAAGATGTGGACAAATAATGAGAAAGTCATCTTTGAAGGACGTGTATCACCATTGTTTTGACAGTGAGGGGACGATCAAAGTCGGTCCGAAGTGCATAACTCCACACCGCACACGAGGGTGGAAATGACCAGTAGCGAAGATCTTCGTCCCTCAACCACTGCTGAGTGGGCGCAAACGTTGGTGCAATTTACAGATTCATTGGCTATTGAATCCACCAGAGCTTCTTCGTGGCCTAGTTGGGTGACTAGGAACAACAGACTGCAGATCCGCAGGGCAATATCAGGGCAATTAATTTGATTGAGTCGGACTTATATATTCTCTTCAGAAGACGATGAAGGAGAAGACTGAGAGTGGTTATGAGAAGGGAGACTGATCAAGAACGCGGTCAAGTTCTCTACGCGTATTAATACGCGTACTGACCCAACGCGGAAGCTGCAAGTGGATACAGATGTACCTGCTGACTAAAATATCACGTGCATCAGATCAGTGTCTGCATGTGTCACGTGCTGCTTGGCACCGATCTGTTGGCTGTTCGTATCTGCTTCGTATCTTCTTCGCTTCCTGAATCGCAAAGTGGTCAATGACCTTCTCTACCCTGCGTCCAATTTGCCGGCTGCCTGATTTTTTCATGTCCAGCTGCAGCTTCAAGTCCAGCCAATAACCATCATTCTTCCCACATCGTCCATCTCATATATCAGCCAATTTTGAAGTAGAGTTGCATTTCCTTCTCTGCTTAGATTTACTACTTTCTTTCCCGTTGAGGATCGACATGATAGTTCACATGGTGCTACCCTCCCTTTGTCACTCGCGCAGGCAATTCCCCAACATCACGCGGAAGTCAGGCGTCTTCTTCACCTGCATGTCTCTAAGAACATCTGGCTAAAGACATGAGCGCCGCTGGACCTTCTCCGGGGAAGGCATTCTCCTGCATTCGGTGCTTTGAGCGCAAGGTCAAATGCGACAAGCAGAACCCCTGCTCGAATTGCGCCAAGTCCAATGTCGAATGTACCTTCCGTATTCCGCCTGCCCCTCGCCGCAGGAAGAAACGTACACATGAGGAGCTGCTACTTGCCCGACTCAAGAAGTGCGAAGAACTCCTCAAGAGCAAAGGCGTTGATATCGACAATGAACTCACTCCCACTGTGCCTTTGGCGTTGACAACAGTTGAGAGTCCTTTGACCTCGCAGCCTCTAGGCTCTCCACAGCAGCTGAGCCCTGCCGCAGAAACTGTCATCAGAAAGCAGCGCGAAATCTTCGCTGCGTACCCGCCCGAGCTCAAGAAATCCGGCCAGTTGATTGTGGACCAAGGGAAATCCCGCTTCATTGAAAACCCTCTTTGGGCAAGTGTATCTGACGAGGTGAGATTTCTCAACATTTGCCAGGGCTTCTCGCGTTTCGAGCGGGAAAAAAAATCTCTTATCCAGAGACACAGATCTTGTCCTCGGGACGTGTTCTCTGTATCGTCGATGGTGAATGGCTGATCTGGCTTCTGTAGTTCCGACAACCCAATGAAGCTATCGCCGAGTATTCCGAGGACGAGGATGAAATCGGCTCTCCCATTGAAGAGAGCGCCGACTTCATTCTCGGCTATACCCCCTCTAGCAATCCGGTCCAGCAATTACACCCTTCGCCAACTAATATCCTCGTCCTGTGGCAAATCTTCCTGGATAATATCAATCCAATGTCCAAGCTGATTCATCAACCAACTCTCCATAAGACACTGGTTCAAGCCTCCTCACATCTCGATAGCATACCGCGAGGTTTCGAGGCACTGATGTTTGCCATCTACAGCTCAGCCGTCTACTCGATCGACGATGACGAGTGTGAAATGAAGCTTGGTGAGCCTCGAAAGATTCTGCTCGCAAGATACCGACACGCGACCCGTAAAGCCCTTGCCAGGGCGAGATTCATGGCAACGTCAGAGCTGGTGGTCCTTCAGGCGTTCTTCCTCTACCTTTTGACCATGCGCGAAGACTACGATGCCCGAACCACTTGGACTTTGGCCGGGGTGGCGAGTCGCATCGGGCAGGGCATGGGACTTCATCGCGATGGAACGAGTCTGGGGGTCTCGCCGTTTGAGACGGAAATGCGTCGACGTCTGTGGTGGCAAATCACGACCTTGGATTTCCGGTCAGCAGAGCTCAGTGGCTCTGGTCGATCCGGTGATTTCTCCATGTCTGATACGCTGATACCCAGCAATGTCAACGACGAGGACATTTACCCGGATATGAAGGAGCCGCCAGTCTCTCACACACGACCTACGGAGATGATATCATGCCTTCTGCGCTGCGAGCTCGGTAACTTTTGGAAGGAGAAGTTCAAACAGAGATCGACTGTGGCTCTTGAGCACCTGCGCATTGACTCGCCCTTTAGCAGTTACCTGGAAGAGAGGGATGCCTTTATCAACGAGCTGGAACAGCGACTGGAAGAAAAGTTTCTGAGATACTGCGACCCGTCCAATCCCATACAATTCATGGCGATCATAATCGGGAGAGGAGCCATCAACAGCATGAGGCTCATGGCCCACCATCCCCGCAAATGGGCCAAAGAAAAGGATGTTCCTCCTTCTGAAAAAGAGTATCTCTGGAACATCTCGATGAAACTTCTCGAAGGCATCAATTTGGCCCATTCGTCCAAGCAGTTGCGGAGGTTTATGTGGCACACCAGAGTGTTCTTTGCATGGCAAGCCTTCATCTACATTCTCAATGAACTCAAAGAACGCACACTTGGCGACGAAGTCGACAAGGCATGGCAAGAGATCGACGAGATCTACCGGCATCATCCTCAGTTTGTGACTGATTACAAAAAGCCGCTGCATGTCGCAGTCGGGAGTCTATGTCTCAAAGCCTATAGCGCAAGGGAAGCTGCACTGCGTGAGACTACCCGTGGTGTTTTCCCGAAGGTGACGCCCGAGTATATCAGGATCCTCCGCGAGCAGCGCGAAAATGGGCCGCTCATGCGTGCTACGACGGCCGCTACGGGTTCGTCGGTCAATGCGCCCGAAAATGTCGATAACGCGGCCGTCGGTGACAAGAACAGCGAACAATACTCGACTGGCATTGGGTGGGACACTGCTCCCTTGTCGGAGCAATCGACCAGCAACTTCGATACTTCCCAACTCCCTATGGGTGGTTTCTCTGGCGGCGCGGGGGCACCGCATCAGCTACCGCTCCCAGCATTTCAGCCCATCCCGACGCCTCTTGCGGGAGACGGCATTATGCTGGCGTCGCAGCCGACCTTGGCGCAAGACCTGGATGTGGGGGATATGCCCATGGACTGGGCACAGTGGGATATGATCATGCAGGACTTTGATGGCCAGATGTCATATCGCGGCTGAGTGACGGGGGATGATTCTTGTGTTAGGGGCTTTGTATGATCATCTAAGAGAAGGTTTTGTTGTCAATTTGGCTGCCCGCGACCGATGACATGAGGTGAAGAGCATGTATACACGACCAGGGACGACGACGACGATGATGACACACTTCGCTCAATGGATTTGCGAGGAGGGAGGATGCATACACACATATGTACATGTATACTGAAGCAATGAAAAACAGCTCAACTCCCATCCTCGCACGTCGACTCTTTACTTTGTGTACTTTTATTCCTCAAGGGCAAGGCTGAATGAGGCTGACGAGGCTGACAGTTGGACGTCAGATAAGGAAAGTCTGCCGAAGACTATCAGATCACGTGCTGCGCCAAGACGAAACTCGCCCTTTTGATGGCCCTCAGCTTCAACTCTTCAACTCTCACACCTCGTGTTGCTTCAGCTACACTGTCCGCATGACAACCAACAGACACGAGCTTGTCCCACGCACGGATCGACTAGCTGATATGCTCTGTCCGGCTGGCTGCAGCTAGGCAAACTTTCTTGACCGGTTGCAAGCCCCCTGCATGAAGAGCTCTTTTGCGAATCATCACCGTTCAGCTGAGGACAAGAGCCTACGGCTGCGGGTCACGACCTGCTGCAAATACCCACACACTCCATCTCCAATCGAAGCCTAGATGCTGCTGCTAGACCGCCTTCGTTTCCCCTCTCTGCGTTGCTTGAACGAGGCAAATGCCCCTGCAGCTGAAGAGAAGGTGGTGCATTGAGACCACCATTGTAACACTCAAATAGACAAAGAGGTAGGTTGTTGTCGAGTACAAAAAGCGTCCATGGCGCTATCTAAATCGGTCATTCTGTGGCTCTTACACTCAAGGAGAAAAAGAAATTCGAAGTACTCTCTCACAACATCTAGAGCATCCTCCTACTCACTGTTCAGTCTGTAGACTCGAGTGGCGAAGCAACATGACATCAACATCCCGTCCCACACCAACAAACCCAGACCCAGCGGACTTTGGTCCCAATGTGCACATCTTCGACCCGTCGATGCCCATGGCTGACATCACCTCAACCATAGTCCCCATCTTCCAGGGTCAGGACACCAACCAATTCGGTCCTGAACGCCATGCCTATCTCTTCAAGCCGGGATCATACAATCTCAACGTAGATGTGGGCTACTACATGACCGTCCACGGACTAGGGCATTCGCCGAACGATGTGGCGATCACAGGTGGCGTACAATCGTTGGCAACCAGCACCGAAGGCCTGGCACTGAACAGCTTCTGGCGTGGTGTCGAAAATCTCTCCATCGTCCCTACGACCAACGGAGATATTAGCGGCTGGGCTGTCTCCCAGGCCACCTTCTTGCGCCGCGTGCATATTGTTCACGGACAGCTGTTTCTCTTCGACTGGCGTTATCCGACCAACTATTCCAGTGGGGGATTCATTGCAGACTCGGCTATTGATAATCAAATCATTTCCGGCTCCCAGCAGCAATTTGTATCGCGCAATTCGACTCTCACAAAGTAAGTCCATTCATCACCCCGGATCATGGAGCGATCCCTCAATCACGTCGTATCCCCTAGGTCTGCTCCGCTATTGGGTGAGAAATATGTTGCGAATACGACACAGACCATCTGCACCAGCACTTTGGAAAATTGACGTTATTCCTGCTGGAAGCCGCGTCTCATGGCCACTCGCTAACGTGACATGGTGCTAATTAGATGGATTGGCGGTGTCTGGAACATGGTTTTCGTCGGCGACGAGCAACCTCCATCCGGATCATGGCCCGATCAACCTTTCACGGTGATTGATAAGACCCCTGTCATCCGTGAAAAGCCCTATCTCATCTTCGAGAACGACTACGCCGTGCAAGTGCCGAAGTTGAAGAAGGACAGCCAGGGGACAAGCTGGTCTACGGTCCAGGACTCGGCCACAACGCTACCCATCAGCCAATTCTATATTGCCAAAGCGACCTCAGATACTGCCGACTCGATCAACGACGCCCTTCACCAAGGCTACCACTTGATTCTCACACCCGGCGTCTATCATCTCTCCAGAAGCCTCGAGGTCAAATACCCCGACACCGTCATCTTAGGTCTTGGAATGGCCACATTGGTCCCTGACAACGGCACGCCGGCTATGGTCATCGATGACGTCGACGGCGTATCTATCAGTGGGATCATCTTCGATGCGGGTCCCACACGATCTTCCCAGCTTCTGGTCATAGGGGATGCGAGCAGTTCAAGTGACCACAGTACAAATCCCACTGCATTGTTCGATCTCTCCTGCCGCGTGGGGGGAGCAGCAGCAGGCTCGACACTGAACTGCGTCACCATCAACTCCAACAATGTAATCCTCGACAACATCTGGATCTGGCGCGCAGACCACGGCAACCCTGGGGCGGTTGGTTGGACCGTGAATTCAGCTGAGAATGGACTGACGGTTGCGGGTCAGAACGTGGTCGCCTACGGCCTGTTCGTAGAGCACTTTCAAAAGTTCCAGACCATTTGGAACGGCAACGGTGGCCAGGTTTATATGTACCAGTCGGAGATTCCCTACGACATCCCCGACCAGAACTCGTGGCAAAAGACCTCGGGCGGCAAAGGCTATGCGTCGTACAAAGTAGGGGACCATGTCAGCACCCATATCGGGAAGGGCCTCGGGATCTACTGCAATTTTGACAACCAGGTCGAGCTCGACAATGCTATTGAGACGCCGACGGGATCCGGCATCCAGATGAACCACTTGACAACGCAGTGGCTAAATGGGAAGCCGTTTAGCGCCATCAACCACATCATCAACGGGACTGGTGATCGCGTGTACGACAATGGCCGGAACTTGAATGCAAAGTCGGCTACATGAATGGGGCAGTCCGATCATTCGGTTAGAGTCCGTTATCATAGCTCCAGGAATGAGCATGCAAGCGGCGAATATTTCTTCGAGGACGTCCTCTTTTATGGTAGAGTACTCCAAGAGGCAAGTGTGGAGACACCTTCATACAAGCATCATTCGGCTAAAACTAAGCTTAATCTTTTTAAACTTTTGACTAGCGGAGGTTTTATCGGGCCTAATACCGAGTCTATGCTGGCCATTATCAGACTATATGTAACGAGTTACCGAGTGCATACGCAATGTGCAATGTGCAATGTAATGTAAAGGAGATCATCGCACGGCGCGTGGTCGACAAACCATTCACAGCGCCTAGGCAGACTGGACCTTGGTGAAGATGTTCTTCTTTTGGTAGAAGGAAAGAGACATGTTGGTGGGGGAGAAGAGTGGATTAAAGAGACACGTAGTGAAAGAAAGGAATACACACACACACACACACACACACACACACACACACACACACACACACATATTCTGGGAGGAGAAAATGATCCAAAAACCTGACTTTCCTTAAAACTCCAACACCCACACTAGAGGCTCACGCAGTGATCCGAAACAGAACGACAAAAAAAGACGGGTTTGCGAATGCAACACTGGCAGGTTGGCAGGAAGGCTGGGTTCTAGCACAT